GGATAAACCAAATCATGAGCGGAAAAAAATAGTAACAGCTTTCTATTTGTTGTCGTCATCGTCAAGTAACGAAAATCAATTCATTACTGCAAAAACTGAATACTTTAGAAGAGATATATTTTTGCTTTCGTTATCCCCAAACAAACGAAAATATGCTGCAGAACAAAGAGTTTTGTCTGCCGCAAAACAATTGGAAGCAAATTGAAAAGAGAACAGAGCCAAACCCGATTCCACGAGTCCCTCCGGTAACCAACGCTGTTTTTCCGGCGAGTGACAATCTTTTGTTTTAGTCTCTCCATTGTCACGTAGTCTTCTCCCGGAATCTCACTGCGTCTTTTGGGGTGTGTGAGTGGAGTCCAACTCACGATGGGCCATTTATCTGCCTACGGCCCATAGAGTCCATTATATTCTTTTGTGCACTAGAAAATCTCAGAATATTTAATATTTTTTTTTTGTCTTCGATTGATGGTCTTTTTCGCTTTTTTGGATAGAAATTTATACTTCCCCTGTTTAGAATATAATATGTTGTATAATTTTTCTTTGTTCCATAATGTAAGATGTTTTAGAATTTTTCAGGTACTTTTTCCTAATTAATATTAACATATTACAAACTTCAAGACATACTAACTAAAATTATTTAAATAGTTAAATTATGATTGGTTAAAAACTATTAAAAAGTGGTTAGTGTGAAAGAAAAAGTAGTACAATAAATATTTCTTAATTTGTGTGAAAAGCCTCTAACATCTTACATTGTGGAACGATTGCAAAAACATGTAGTAAATTTAAAAAGAAGCCAACCAAAACATGTCGGAGGGCGATTTTTTTGGCGAAATAGCGGTTTTATTTTTTCTATCCACGTTCCTCTTTCTGAGGACGGTTTCTCGACGTGATGTGGTTGTGGAGCAGTTCTGTAGCGGTTCCCTCACCGTCTCCTCCAAATCCGTAGTGGTGGATATACGCCTCTACGATGAATTGTGCTTTATTCATAACGGTCATCCAGATCTATATATACATCGGCTGTATATCCCCCAAATCCATCACATCTTAACCCGTTCAATCTCAATCTTTCTCTTGTGCTATTCGAAATTCAACCTCTATCCAAAGAAAATGGCGAATAATTTGCGTAATGCAATCCAAAACCTTAACCTGGGGATTAACGACGAACCTGTCGCTCTCCCCATCGATGTGTGTACTGAAGCTGTCCGAGTCAATCAGTTTTCCTTAATCGGAAGGGCTCTCATTCCTCGTCGTCAGAATCTCCGGGCGATTGTTGCAACTTTACCTCGCAATTGGGGTCTCACTGGAGTCATTTCGGGCCGAGTGATTGAACGCCGACGCTTTCAATTTGTGTTCCCCTCTGAAGACTTGATGCAATCGGTCTTGAATCGGGGACCCTGGTCGTACGGAGACAGAATGCTCGTGCTTCAACAATGGAGGCCAGAGATGGATGAGACTGATCTCAATATCATCCCCTTCTGGGTCCAAGTCAGAGGAATACCAATCCAATTCCTGACCCGCAACGTGATCTACCACATCGGCGATTCCCTTGGTCACGTCGATGTCATCGATTTCAATCCAGAAATGGCGGCGGCGGTGGAATTTGTCCGAGTGAAGATACTTTTGAAGGTGACAATCCTCTGCGCTTTCAGAAGAATTTCCAATTTACCCCAGGGGTCAACACGGTGCTTAACTTCAGATACGAACGCCTCCGAGGTTTCTGTGAGGAATGTGGGCTGATGACGCACGATACAGGGGAGTGTATCCCCAATGAGGAAGACGATGCACCGCCACCAGACAACAACGATGATGACAATGGCGATGACGACAATGTTAATCAGATGGAGGCAGAGCACGTCCATGTTCCCGATCCAATGATTCAACAACTGGAGCGGGAGGCTCTAAACCAGAGGAGATTGGAGGGTGAATGGGGGCGTGGAGGAATTCTCATCTGCAGAGGAGTACTCACCAATCCCATTTACGGAGAAGGATCTTACACCGATCCCACAGTTGATAGAAGATCAAGCGATGCGTAAGAGACGGTTTGTGGATGCACTGGTGGAGGATATCGAAAGGGAAGCACGTCTCCGCCTATCGACTACGCCACGGGATGGTAATATACTTACTGAGGATGATGATACTGAGGATGATGATGATCATATTATATTGCAATGGGAAAGTAGAATGGATAATGATGGTTCTTTTGAGCAGTATGGTAGCTTTATGGGTTATGATGTTTTGACAGAGATTCAATCAGACCAAGCGACTAAGAAAGCTCGTCTGAGTGGTGAAACAGAAGTGATGCAAGGTCCAGAGACTCATCAGACCTCGGAGGAATCGGATTCATTGAAGAAGCTTCAGACTGACTACATGGGCTCAGGTTCCCTTTCCCCAAACCTGACACCAATAGACAGAGGCACGGTGGGCCCGGTACCACCACCAGTCCCATGAGAGTCGAGGTGTGGAACTGTTGGGGTTTGGGACAGCGCCTCACAGTTCAACGTCTAAAGGAGATAGAAAGGGTGTATCTCCCGGACATGCTGTTCCTGATGGAAACCAAGCAAAGTGATGACTACGTAAGGGATGTTGGAGTTCAGTTAGGGTATGATCAGATGAAAATAGTTTCTCCGCAGGGTTTAAGTGGTGGTTTAGTTGTGTTTTGGAAGAATTTCGTTTCAGTTTCTTGTATTTCGTTTGATTCCCGTCTTATAGACATCCATGTTGAATACAAAGCTTTTCAATTCTACTTGTCGTGTGTCTATGGTCACCCAATACCGAGTCAACGAAATCATTTATGGGAGAAACTACAACGAATTGCAGTGCATAGACTTGGTCCATGGATGATGTGTGGAGATTTTAATGAGATTTTGAGTAATGCAGAGAAAAAAGGAGGACGTATTAGGTCTGAGAGTAGCTTCAGAAATTTTCGTTTGATGATGGAGACTTGTGATATGCAGGATATCAGATCCAAAGGTAATCCTTTCAATTGGGTGGGTAATACAAGAAGTGGTATTGTTGAGTGCTGTTTAGATCGTGTTCTAGCTAACTCAGAATGGAGACGACTTTATCCAGCTTCTGAAACAAAGTTTTTAGATATAGCAGAGTCTGATCATAGGCCATTGTTAGTCATCATTGAATATGAAGAGAGAATCAAAAGAGGCCAATTCCAATATGATAAAAGACTATGTCAAGAAGAAGATTTTGTTGAAACGGTAAGGCATTTTTGGAAGCATAAGAGTTCTCATATTCAGGATTTCTCAGTTAAGCTAAAAGTATGTCGTACAGAGATGGCTAAATGGAAAAGGAGGCATCGTTTTAATTCAGTTGAAGATATTCAGACTATTCGTACTCAATTAGACAGAGCTTTGAGAGATCCAACAGTAGCGGCTTGGGAGATACGAAGTTTGAGAGCTAATCTGAATAAGGCTTATCATAATGAAGAAGTGTTTTGGCATGTTAAAAGCAGAAATAAATGATTACAAGTGGGAGACAGGAACAATGCTTTTTTCCATGGAGTCACTAAAACAAGAAAACCGAGGACTTGTATTAAGAAGATAGTTGATGATCAAGGAATTGCTCACACAAATGATGAAGCAATAGCAAGGGTGGCAGAGGAGTATTTTAGCCAAATGTTTACGGCTTCAAATACAAGACCTGTGAATGATATCATACCAACTATGGATACAAGAGTGACGGCAGAGATTAAAATGTTGTTAACAAGACCAATTTCAGCATTGGAGATTCGGGATGCAGTTTTCTCTATTGGTCCAGATAAGGCACCCGGTTTTGATGGTTACACAGCCTCTTTTTATCGACAATTTTGGGAGGAAATAGGTTCTGATGTAATCCGACTAATCCAGAAATTTTTTGATACAGGTGTAATGGAGGAAGGAGTTAACCATACACAGCTTTGTTTACTACCAAAAACACATGGTGCAGACAGATTAGCGGATTTCAGACCTATCAGCTTATGTACGGTCAGCTATAAGATTATTTCAAAGATTCTAGTAATGCGTTTGAAAGGAATCTTAGGAAATATTATATCTGATTCTCAGGCAGCGTTTGTTCCAGGGAGGAACATAACTGATAATGTTTTGATAGCTCATGAACTGATGCATGCTTTAAAGTCCAAAAAAGATTGTGCTCAACAATATCTAGCCATCAAAACAGATATCAGCAAAGCTTATGATCGTGTGGAATGGGGTTTTCTTGAAGAAGTAATGAAAAAGATGGGTTTTGATAACAAATGGATAGGTTGGGTAATGAGTTGTGTCCGATCAGTTTCATTCTCCATCATTATCAATGGTTTAGATTACGGGAAAATTCAACCACAAAGGGGAATAAGACAAGGTGATCCTCTTTCTCCATATCTCTTTTTATTGTGTGCATAAACTTTATCTCAGATGATTTATCAAGCGGAAGCAAGGAAAGAGTTTCATGGAATGAGGTTAACCAAAGCATGCCCTTCCGTATCTCATCTACTGTTTGCAGATGATTCTCTTTTCTTCTGCAGATCAACTTATGAAGATTGTCAACGAATGGCGAGAATTCTACACGACTACGAAGCTATATCAGGTCAGAAGGTCAATCTTCAAAAATCGTCAATCATTTTTGGTAATCGTATTACAAGTCATCGGAAACAGATTATACAAGGCCTCCTAGGAATTTCAAGAGTGGGTGGTGGAGGAAAATATTTGGGTCTTCCGGAACAATTTGGGAGAAAGAAAACGGAGATTTTCCAGGGATTAGTAGAGAGAGTAAAGGAGAATGTAGGTTCTTGGTACAATCAGTTTTTGAGTCAAGCGGGTAAGAAAGTGCTTATCAAATCAGTTGCACAAGTTAAACCGGTGTATGCGATGAGTTGTTTTCTTATTCCGAAAAAAATTTGCCAAGAGATCAACAGCATTCTATCAGAGTTTTAGTGGGGAACGAATGACAATGGACATCGTAAGATTTCATGAATCTCTTGGGAGAGATTGTCATTACCGAAGGATGAAGGAGGAATGGGATTCAGGGATCTTCATAGATTTAATATGGCATTACTTGGGAAGCAAGCATGGAGAATACTGCAGAATCCACAATCACTATTGTCACGGATTTATAAAGGGAGATACCACAAATCATCGACGTTCTTAGAGTCGGTGTGTGGAGGTGGCCCATCTTATGGATGGAGATCAATTCAAGCAGGGAAAGACCTGCTCAAAAAGGGTTTACAAGTCAGACTAGGAGATGGTAAGGTTACTAAGGTCTGGTCAGATCATTGGCTACCTGTTGTACCTCCAAGAGTCGTTCAAGGAAATGTAGGAGTTGGAAACATTAGAGATTTGAATATGCATGTGGAGGAGCTTTGGAAGCCAGGGATTAGGGAATGGGATGAAGCTAAATTAGTGCAGCTTTTAGCTCCAGAAGATGTAGAAATAGTCAAATCGATCAGATTGTCAAGATTTGCTAATGAAGATGTGTTTGTTTGGCCATACACTACTAACACAGTGTATACAGTAAAATCAGGCTATTGGGTGGCGACTCATGTTGTGGAGGATGGAGAAAGAATAGAACCACCCCCAGGTCCAATTGAAGTGAAGAAAAAAATATGGAAACTTCAAATTCCACCAAAGATACAACATTTCTTATGGAAAACTATAGCAGGGGCAATTCCAACAGCTGAAAGGTTATGTTCCCGCATCCTGAATATAGATCCGATGTGTCAACGCTGTTGTCTCTATGAAGAAACGATTAATCATGTTTTGTTTAATTGTCAACATGCAAATTCTATTTGGAGATGTGCAGGATTCACCCAGTTTGATAGGTCAGACATATCTTTGGAAGACAACATTCGAATGTTATTTCAAATCCTGGAAATGCAATCTTTGACGGAGGAGAAAAGATTCCTTCCCATGTGGATGAGTTGGATGATCTGGAAATCGAGAAATGACTTTCTATTTGCACATAGAAATGTTCATCCTCAGAACGATGTGGAGAAAGGAGTTCAAGCTGTAGCGGAATGGTTTATTGCTAATCCGTCCACTACGATTCAAGAAAGAAGAATATGTGTGACACCAACAAGCTGTTGGGAACCACCATCATCAGGTTGGTTAAAATGTAACTTTGATAGCACATATAGATCGTCTGCGTCTTGCATGGGTGTAGGGTGGATAATAAGAGATGACAAAGGACAGTATATAGAATCAGGTTGGGCAAAATTACCTCAGGTAGACACACCACTGCAGGCTGAAGCAAATGGCTTTCTCTATGTGGTTCAACGCATATGGAGTAAAGGTATGAGGAATGTCTGGTTTGAAGGAGATAGCCTTCAGCTCACTAATGTGATCAATAAATGGGAAGAGAATACAGAGTTGGGCAATATCCTCATTGATATTCGTCATTGGATTTCACTTCTGCCATTATGTTCTTTAGCACAAGTGAACAGGGAGAAAAATCAGGCAGCAGATTTACTTTCAAAATGTATTTATGATTCTGTTGATTTCTTTATGTTGTATGCAAGCCCACCTCAATGGTTGTTTAAATATTTGTATGCTCCCTTCACTATTTAATAAAGCTTCAGATGTTACAAAAAAAAATCTTACATTGTGGAACAGAGAGAGTATTAAGTATGGACAGGTTAGGCTCATTACATGAAAAAATATGGGAATACAAATTTTAAAAAATGATAAATGATTGGAATAAGTGAGATGAAGGGCAATCTTTTGCAAAAACACAATGGCCAACATCATATTAGAAAAAACAATGAGCTTTATAAGGCTACCACAGTATAATATATGGTGTGCTCCTTCGGACTATTATAAAATGGATGTAGATTCGCGTGACAAGAACTACATAAAAAATGTTGTATTTCTAAATTGGTTTTCAACATCACATCTCCTACTTGCCTTGCTTCTTGTGGCAGTGTTTCTTCCCCTGCATGGTTTATGTCAAAATCAGGAGAATAACTTTGTTATTCTTGGGCAGAGGGTGCTTGCTAGCCCATTGAAGTAAGTCATATTTTCTCAGGTAAATCTAGTTTATTTTTAAAAAAAATTATAACTTGACATTTTGTTTCAACTCTTGGATCTAGAGTACGATTCCATTACGGTCATCCAGATGAGTTTGGTCGTGTTTCACCTCACCAAAGGGGTCTATCTAAAGTTTCTAAAACCATCAATCTAAGCGAAGACATATTCCCAGGCACTTTCTTAAATTCTTTTCCTTTCTTCGGGTGTAATGATCTAGGATTGTACATTTTATCTTTCTGTTTTTATTCTTATACATTCCTTGATGCATTCAGATACTTTACGTGAAGACAACATTACCCATCATGAATATAAATGTTTATAACACCAAAGCTCTTCAGACCACCATTGTTTCTCAATTGACAGTAGATATTGGTTTATTGATGGTATTGCCTATGATTATAGTGATTGGGCTTGAGAAGGGATTCCACCAAGCATTGTTCGACTTCGCCTTGATGCAAATTCAGCTTGCTCCCGTCTCAACTTGTCTTTTAAATTGATTTTCTAAATTGTTTTTCTAAATTATCTTTCTAAATTTATTTTCTAAATTAATTTATTGTGATTTTGTAGTAACTAGATCTTGAATCTGAATCTTACGGAAACTCATTTTGAATAACATTTTGTTACCAAGATATATGTAATATGTGTCAAACTAATATTTACCATAACAAATAAAAATACCAATACAAACAAACTCCCAGTATGGTTTTGAAAATTAACTAAAATTTTATTATAATAATTGTTTTTCATGGAAAAAAAACTTATCTAAAGTTAATAATGATCTAGGTTATTTTTTTTCACCACTATAATATTAGTATAGATGATAACTTTATATTGTAAGTTTGTTCTCATATTTTGGGAACCATGTCCTTGTCAAGCAAGATATTGGCTACTTTGATATCCTTGTGGACAACTTTAAGTTGTGATTCTTCTTGTAGATACTTGATTCCTTTACCAATTCCATTTACATTATGAAACCTCGCTTGCCAATTTTGCGATCACAATAAATAACTTGTTGTAGATATAAAGATGTGAAACCACAAGTTTAGATAATATACACTAATTACCAAACATATAAGAGTCAGGGTCTCCATTCTCTAAGAACTCTGAACTCATATACCAATACCCTCTCTTGTTGGTGGACGCTCCAACCAAGAAAGCGGATGGTCCAACTAAGAATGCTGATGAGATAAATATGTTGGAAGACTCCCAATCACCACCACATCGATTTCGAACTCAGCCGTCCCTTGGCTTGAGATCTCCACACAGTAATATTTTTTGGATTTGGGTTCTATTGAAATATGTGATTCAAATAACATTTGGTAATATATTTTCTTTGTTTTAAATTTAAAGTATATAGAGAAATATGTTTGCAATTCTACAAAATGGAACTATTTGAGGTACTTCACTATATATAAAAACTACTTCATATAGGTTACCAAATCAAAGTCAGATGCAAGTTAATTCAAACACATTCGTATTAGAACATTTATTTTATATATACAGCAGACCAAAACAAATCCACCATTCTTTAAAGTAAGTGAAATGAAGGTAAAAAGGAAACAAATTTCTAAAAAAAATAAAAGTTATGTTACCTGAAAACTATTATATTCAATAACTGATTAGAAAACATAGATGACCAAAAACTACCATATAAAAATTCAACAAAAAGTCTCTTTGAATACTAAATTAGTTATTTGCTTCAACTTCTAACAAAAATCGATAAGCAAACAAATTTACCCAATGCTCATCAGTATATTTTTACCTTTTCACGGTTCACCATAAAAATATCTTTTAAAGACTCTAACTGGTGACATGTAAAGGAACAAAAAGAATGAAAATGAATGGAATGTAGAGGAATAAAATATATGGAATTCATTCCTCCTCATATTTTATAAGGAATATTTTAACACTATAATTCCCTAATTAATATGGAATGATAAGGAATAATATGGAATAATATGGAATGCACATTCCTTATAAATGGTGTAATTTTAAAGGAATGAAGGGGAATTGTCTTATTCCCCCTCATTCCTTGGTCACCAGTTACAGCCTAAACAATCATGACCTGATGAAACAAAAACAAACCTGAGAAAACAACTAAACTAAATGATTTAATCAATACAAGCGTATGTAAGAGAACCAATATTCTATGTTCCATCTTTTTGTTTTGACAACATTCTATGTTCCATCTTAGTTACGAAATTCAGATGTAATAAGGTAGATGATAGCTGAACTGAAGCAGAAAAGTGGATATGATATTCACTGTTGAGTATGTTTTTATAAGTTCAAGGTAAAGAAATAAAATATAATATTATACATTATACTTTAACCCAAAACAAAAATCTTATATATTATATCAATAACAAAAAAAACAGATGGAACATTATATAACCATCTTTATTTTTATAATTATATATATGAATTGAAGCCAACCTTCTCCATATAATTGACATATGGACACTCATTGGATTGATACATGGCAAAACTTTTAAATAGACTAATCTCTTCACATTTTTAATTGTTATAGTCATTATACACAGTCGATTGTTTCACCCTCCATTAATTTTCAATATTTTGTCATTGTTTACAAGCTGAACTGTTTAGCAAATAAATAAGATTTAGAGTTATTAATTGAAAAGAAGAGGAAAAGTCATGTCATTAGTTACAAGTCAGTTCATTCTACGTAGTAGTAAGTAAACAAAGAGAGTTGATGGCAAATAGACATGTGGTATAATATCAAAATATAGATCTGAAAGTCAGTCACTAACCAGATAAGTTGGAGTTAAAATGTGAGTATTATTTGGATTATAATTTATAATATTAATAATCACAAATCTAAAATTTGAACATTTTTTTAAAACTATAACAATTAGAAAACCCGCACGTATACGCGAGCATTAGTTATCCAAAAACGAAATCCACTATCCAGAGCCGGACTTACATTACCATTAAACATTTGAATAAGAGTGGCAAAGATGAAATGAAGTTTTATCATGTTTCAACTTAATTAATAGGTAGACTTAATTCTCTCTACAATTTTGTTCATGCGCTCAATATGTTTCTCTTTTGGAGGTATACATTCCCTCACGATCTCAACCTCATTCAAATTCTTGATCCATCTGTTTAATTCTGGAAAACTCTCCTCTGGAATCATATCAATTTCCATACATTCCCAAGCCCGATCTAGACAGAACGGGATCATACTTCCTGCGACCATGTCCAAGAATCCGATCGTCTTGCCCCCAAAGAAATCTTTTCCAGTGACTTCCTTCTCAAGAAACGTAAGCAGTTCTCGAGTCTCTTCGATAGCAACTTCTATCCCCTTGTCTGCTTTTACCAAGGACATGAACCCTGCTGGTAGGATCTACAAGACTTAAATCAAATCTATAAGAAATAGTACTTTAAAAAATATAATATTCTGCTTATAATCTTGAAATGTATTGAATTCGTTAGCTTACCTGTTCATCGACGAACTTAGCCAAGAATCGAGCCATGGCCTTTTCGTAAGGATCTTGCGGCAGGATTGGATTGTGACTCCATGTTTGGTCAATGTATTCGAGGATCACATGTGACTCGGATAATATTTTATCATTGTGGACAAGAACCGGAACTTTCTTGTGAACCGGGTTAAGCTCAAGAAGCAAAGGCGACTTTTTGGGCACTAGAAGCTTCACACTCTCTTCTTTCTTCGCCATTGGATCTCAATATTATAAATTTTTATTCTCACTCCACTGTTCTTCTTCTCTAGTTTTCTTCTGGTTCGTTTGCTTGGCTGACTACTAATTTACTGATTATATGTGAAGCTGCAAGTGATCAAAACGAGGACATAATCAATTAAAAAACACCATTTCTTATTTATTTTTGTGAGAAAAACACTAATTGAGTCATTGTGAGAAAAACACTAATTTTATCCCAAAAAAAAGTGAGAAAAACACTAATTGAGTCATTGCTGACGACATTCTGCTTATTTTATTTCGTTGGCTTTATTAATCACGAGACATTACCACGTAGTCACTTTACTTACCACGTTGTTCCTTTACGAATTTCAAAATTTAATCTTATCCTATTGCTAACACTTTCGAAATTTTGTTTTTGTTTGTTTGTTTTCTATAGATTTTCTGCGTTAATTTAGTAGAGAGAGGACTGAAATCAAGTAAATGCAGCCAGCCACATTCCATCTTTATTTAGAAATTTCCAATAACAAAACGTACGATGCAAGCAATCCCGGACCAAGAAATACGAAATGTTTTATTTTAGGCAGACTTGATTCTCTCTGCAACATTGGCCATGCGCTCAATCTGTTTATCCCTTGGAGGGATGCATTCCTTCGTGGCCTTAACTTCCTTCGTGGACAAGAACCGGAACTTTCTTGTGAACCGGGTTTAGCTCAAGAAGCAAAGGAGTCTTGTTGGGCAAGTCTTCCTCCAAGTATTCATATGGTACGCCTTTGAGTTTGAGAGCCATCTCAACCCTACGACTGAAAGGGCTTGCCCAAAACCCTAGAAGCTTCACTACTCCTTCCTTCTCCTCCATTTTAATTTCTCTCACTTTTTACTATCTCACTCCTCTGTTTCTTAACTTGTGAAAATGAGGATGTGGTTAATAAATAGTTAGAAGAAAGACCATTTAGCTTCTTTTTCTTGGTCTCCAAGAATATTTTGAAGATCAAACAAGAAGTAGGATTATTTTAAAAGCATGCACGTCACTGCCAACGTCACTCGTCTTATCTTTGAAAATGTTACAAAAACATATTAGTCAACATCTCCGGATCAAAGATCATGTTTGTCTCTTATAGGCAGATTTGATTCTCTTTGCGTTTCTTTTCAAGTGCTCAATATGTTCTTCTCTTGGAGGTACACATTCTCTCACGATCTCAACCTCATTCAAATTCTTGATCCATCTGTTTAGTTCTGGAAACTTCTCCTCTGGAATCATATCGATTCCCATAAACTCCCACGCTCGAACACCACAGTATGGGATCATAGTTCCGATAACCATGTCCAAGAATCCAATTTTCTCTCCGCCGAAGAAATCTTTTCCGGTGACTTCTTTCTCAAGAAACATAATGAGTTCTTGAGCCTCCTTGATTGCAACCTCGATTCCCTTCTCTGCCTTCACTAGAGACCTGAATCCAACTGGTGCGAGCTACAAGATAGTATTTTAGTTCGTAGCAAAACCAAAGATTGTATTTTAGTATTCATAGACCCAAAAACCGAAAATCCGAATGAAAAACAAACCGTTACAAAAAAATAATTGGAAATATGTAGTATTTTAGTAATGCATATAGAATGCTGATTTAAATATCTCAAAAGCTATTGAGCTTCAACTTTCAAATAATTGGTTGTTCTCTAAAGAAGTTGACAACTAAAGTTCACCTATGAGATAAATTAACAAGGAATTGGTTTCAGATTTACTTGTTCATCGACGAATTTGGCAAGGAATCGAGCCGTGGCTTTCTTGTAGGGATCTTGAGGAAAAATTGGATTGTTTGTCCATGTTTGGTCGATGTATTCGAGGATCAGATTTGACTCGAGTATTGGTTTGCCTTTGTGGACAAGAACCGGAACCTTCTTGTGAACCGGGTTTAGCTGGAGAAGCAAAGGGCTCTTGTTGACAATATCTTGCTCCAAGTACTCGTAAGGTACGCCTTTAAGTTTGAGAGCCATCTCGACCCGACAGGTGAAAGGGCTTGCCCAAAACCCTAGAAGCTTCACTCTTTCTTCTTTCTCTGCCATTGGATCTCACTTGCTCTTTCTGTACTTGTTTTCTTTTTCTTCTTCTTTGACTAGTTTCCTTTGCGTTTGTTATCTTTATTGATTATATTATTTGAAAACGACAAGGGACCACATTACACCTTTTTTTTCTTAGAAGATAAACCCAAAATGAATAATTTTAAACACGTCGTCGTGGCTCACGTCACTTTTGGACATTTTAGGATGGAATTTTGGTTTATTTTAATTTGGATTTGCCTTTGGTCCTACTAAGGTGCAAGACTCGAGCAAGATCACTGAAAAATATCATGAATGGTTCATGAACAAATTAACTTGATCTCGACAGCATTAGCATCATGTTCCAAGTCATCATTCACTATGCTTGCCTTGCTGTTTCTTCAGCGGTTGATGAAATGATAGACTAGTTTTTAATGAAAGTCTGTTTGCTGATGTAATGATGTTAAACCATATGGTTTCAATGCTCAAGTCCAATTGCTTGCATATTTTGCACTACGTGATTGCTATGCATTTTCACATGTGTCTCAACCCTGTTTTCTTGTGCTTGCGGAAACATGAACATGAACTTGCAAGGTAGAAACTATATGAATCGGGATGTGACTGTCCACCACACTATTCAGCAGTCCATTGTAAATTATTGTTTGACTGTTTTTGCTATCTATGATTTGTTGTAGATTACATAACAACGATCGATAGTCTAGAACTTATTTTCTTTGTTGCAAGAAAAGAAAAGAAAATCTATAGTTTCTCTCATATTCGCCTAACATTTATTCAATCTCTTGGTGGAAACATTTCCTCAATGCATTTCGGCTGGATCAGAGGAATGGGATGGATCTTCTTGAAAGAATCGGGAGAAATCCTAACCACCAAAAGCTCAGTGGAGCCATCAGTAGCCTCACCTCTGTCGATCCGATCAACCCTCAACCATGTTCTGGAAATTGGAATCATTAATCTCCACTTCAAGTCCAGGCAAATTTACGGAATCCTCTTTAATATTCAAACTCACATGTTCTCTTCTATCAGATCGCGAAAAATGCGAAGAGTCGTTTTGTGACTTTACTCTCGCAGGGTCCCATCCGTGTACCCGGTTTCCCTCAGTTTTAGTGAATTGCTGTTCAAAAAAACAAAAGTGTATGATTTGCACTTAAAAACTTTTGGATTAATGCGAACATAATAGTTTATTCCATACTTTCATTAAGATTCATATACATCATCGCTCAACTGATTATTACAAGATTATAACTTAGAAAGACGGCACACAGTGAAACAGCAAAACAAGAACACAAACACACAGATAAAAACTCTGTTTCAAAAACTCCAAAGATGGTCCTAAGATTGTTGAATCAGCCGGAGATCTGAATAGACTTGACATCAGCCTTCTTAGTCTCCGCCTTAGGCACAGTGACAGTCAAAACGCCATTCTCCATCGCAGCTTTCACCTCATCCATCTTCACATTCTCCGGCAGCCTAAACCTCCTCGTGAACTGCCCGCTCGATCTCTCCACGCGGTGCCACGTGTCGTTCTTATCCTCCTTCTCCACGTGTCTCTCTCCGCTGATCTTCAAAACGCTCTCTTCCTCGATCTCCACCTTCACTTCCTCCTTCTTCAGTCCAGGCAAGTCCGCCTTGAACACGTGCGCCTCTTCCGTCTCCTTCCAGTCCACACGTGCGTTCACGATCGCAGAGTTTTCTCGGGAAAGCGAAGACGGCATGATATCCTTGAACGGATCCCAAACGTGAAGAGAGAAAGGATCGTAGATGCTGTTACTACTACCACGCCTGTTGTTGCCAAAAAAGCTTGGAATCATCGACATTTTCAGTGAATCTGAAACAAGGGTTTGCTGAAGTTAATTCGATTTCGCTGCTGAGAAACTTTGTGAATTTGATTTTCGAGTTGTGAGGAAACTCTGAGAATCGGAGAAACTATATAAAGGGAACAAACGAATTTTCTCGAGCTTCTGGTTCTGTGTAAACAAGACACATCCAGATGACTTGCGAGACAGAACAAATCAGGTGAATCCAGAAAGTTCGAGGATATTATCTGAGTTTATGGGCCTTTATGGGCTTTCAGAGTAACTCCATAATCGGCTATATCTGGGCCTATCTTATTTTAGATTATATTAGGGCAAACAGTTCTAATCCAACGGTTTGTAGACGTTAAGATCCACTTAAGTGGAAATCATGCTGGGACGCAATTCCTTGGTTTATTAAGGAATCTCGATAGTCCGATTATATACCTGAAGTTTGTTAGCTTGGGAAACCGGAGGGAAAATCGAACCGAGTTTCTATACGGTTTTCACTTTCTATAAAACCAATGAATCGTAACCAAAAAGAGAAAAAGAACAACTAAACCGTGCCAAAATAATTAGGACAGGTACTTATATAAACGTCAACAAAAATTAGGGCATCCAAGGAACAGAACCACCGTCTCTTGACTATGTTACTTCCGGAGGACGTCATCGTGGACATCATAGCGCGTGTAAGGAGATGCGACTATCCAAATCTCTCCCTCGTTTCTAAGAATTTTCGGTCACTTGTTGCGTCGCCTGAGCTATACGCGAGACGGTCCCTGTTGGGCTGCACCGAACAATGTCTCTATGTTAACGCTGAGCTCGAGAACAGCGAAACCCCTGAGGACCGTTTGTATATTCTCCGCCGGAAAACAAACGGAAATCACCGCTTGGTTCTTATCCCTTCGCTTCCCGCTATGCCTAGGAATGGAAAGTACGTCACGGTGGGCTCGAAGATATATGTGTTTGGTAGGATATATAACCATCACAAGACGAGATCGATTGCCTTAAGCATCGATTGTATATCTCACACGGTGCAACCCCTCCCGAGCATGCCTATAAACTTGATTGTTGGAGTGGCTGACTTCATCGATGGGAAAATATATGTATTTGGATCTGGCGAAAATGACTTGAACAAGGTTAAGATGCTGGTGTTCAATACAGAAACACAAATTTGGGAGAAAGATATCATAAAGCCAGACGTTGATATAGATCTCAATTGGCCTAGATACGTGGTGGTGATGCATAAGATGTATGTGAGAGTTAGTGATAAAACCTTTGTTTACGAGCCAAATGAGAGTAAATGGGGAACCGACGAGATGCTGAATTCAAAGAGGTGGGAGAATGCTTGTGCGGTCGATGACGTAATGTACTATTACAGTTGCTTGGGGAAAAAGTTAAGAACTTATGATCCAAAGAAGAGGTGTTGGGGAGTGGTTAATGGTTTGGAAGAGGCGGAGAAGAGAAATTCATGGTGGTCAGATACTGTGAATTACGGTGGGAAACTTGCTTTGTTTTTCCCTGAACTAGAACTAGAAAGAAGAACACGTCAGATTTGGTGTGCTGAGATTTCACTGGAAAGAAGACAAGGAGGGGAGGTTTGGGGTAAAGTTGAGTGGTGTGATCAGATTATGGTTCCTGAGAATTTTTTCTTGATAAAAGCTCTAGCTGTTATGGTTTGATGCTGAAACTCTATTTCATATAAACTGTGTTTGATTTCTGTTTTTTTTTTTTCTACTTTATTTTTTTGAAATTTCTTTGTTGAGCTTTACCCAAACGCCTAGATGAGAGTTTTCTTTGCAGCACTATATGGATCATTGCCACATTGTGCCCTAGATGAGATGTTTACTCTTTTTTCTTTTTATTTCAATACCATAAGCCTAAAGTGTCTCGTAAATGGAAACTGGCATCAACACGTCTCAAACAAGATCAATGGGGGATGAAGCAACTAACGGCTGATTGTTTTAAGTTATTTCTCTTTTGTTTTCAGAATTGGCGCACTTGTTAATTGGTTGATTAGTTCCACACCAACTAAAATATCATTTTTTTCATTCGAATCATTGATCAGAAACTGAAGAAACAGTAGAGACCTTGTCGGTTCTTGATCTTTCGTTTACCAACATTTTAATTAGATGTCAACGAAGTTTTGTAGGAACTTGAGATAAGAGCTTTCTGCGTTGTAACTTTTAGTTTCAAAGACTTGAAGCGTACCACAAAAGGTTTGTGCGTCATTGGCAGTGGTTCTGTTTTCAAACCCAGTACTACAAAACATGCATGAAGCCTTTGCAACGTCTTAATGTTTTCAATATTAATTTACAACTGTGAGTTGTTTTATCTGGACCAAAAACGGCCGTCAGTTGAAAGAAGACATCATCACCAGAGTGTTTAGCTTTTTCATTTTTATGTGCGCTCTCCGTTTGTAGAACAGAACCATTTCTCATCACGTACCTTATGATATGATTCACTCTTTAATTTCACCTAGCAATTTAGTCAGGACCAGTGTTTTGAAAGCTATCTACTTCCTGAGCTCTTTTTGAAATCCCTATATAATATAATCTACGACCAGACTTGTATTTAATTGGTTGTAATATAGTTTTAGTTTTTTCTACGTATATCAGGTGTGTACTAACACTATCCTCTTTGGTCTCTGCTATATATATTGTTAAGTAAATACACGATCTCCTAAAGGGAGGTACAGAGGTTGGGGAAACTCGCACTCCTTTGCTCAGCTACACAATGCATTTTCTCATCACTGTATGAGACGAAACATGTAAACAATGGACACCGTTTTTGTTTTCTTTCGTTTGGTCTGCATGACTGCATGTGACATCATTTCAACTGTTTGTAAGGCTGTGCGAATGAAGGTTTACGGTAAATTATTTATACCATACTTTTACTAAATTAATGCTCATCATTCGTCAAATACATCATATGATCATCGCTCAACAAATTCAGACAAACAACACAAAGTGATATCAGAAACAGAACACATAATATAAAAACTCTGTAATAGAAACTCAACGCTTAAATCAGCCGGAGATCTGAATAGACTTGACATCAGCCTTCTTCGTCTCCGCCTTAGGCACAGTCACAGTCAAAACCCCATTCTCCATCGCAGCTTTCACCTCATCCATCTTCACATTCTCCGGCAACCTAAACCTCCTCGTGAACTGCCCGCTCGACCTCTCCACGCGGTGCCACGTGTCGTTCTTATCCTCCTTCTCCACGTGTCTCTCTCCACTGATCTTCAATACGCTGTCTTCCTCGACCTCAACCTTCACTTCTTCCTTTTTCAATCCAGGCAAGTCCGCCTTGAACACGTGCGCCTCCTCCGTCTCCCTCCAGTCCACACGTGCGTTCACGATCGCAGAGTTTTCTCGGGAAAGCGAAGAAGACGACGGCATCATGTCCTTGAACGGATCCCAAACGTCAAGAGAGAAAGGATCGAAGATGCTGCTACCACTGCCACGCCTGTTGTTGCCGAAGAAGCTCGGAATCATCGACATTTTCAGTGAATTTGAAACAAGGATTTGCTGAAGTTAATTCGATTTCGTTGCGGAGAAAGTTTGTGAATTTGATTTTCGACTTATGAGGAAACACTGAGAATCGGAGAAACTATATAAAGGGAACAAACGAATTTTCTCGAGCTGGAGACAAGAAACATCCAGAGGACTTGAGAGAAATAAAATCAGGTGAATCCAGAAAGTTCTAGGAGGATTATCTGAGTTTATGGGCCTTTATGAGCTTTCAGAGTAAGTCCATAATCGGCCATATCTGGGCCTATCTTATTTTCAGATTATAATACAAACAGTTCTAAATTCTAATCCAACGGTGTGTAGAGAGACTTTGAGATCCACTGAAGTTTGTTCACTTGTGTGGGGCACAATGAAGTTTAGTGTGAATACGACTTGAATGTTACTAACACTTTAGTGAAACTTTTAGATCTACTGAACTGCTTACATTTGAATGCTACAACGTGCATTAACGTTATGCCTCAGCTTCTTACATTACATATTGACAAAACAAGCTTCAACATAATGGCAATATGTAATGTAATATAATAAGCTTAGCAAAAGAAAATATTGTAATCGATCCAAATTGATATACACGTATGTTAACAATGGAACACCATGTTCATCTCAAGACACGAAAATGCTCTCACTCGCATAAAATACCGGTTTTAAATTTTCACTGTTTCCCCAAGGAGCAATTTTTGTGTGTGGATATACGGTAAAATCTACAAACCAGAATTTATATTTTATTGTTCGTAATGTAGTTACACGATGAATAATAGCTTGGGGAAACCGGAGGAAAAAACGAACCGAATTTCTAAGTCTAAGGTTTATATAGTCTACGGTTTTCACTTTATATAAAACCAATGAATCGTAACCAAAAAAAAGAAAAAGAACCAAACCGTCCCAAAATTAGGACAGCTTATATAAACGTGAGCGGATGATGTCAACCAAATTAAATTAGGGCATCGAAGAGACGGCGGCGTCTCTTGACCATGTCACTTCCGGAAGACGTCATGGTTGACATCATAGCGCGTGTAAGGAGATGCGACTATCCAAATCTCTCCCTCGTTTCTAAGCACTTTCGGTCACTTGTTGCGTCGCCTGAGCTATACGCGAGACGGTCCTTGTTGGGCTTCACCGAACACTGTCTCTATGTTAACGTTAACCTCTATAACAGCGAAACCTGTGACCGTGACGACCGTTTGTATATTCTCGGCCGGAAAATAAACCGCCATCTCCGCTTGGGTCTTGTCCCTTCGCTTCCCGCAATGCCTACGAATGGAAAGTACGTCGCCGTGGGCTCGAAGATATATGTGTTTGGTTGGACTTGGAATTATAAACATCACAATACGAGCTCGACTGCCTTAAGCATCGATTGTAGATCTCACACGGTGCAACCCCTCCCGAGCATGCCCATAAACTTGACTGCTGCAGTGGCTGACTTCATCGATGGGAAAATTTATGTACTTGGATCAGTCGAATATGACTCGAACAAGGTTAAGATGAACATGGTTAAGATGAAGATGGTTAAGATGGTGGTGTTCAATACAGAAACACAAATGTGGGAGAAAAAGATCATAAAGCCAGACGTTGAGATAGATCTCAGGTGGCCTAGTAACGTGGTGGTGATGGCTGATAAGATGTATGTGAGAGGTACTGATAAAACCTTTTTTTACGAGCCAAATGATAGTAAATGGGGAACCGACGAGATGCTGAATTCAAAGAGGTGGGAGAATGCTCTTGTGGTCGATGACGTAATGTACTATTACGATAATAATGAGAAAAAGTTAAGAACGTATGATCCAAAGAAGAGGTGTTGGGGAGTGGTTAATGGTTTGGAATACTTGTTTGCTGGGACGACAGATTCGTTGTGGTCACAGAATGCAAGTTACGGTGGGAAACTGCAGGTTTAGTTTTTTGACAGAGAAAACTCAGATTTCTTGGGGAAGAATATACCAAAACAGATTTTGTTTGCGGAGATTTTGTTGGAAAGAAGACAAGGAGGGGAGAGTATTTGGGGTAAAGTTGAGTGGTGCGATCCTCGGGTTATGATTCCTCGGAATCTTTGCTTAAAAAAATCTCTACCTGTTATTCTTTGATGCTGAAACTCTATTTCATATAAACTGTGTTTGGTTTTATGTATATTTGTTTTTCTTTTTTTTTGAAAATTTCTTTGTTGAACTTTATACCCAAACGCCTAGATGAGAATTTACTTCGAGCACTCTAGATCATTGCGACATTGTGCGCTTATTGGTTATGTCTCAAGATGTTTACTCTCTTTATGCCTTTTTTCCTTTCCACACCATTTTTGTGGCAAAATTTCTACTCTTGATCACTTTCTTTGCTTGCTGTTGAGGCAAACCCAACTTGTTTATGCACCTTGTTTAATTTAAACTGCTGTACTCAAAGATATAATCACTTGAGAGCTTGTTGCCTGAACGCTTGCTCGGCTAAAGCTACAAGATTATGAATCAGCTTTGATGTTGTCCTCGGATTTAACTTAAAGTATGTTGCGGTGGGCTCGAAGATATATGTGTTTGGTAGGATTTATAAGCATACTATATGACGCCGAGTACCGTGAGCATCGATTGTAGATATCACAAGGTGCAAACTTTCCCGAGCATGCCTATACACTTGGCTGGTACAATCGTGGGCACCATCAATGGGAAAATATATGTAACTGGATATTGCAATAATGACTTTAAGAAGGTTACGATGGTAGTGTTCAGAAACACAAATGTGGGAGCCAGAGATTATAAAGCCAGACATGGAGTTAGGTCTCATGCTAAACTCACTTACAAGGAGAGTACATGGGGAACAGACGAGATGCTAAACTCAAAGATGTGGGTGGGATGGTGTGCTGAGATTTCACTGGAAAGAAGACAAGGAGGGGAGGTTTGGGGTAAATTGAGTGGTGTGATCAGATTATGGTTCCTGAGAATCTTCTCTTGATAAAAGCTCTAGCTGTTATGGTTTGATGCTGAAACTCTATTCCATATAACCTGTGTTTGATTTCTTTTTTTTTTTTTTTTTTTTTTTTTTTGTTCTTTTGAAATTTCTTTGTTGAGCTTTTATGAGACATGAGAGTTTTCTTGAGCACTCTGGATCATTGCCACATTGTGCCCTAGATGAGATGTTTACTCTTTTTTCTTTTTATTTCAATACCATAAGCCTAACTAAAGCGTCTCCTAAATGGAAGCTGACATCAACACGTCTCAAACAAGATCAGTGGGGATGAAGCAACTAACGGGTGATCGTTTTAAGTTATGTCTCTTTTGTTTTCAGAAATGGCGCACTTGTTCATTGATTGATTAGCTCCACACCAACTAATACTTTATCGTTGTGGACAAGAACCGGAACTTTCTTGTGATAGCTCAAGAAGTAAAGGGGACTTGTTGGGCAAGTATTCCTCCAAGTATTCATATGGTACGCCTTTGAGTTTGAGAGCCATCTCGACCCTACGACTGAAAGGGCTTGCCCAAAACCCTAGAAGCTTCACTACTCCTTCCGTCTCCACCATTTTGATTTCTCTCGCTTTTTACCATCTTACTCCTCTCTTTCGAATTTGTCTAAACTCCTCTGTTTCTTAACTTGTAAAAATGAGGATGTGGTTAAATAAATAATTAGAAGAAAGACAATTTAGCTTTCTCTTGGTATCCAAGGATATCTTGAAGATCAAACAAAGAAGAATGATTAATTCAAAAGTATGCACGTCATTGCTAACTCGTCTTATTTTTCAAAAATATTTTGCAAGCATATTTTTACAATGCAATACTATATCATCAACTTAATTTGTAAACTACTTTAGTCTCCTTTTTGTTGTTAAATAACTTGAGTCTCACAAAAAAAGAGGAGCTCTCACGGTAAATTAATTATTCCATACTTTTACTAATGCTTATCAAATACATCATCTGATCATCGCTCAACAAACTCAGACAAAACGACACAAAGTGAAATCAGAAACAGAACACTCAAGATAAAAACTCTGTAACAGAAACTCGAGCCATGGTCCTCGGATTCTTTGAATCAGCCAGAGATCTGAATAGACTTGACATCAGCCTTCTTCGCCTCCGCCTTAGGCACAGTCACAGTCAAAACGCCATTCTCCATCGCAGCTTTCACCTCATCCATCTTCACGTTCTCCGGCAGCCTAAACCTCCTCGTGAACTGCCCGCTCGACCTCTCCACGCGGTGCCACGTGTCGTTCTTATCCTCCTTCTCCACGTGTCTCTCTCCACTGATCTTCAATACGCTGTCTTCCTCGACCTCAACCTTCACTTCCTCCTTCTTCAGTCCAGGCAAGTCCGCCTTGAACACGTGCGCCTCCTCCGTCTCCCTCCAGTCCACACGTGCGTTCACGATCGCTGAGTTTTCTCGGGAAATCGAAGAAGACGACGGCATCATATCCTTGAACGGATCCCAAACATCAAGCGAGAAAGGATCGAAGATGCTGCTTCCACTACCAGGCCTGTTGTTGCCGAAGAAGCTCGGAATCATCGACATTTTCAATGGATTTTCTCAAATAAAATTGGAATTTCTGGTTTAGTTGCGAGTTTGATTTTCGACTTCTGAGAAATCACAGAGACTAGCTGAATCTATTTAAAGGCACAAACCGAAATTTCTCGAGCTTCTCGAATTTTTCGTGTAAACGGAAACATCTAGGACGTGAAAGACAAATTCAGGTGAATCCAGAAAATTCCACGAGGACTGTAACTGACTTCATGGGCCTTTCTCAAATCCATAAGAATGGGCCTTTGTATGGGCCTATCATATGTTCTTGGATCAGAATAATGTATCTGGTCTAATTAAGCAGCTGTAATCCAACGGTGTATAGAGACTTTTGAGATCCACTTAAGTGTGGGGTCATATAATTGGTGACGAAATTCGCGCGTCGAATAAGGGAATCTGGATCGTACGATTATAAATTTCTACCCTTTTTACCTTCTGTTTTTAACTAAATCCGTCGGCCACAAAAAGATGTCTCACTCTTTTTCTTCCTCTTCTAAAATAAAATAAAAACAACTTTCCACGAAAAACTCGGCGAGCAAAATCACACTCTACTCCAACAACTCTCTCTCTCTTCTCTCATTCGACTTGTCCATTCTCTCTATCTACAATTTAAGAAGCTCAAATAATCCTCTCTCTCTCTTACTCTACTCTCTCTACCTTCGTATATAGCTGCAGATAATAAAGGTCAGCTTCGTCGGCGCGATTCCCGCTTCCTGATTTTACGGGATGATTAGAGAGAGATCTGTTTCTCCTCGTAATTGATGTTCTGATCTGAGATTTTTACCCACCCATGGCTGCTCCAGTCTCTGTGTTACACGCGCACTGATTCTTACGAGGTACGATTTTTGGAGCTTTCCGGTCTCTCCCACTCTGCCATTAATTGTTTCGCCTGAGGATAAAATCTCATATTAATGTCGTGAGTTTTTCGATATGCTGTAGTCATTTCCGATTTGATAATGTTTGTTTTAGACTTTTAGTGGTTCTTTTGGTAAACTGGTAAAAGTTGATGAGGAATATCGGCAAGAATGTGACTGAGATTTTGGATTTTCTTTTGTATAGTTAGGTTTGCCTTTTTACTCAGCTTTATCTCTTTTAGAGATTCTTGCCAGATCCCATTGATTCTAAAGGATCTATAGCTCATGAGCTTTTTCAGTCTGAAAGTTTTAACATTTTGCTTACTCTATCCGAAAATTGTGAAGATTCGTTACAGATTTTGATACCCTGTGTGTGGATAAGACTGACATTTTTTGTTGTACTTGTTATGGTCTCTTAACATTTTCTCTTCTCTCTGCAGATTATTCAGAGCATTTTGAGTGTTTTGCAGTAGAATGAGAGGCTAAGGGATTACCTGAGTGCTGGTTAAACTTGTCAAAACAATTCACTCAGATAAGTTTGAGCATTGTTTAAGCTTTTGCAGTAGAATGGGAGGCTAAGGGACTATCTGAGTGGTGCTTAAACTCTGTGAAAAGAGATGGAGTGTCGTTTGGAGCTGAAGAAAGGTTCTAGTGATAGACCGCCTTTCGTGGCTGCTGAGAAGAAAGTATTGAGTAAAGAAAGCCAAAGGTCGTATCTGCCGGATAAGTTCAGAGATGATAAACGAGGGTTGTCTTACTCCGATTTCCACCGAGAGATCACTAAGAAAGTGGAAGACGTCTGTCCCAAACGCTTGGAGAATCGTCTCAAGTCACGGATAGGTAGGACCGCGTCTGGAGAGAGAGACCTTGTCAAGTACAAGTCCTACGTGCCGAGTTATGTGAAGAAATGTGATAAGGTTGAAGAGAAGAGTGTTAAAGCTGCTGTTGGTGGTGGCATTGGTTCACAGGACTTGAGAAATAAGCTATCTTGTGGTGATAAGCATACAAAGTCTTCATTGTCAAACACAAGCACGTCTTCATCACTCTGGACTGATGAATCATCGACTGATTCAAGCAGAGGTCTTTGTGCTTCTTCTCCGTTTCGCAAAAGGATTAATCATCCTCCGTTGCAGTATTATCTCATGTCATCTAAGCCAGGAGATTGTCCTCAAGATTTTGTTCCGCCTCAAGATAATGGTGATACTTCCCAAAGTCATAGCAGAGATGTGCAGTTTCATCAAAGCCCTCGTGGAACTGCATTCTTGCAGAACGAGAAGAAAGATTCAGATTCCAAGATTGTTCCGAAAACCAGGACTTTCTTGAGTCCATCGAAGCCTGATCTTCCTTCTTGCACAAGGGTGATATCAAGGAATCTAGCTGATGATTTTAAGAAGAAAGCGGACAAGTTGGACGAGAGAATCAGAAACCCTCGTGTTCATGATCTCTTTGGGAAAGAAAAGCCTGCTGCTGTGTTTGTGCCAGGCATTGTTTCTCAGAAACAGATAATCGGTTTGTCCAAGTTCTACGATTCAAAAGTGTTGCTCGCCGAGCGATTGGCGGAAACTAATCGAAAGGGGCAAGACTCTGATGTAGGTCACTTCCGACGTGAAGCTGATGGAAGCAAACCGTTCTTAAAGCGTATGAACTTCTTGAGTGCAGAGAAGAATAGATCTTGCTCAGCTCCAAGATCAAGAAAGTCTGAGTCTAGTCCCTCCAGGAGCAGGCCTTTAGATAGAAGGTCAACAGAAACATTACCCACACAGTCAGATCAGAAACCAGGCAAAACTGTATCGGAAAGAGCAAGAAGCATTTCACCTTTTCGCCGGCTCAGCTTCAGCATCGGAAAGTCCAGCAAAACCTCCAACAACGAAGACGCTCAGACTCCTCCTCACCACTTAAGCACATCACTTATTTCATCACGAGCTGGTTTAGACAATAGATCCACCTCTTCTATCAGTGACAACAGCTCTTCTTTTGATAATACCAGTACTGCAAACAGAGGCAGGTCTAGTCCTTTGAGAAGGTTGCTCGAGCCACTGATAAGACCGAAATCAAGCCATGCGTGTAGATCTCCTGAGCCATCACTAAAGTGTTCACCTTCAAGTCAACAAAAGCATGTTCTCTCCGATGGCCAATCCTCTTCTTCAACCATTCTGTCAAGAAGTGGAAGATCTTCAACAGTTCAGGCTCTTTTCCGTGTGACGTCCAAGAATGATCAACCACTGTTCACTTTTGCGGTTGACAAGGAACAAAGTATCACAGCAGCCACAATAAGGAAACAGATAGCTCCGGAGAAGGAAGAATGTGGACACAAGTATACGTTTTTCACTGTGCAGGAAGTACAGAAGAAGAACGGAAAATGGATGAACAACAGCAGGAAGGTTCCAAGCCAAGAGTACACATCCAACATTGTCGCTCAGATGAGAGTCTCGGGTTCTGTTGATAACCTCTCAACCAGAGAATTTGTACTATTCGCATCTGAATCGCAGCGGACAAACGAGCTAGCTGCAATGGTAATCAAGATCCCAAAAACTGGTGACACGAGCTCAACCACACTTGGAGATTACTTTGCAGACGTGAACGCAACAGTGGTGCTTCCAAGTGGGATTCACAGTCTCCCACACAAAGGAGGGCCTTCGTCGCTGATCCAACGGTGGAAGTCAGGTGGATCATGTGACTGTGGAGGCTGGGACATGGGTTGCAACCTCAGAATCCTCACCAATCATCAGTCTAATAAACCCACAAACCTCTCTCCTTCCACTTCAGATGCATTCAAGATCTTCTTTCAGGTTTATATAATAACATCACAAAACTGTGAATCCTACTACTACATTATGAAACTCATTAGTGTGTGATTTTTTGTTGTTGTTGTTGCAGGGAGGGTTACAGGATAATAACAACCAGCCATACTTGGGTTTCACTCCATACAGAGAAGGTGTGTACGCGGTTGAGTACAACACATCACTCTCTCTATTGCAAGCATTCTCCATTTGTATAGCGGTTAACGAGGGACGGAATCCGGTGAAGACCGTGGAGGAACCGAACAGCAAAGCTAACGGAGAAGTTTCGTTGATGGTTCAAAACGAGAGGTTGAAGTCATTTTCAGGTCCTATTGAAGCTGAGGCTCCGGCTAAGTATCTATCACACGGTTCACACCCACCTTTGTCTCCTGTAGGGAGAGCTTAATTTAGTCTGCTTCTTCAAATAATCTGCTATATATATAAATATATGATGTGGGTGGTATTTTCCATGTAATTACGGTGTGGGAGTAGATTACGGTTACATAGAAATTTGTGGAACATGTTTTAATCGAATATATCCATTTGAAATATTAAGCAAATAAAGTATTGTATGTGTTCTTTTTTCTCTACTTGTTGGTCGACCCTAGTTTACGAGCCCCATTTTAGTAGTTGTCCATAAACAAAGTTTATTGATCTAAACTTTTCATGAGACTTTCTTTCATTTAAATCATTTAAAGACAGTATAAGCAAATTAATTTAGTTGCTTTGTAAGGTAAATATGATGCATTTGATGTTATGTTACAAAAACTAAAAATTGGACACATGATTGAAAAGCAGCATAATACTGTAAGTGCAGAGATATATTTAATTACCAAAACAATAGCTAGCTATTTTTTTTTCTATATTGTCACGTTAGTCTAAAAAAAAGAAATATCTCAAAAGGTGTTGATCGTCTTGATAGTCAAATTGCTCAAAAATTACACGATTTCATGCTACCTAGAATTTCACATATAATAGCACTTTTTAAGCTATCAAGAACAACTATAATTTTTTGGACAGTTTGAACTTTTGATTAATGTAAACTAGTATGGCTATCATTTATTATGATATTACCATATCATTAATATTTTTGTATACATAAATGTCATATATTCAAACATATAATATAAATTTCAATATTAACATTATTCATCCTATCACTGTTTCTTTTATTCATCCTATTAATTCACAAATTAACAAGTTAAAATCGGCTTAGGGTTTCAAGAAAATGAAAAACTAGAAATATTTGCGTGGTTTTGTTTTTGAAAAGTGATCATCAAACAGAAACATGGTACTCGCGCTATCTTAGTTGTAACACGTGACAAAGATTTCAGCGTTGCTGAAGAGGTAATTTATATATCAAAATAAGAAAAAGTGATGATATAATTTCTGCTGTCCAATAAGTACATCTTAGGATTTATTTTCTATCTTTAGTTTATGTTTCAAATCTACCATCTTACCATACATCTCTTCTAAATATAGTATTTTACAACATATTATATTAGTTTATGTTCCACATCCACCATTTTACTATATCTCTTCTAAATCTAGTATCTTACAACATATTTTTAATAATACGTTTGCACATCAATGCAACTATTTTCTCCAAAAGAAAAACGAATTTTGAGCAAAATAAAATAATAATCTAGTATTTTACAACATATTTTAGTTTATGTTCCAGATATATCATCTTACCAGAGAGGTAATCTCTCTGCCAAATCTCGTAGCTTACAACGTATTTTTAATAATACGTTTGCAGATCAATGCAAATATTTAATCCAAAAGAGAAAAGAATTTTGAGTAAAATAAAATAGTAATGGTGCTGCCCAGGATCGAACTGGAGACCTTTTGCGTGTAAGGCAAACGTGATAACCACTACACCACAGCACCTGATGTACAATGTATTCGTTTAGGTTGTTGTAATCAAAGATTAAAGAGCTAAACTAAATATACGGTTACAGAATTGGCTCGCGAGCGGCACCAAATTGCTTTGGCTTTGCGTGGATTACACAAAAGCCGACGAGTCCTTTCCCGTAAAAAAAAAAAAAAAAAAAAAAAAAAACAGAAACACCCATTTGATTTGAATCGATTCCTCTCTTATAATTTCCAATTCCAAAATTATTGATTTTGCCATTTTGGGATATATTCTTATCGATTTCAGGTGAATTAAAACTTGTCGGTGCGATTCCATTTCCAGATTACCCACAAACGAAAAGCAGTTGCATTTGATCATCGTCCTGTAGAGATTAATGTTCATCATATTCAATACTAGTCATGCCTGTTTACGTTGATCGCGAGGCTCCAAAGGTTTCTTCTTTTGTTTCTCTGATTTTTTCCTCCGTTAATCCCAAATCTCTCTGTAGAAATTCTTTAGTTTGATATATATTTTGTCGAATGGGTTTGTGAAAGCTATGGAGACGAATTTGCTCAGAAACGACATTAGAAGCTTCTCTCCTTGCCGAAAAATGGAAGCTTGTTCTCCTTGGTCTCATGTTTCAGGTTTAAAGATAGTTTCTTTCTCGTTTTTAATGTGTTCTTGTGCTTATCCTAGCTCGGAAATTTTCAAGATTTTGTTACCTTTGTGTTGTTATTAGCTTTGCTGAAATTTGTTGGTGTTATGACATCAAAAAAACCTGACTTGTGACCGTTTCCATTTCCAATTGTTGTTTCTGGTCTCTCTCTTTCTTTCTCTCAAATCAGTACATTCATGGACTTGCTGCTCATGGAGTTCACTACTTACACCGACCTGGTCCAACGCTTCAAGACGCCGGTTTCTTCATTCTTCCTGTCAGTATCTTGCTTTGTCTTTTTCTTCTGTATCCTCCTACCTGTCTGGTTTGTTTGGTTACTGATGATATTGTGTTCCTCAGGAGCTTGGGAAAGACAAAGCCTTTGTGAGTGAATCTGTATTCGTCACTATCTTTGGATCTTTCATCTTAGTAAGTTACTTCTCTTTCAAAGTATCTGTCTTTTTTCTTTTTCGTCGACGATTTAACAAGCGGTGTTGTGTTTGATCGCAGTGGACATTTCATCCCTTTGTTTCACACAGTAAAAAGATTTGTACAGTTTTGATATGGTGCAGAGTTTTTGTTTATTTAGCTGTAAGTTGTATTTTCCTCCACTGTACATTGATTTCTTCTATTTATACACACAAATTCAAAGAAGATTAAATCTTTCAGCCTTCAATATGTTTGTTTGCAGGTTTCTCAAAGTTTGAGGATCATCACATTCTTTTCAACACAGCTTCCTGGACCGAATTATCATTGCCGAGAGGTAAGATTCTTCTGAGCGGTTTAGTCTTTTGGTTTCTTAGTTTGTAGCTTTTGTGCCATAACGAATATGTTTTTTTCTTTTCCTTACAGGGCTCCAAGCTAGCCAAGATTCCACCACCAAAGAATGTTCTTGAAGTACTCTTGATGAATTGTTAGTTTTAAAATGCCTTTTTTATGTGAATGAAAAACTCAAAAGCGGTGGTGGCATTTGATTAAAAGTTTGTGTTCAAAATTTGCAGTTCCTTATGGAGTGATATATGGTTGTGGAGATCTAATATTCTCATCGCATACGATCTTCACTTTAGTCTTTGTACGCACTTATCAAAGATACGGCACAAAAAGGTAACTGTATTTTACAAAAAGTTCATTCCTTTTTCTCAAAAGATTTTTGCAATCTCATGTTTGTAAAATTTTGCAGGTGGATCAAGCATCTGGCTTGGCTAATGGCAGTTATACAGAGCTTCTTGATTATAGCATCAAGGAAACATTACACAGTAGACATTGTTGTTGCATGGTCAGGAGAATATGAGAAATTTTTCATATCTTTTTTTTCCAAAACTGAATCCTTTTGAAATTCTCTCTCAACATTTTCTTCTGCAGGTATACTGTCAACCTTGTCATGTTCTTCGTTGACAACAAACTTCCTGGTAAGTTTACCAAAAGATTACCAAACTAGAGACTGTTTGGTATTCGTTTTCCAGTCTTGTTACTCACCCTAAGATCAGAACATTAGCATTTAGAAATTGCATTTTTTAGTTTGAGTCTTTGCTATTAGCTTGAAGAAGTAGTATAAACACAGCACAGGTTAGGTTTTGGTAAATCTTGTGCAACTGAAGAAACTGTGAATGTATCTCTTTTTGCAGAAATGGCAGAGCGTTCTAGTGGACCTTCTCAAACGCCGTTGCTTCCACTGAGCACAAAGGATGGTAAGAACAGGAGCAAAGAAGCTCAACAGAGACTTGCCAATGAGAAGAACAATGTAGCAGATGAGCATTGATCTTCCTGTCTCCAATCGCAAAATCTGATATCGTCTTTAGAGATTGTGCTTGTTTTTTTGTCCCATGTTAGACGTAAACTAAATAGTCTCAGTAGGATTACACTTTACTTTTGTGTTACAGAGCTCATTAACAATAGATGTGTTTCTTGATTTTGTTATTTCATTTCATCCCCTTTCGAAATAATGGGTTCACAGAGAACTGCAAAATTTGTTCAAATCAGCGCCAAAAATATGATGCAACTTTCTTGACAATAATAATAAACAAGATCTCTTAACAAAAAAAGAAAGAGAAAGTTTTGTCTCTTCATGATTGCCTTTAAACTGGCTTACATTGGAGGCTTGCCAGCACTTAGAAGCTGTCCAACCATTCCATTTACCTGAAAAAGATTACATGAAAAAGAAGAAAGATAAGTATTAATGTTAACTTATGAGAAGATTTGAAGTATGAAGCCATAAGTAGGCTTTGTTCAGCTAAAAAATTCAAGAGCCTTACCTGCCAGTACTTGGAAACACAACGGTCAATGCAACTATTCTCACCCATGTTTAGCTCAGCTTCCTTGTACCTGAGAATCAGATTCATTTTAGACAAACTGAATACTAAAGAAAGTCTCAACAATTACAGACAAAGTTCCATGAGATCATAGGGAACATTTATAACAGAGGAAAAGCTTTACCTTTTATCCACACATTTGTTAAAGCATGTTTGAGCAAGCCTGCAATTAAAAAGAACCAAGGTAATTTCAGAAATCAATATTCTGCATCAAGAACTTGCTGTGTCAACAAATGGTTTTCGACACAAAGACATGCACTTTCCATCAATAATTTCTCATAGAAAGATTCTAGATTTCATCCTCAAGATACTGATACACTTCTCTAGTCTAGATAGAACACTATTTGAACATAAAAAGAGAAATCATCATAACTATACAATGTGTTCAAAACAAACTCAACCGATACCAGACTAGCAATCGAAATTAAGTGTATACATCTCCTCTAATCACTTACACAAGACACTGAAAATTTCAAAGAGAGAAGAAAGTTAAAAAGGAATCGGGTCTTTGATTTAATTACTTGTTAAAGAGCTCCACACGATATTCCATCTCCGTTTGTGCCATACTAAACGCCTGATTCAATCCAAAAACAAGCAATATGAGAGAAACTCATCAATTTGGCAGTCTCACTGATCCTTCTAGGTACAAAGATCTGAATAACATAATCGATTTAACACAACATGACGACACAGAGAGACAGCAAAAGAACTTAAAACATCCATTGCCTAAATAGATCAAAGATCGTAGCTTTACAAAGAGCGAAGAAGCTCTGGAAAGGAACAAAAAACAAAAACAAAAAAACTCGAACCTGTTCCTTGCTAATGCCGGCGGGAATAGGATTGGGAGAAGCCATTTTCGCACTACCTGAAAACACAAATCTAAGATTCGTAAGAGAAAATCGAGACTTTAATACAAATCTGAAAGATCAAAAAGCTCTTACTTTATCAAAATGAGGAATTTACGCAAAATACAGTGAAGAGAGGAGGAATACGATGAGCACAGGCTTCTTCTTCTCTCTTTTGGTTTAGACAGCCGAATTAGGGTTTAAGAGACGTAAACCGCCACGTCATCAAACAAGGGGCATAAACGTAATTGTCGGACTATTAGGCACAAACTTTCTCTTATGCAGCAGCTTCCTTTTATTAGGGCTTTAGCCAAAAATCAATTCTCGCTCAAACTTTGCGATTGCAGGTATTGAACTTTTTTATGAGGAGAAACTTCTTCAGTTTCGAAACTTTTGAGGGATTTTTAGCTCTATAGAGATCTTAATTGAATTCTTACTTACTGTCTCTTCTTTTTGTTTGTTCCAGCTGGTGCTGGATTTTGAATTTTCGAGTTCTCAAAGAAATTAGTTAGTAGCAGAAGAAGCTGAAGATGGAGCACGGTTCGTTCACGAACAATAGCCATGCTTCGTTTACTCTGGCAGAAGAAGATCACACACTTGCAAACGCCGTTCGATTCATGTTAAACCAAGAGTTAGTTTCATCTTCTTTCAATCAATCATTCCCTTTTATTGTATATAGAAGAATCTATACTTTAACAGAGAAAGGTCTTTGCTTTATTATCTCACTTCACTCTGTTTTTTTTAGTCATTGAAATATCAGTTTGAGAGATTCGTGTTATAGGCAAAGAGATTATGATTTGAACAATCGATATGTTATAATTACATTGTGCTTTATGAAAACTTGAGCTACATTGACATGTTTGGCTATATAACTCTGGTTTGAGACTCTCATTGTGTATGAAATTGTATTCAATGAATGCCAAATCGTCTTGTCATTTTGCGTTAATGATGTTTCATCGTAGTCAAATTTCTCTAACCATTACTGTGGATTTATAATTCTGCAGTCCGAGAGTAACTTTGGCTGGATACAGTATCCCACATCCTTCCCTTGACCGTGTCAATATCCGTGTCCAGACAACAGGTAACGTTTTATTTCAGAACCTGTGTTCATCAGATTCGAGCTATGTTCTGTCTGGCAAACTCTATCATCTATCAGAGATATTTCTTGTGTTCACCCGAATCTGTCTGTGTTCTATAAATTTGCAGGCGATCCGGCAAGGGAGGTATTGAAAGATGCATGTCAAGAGCTCATGCTCATGAACAGGCATGTGAGGAGCGTCTTTGATAAGGCGGTTGCAGAGTTTAAGGTTGAACAAGCGCGTCTCAAGGCTGAAGAGGAAGAACGTGAGAAGGCTAAAGAAGAGCTTAAGAAGCAAAGGGAACAACTCGAGTCCATGGACATTGAAGGCAACTAATTTTTTTTCAAAGGAAACAAACATTTGTATTCTCTTTATATTAAATCCATCCTCGTTAGATCCATACTATACATTTTCAAATTCACAAATCCACACACAAAGTTGACTAATAAACAGAAACCACTATCATCTCCAATAAGTTGCTCTAAGAGGATGATCTCAAACAAATGTCCAGCCTACCAACAATTCAGTCGATGTCCTCATGACATGACAACAAATTTGCTAGCTTCTTCTTTAGTTGGGATTCAAAGAGGAGTTCATAGAGCTTCTAAAGCAAATTATGATTTAGAAAATATTGATAATCCTTAGGCAGTCGACGACGAGTACATACGTTATTAAGCAAATTGAGTTTTAGCAAAATAGGTATATGATAAATCTCGATAATCCTTAACCAGTCTACGCAGAGTACATAATAGCTAGTAATAAAACCGATAGTTACAGAAACTTAAAATAAACTTGAAAAGTAAAACAGCAACAGGAAGTTGAAGTTGAGGCTTTTCTTTGTCTTATGATTTCCATCAATAAGTTTCTTCTTGCTCGTACTCAGCATCTTCGTCTTCATACTCTCCTTCTTCATCAGCCGTAGCATCTTGATACTGCTGATACTCAGAGACAAGATCGTTCATGTTGCTCTCTGCTTCAGTGAACTCCATCTCGTCCATGCCTTCACCAGTGTACCAATGCAAGAAAGCTTTCCTCCTGAACATAGCAGTGAACTGCTCGCTGACACGCCTGAACATCTCCTGGATCGACGTGGAGTTACCAATGAACGTCGAAGCCATCTTCAGACCGGTCGGTGGGATGTCACAGACGGTGGATTTGACGTTGTTCGGGATCCATTCCACGAAGTAGGAGGAGTTCTTGTTCTGCACGTTGAGCATCTGTTCGTCGACTTCTTTGGTGCTCATCTTGCCGCGGAACATGGCTGAGGCGGTGAGGTAACGACCGTGTCTCGGGTCAGCAGCACACATCATGTTCTTGGCGTCCCACATTTGCTGGGTGAGTTCTGGAACGGTGAGGTTACGGTACTGCTGAGATCCGCGAGATGTGAGTGGAGCGAATCCAACCATGAAGAAGTGAAGGCGAGGGAATGGGATCAGGTTCACAGCTAGCTTCCGGAGATCAGAGTTTAGCTGACCAGGGAACCTTAGACAGCAGGTTACACCGGACATGGTCGCAGAGATCAAATGGTTCAGATCACCAACTGCACAAATCAGAAGAGTATATATGTGAGTCAAGTTTCAAAGCAGATTTAGTGAATAAAGAGAAGGCTCTTTGCTAATGACAACAATTTGAAACATCCAAGGAAGAATAGTGCTCAATATGATCACATCAACAAAACAAATGTCCAAATCATAGCATTTCTCTCTTAGTTGTTACTTTCCATCATAAACAATATAGCAAAGCATCAAGCAAGACAAGAGCAAAACCATTAAATTACTGAAATCAAATGGTTCATATCACCAACTGCCCAGTTAACAAGACAACAAGAGAGTATATGTGAGTCAAGTTTCAAAGCAGATTTGAAATCAATAAGGAAGATTAGTCCTCAATATGATCACATCAACAAAAACAAATGTTCAAATCATAGCCTTTTCTTTCTTAATGGTTACTTTCCATCATAAACAACAATATAGCAAAGCATCAAGCAAGACAAGAGAGCAAAACAATTGAGAAATAATAACATAATGTGATATTGATGGAGGAAGATTTGGGAAACTTACAGCTTGGAGTGCTAAGCTTGAGAGTACGGAAGCAAATGTCATACAAGGCTTCGTTGTCAAGAACCATACACTCATCAGCGTTCTCAACGAGCTGATGCACAGAGAGTGTTGCGTTGTATGGCTCAACGACGGTGTCAGAGACCTTGGGAGATGGGAACACAGAGAATGTCAGCATCATACGGTCTGGGTACTCCTCTCTGATCTTCGATATCAACAAAGTTCCCATTCCAGAACCAGTTCCTCCTCCTAGCGAATGGCACACCTGGAATCCTGTAATCCGAACAGAGAAACCACAAATCACAAATCCGTAAATACCAAAATCACAATTCCAAATAAGAAATCTCAGTTGTAAACCTTCGAACTTAAATCTCTAGGAAACGAAATGATCAACGTAGATTACAGATCCACACCGGAGAAGCAAAACCCTAAATCGACAACAGTAAATAAGAGGAGACGGTTTAGAATACCTTGGAGGCAGTCACAGTTCTCGGCCTCTTTGCGGACGACATCGAGGACGGAGTCGATGAGCTCGGCTCCCTCGGTGTAGTGACCTTTAGCCCAGTTGTTTCCGGCTCCGGACTGACCGAAGACGAAGTTATCGGGACGGAAGATCTGACCGTAGGGCCCAGATCTGACGCTGTCCATGGTTCCAGGCTCCAAATCCATGAGAACGGCGCGAGGCACGTACCTCCCACAACTCGCCTCGTTGTAGTACACATTAACCCTCTCGAGCTGAAGATCGGAATCACCCTGGTAACGTCCCGTCTGGTCGATGCCGTGCTCGCAGTTAACCACTTCCCAGAACTTGGAACCGATTTGGTTTCCGCACTGTCCTCCCTGGATATGAAGAATCTCACGCATCTTCGCTCGCCGGAAAAAAAAAACCCTAAAACTGGATCTAAAGCGAGGGAGAAGGAGAGAGAGGTTTGAAAAAGGGGAAAGGAGCAGTGAAGAATATCTTTTGGGAGAGATAGGTAGAGAGAGGTCCATTTATAAAGAAAAGGAGGTTTTAACGGCTAATATTTGGTTACTCAAAATCAGAATATAACTAATCAACGGTGTTAGATGATGCCACGTTGAAAAAGGTGGCAACGGGTGGCAAAATTCAAAAATTAATGGCTCGTGAAAAAGTTTAAAATCTTTTTTTGAATTTCGTAATCTGTTGTGTGGGGACCTCCTTCTTTGACAGCTGGATTCTACCCAAGGAGTTACTAAAACGGCGCCGCACGTGCTTTCAGAGAGAGAAAAGCAGTTCCAACTTCCGACCTGGCAATCGCACGTGAGAACTTTAATGGGCCCATTTTGAGATTGGGCTCTCATTATTCTATACCGTATTGATACGTGAGAGAAAACGGAGAGATGTGCTCAAGCAAATGCTAACGACGGCACACATGCTTTATGAAAAATCAAAACGCCGTCGTTCAGGTGATAATTATTTTCTGATCGAATATGCTGAACCGGAGGGAACCAAAATATACAGTCGATCGGAAAATGGAATGTCAGATTCAAACTTGCTTGACGCTCTAATTGCTCATCGGAAAATTGCTTGAAGATTCAAAACGAGAAGCAGACGATATCGAACGAAGTGATTGAAGAAGATGTCTGTGCAAGAGTACTTAGACAAGCACGCGCTCTCTCGGAAAATCGAAGACGCCGTCAATGCCGCCGTTAGGGCTAAAACCTCAGATCCCGTTCTCTTCATCGTGCGTTTTCTTTCGCCCCTTTATTCTCTAGACATGAACATTTCCAGTATCGATTTTGCTTTCAGTCGAAGTGAAATTGTGTTGCAGTACTTGTGATTCTGAGCAACGATATGCTTTCGTTTTCTTTTCTAATCGAATTTCATTGGGAAATGGTCAGGCTAATCATATGAAGAAAGCTGTTTCATCTGTGATCACCAAGGTCAAAGCACGTCAGATCATTGATAGCAGAGGAATTCCAACAGTTGAAGTGGATCTGCACACTAACAAAGGCGTTTTCCGTGCTTCTGTTCCCAGTGGTGATTCTTCTGGAACGTGAGGATTCTCCCTCATTTTAAGTACTTGAAACCAATTTGCATCTTCTTCTCATCCTAATTTCATTACTTGTGATGGAGCGTCCTGTTTTAGTTTGAATTTTGTTGATGCATGATCCAACGTAATACAACTTTATTCTGATAAGCCTAACATGATGAGATTGGCTCAATGATCATAGGTATGAAGCTGTTGAGCTACGTGATGGGGACAAAGAAATGTATCTTGGAAACAGTGTGGCTAAAGCTGTTAAGAACATAAATGAGAAAATCTCCGAGGCGTTGATCGGTATGGACCCAAAACTTCAGGCACAGATCGACCAGGCAATGACAGATTTGGATAAAACTGAAAAGAAGGTAGGTGGGAACTCTGTTGCCTCTTGTATTTGTATTGTAAACAAAATTTGTATGGTTTTGTATATTTTCCTGACGATTTGTGATCTTAATTATCTTGTAGAATGAACTTGGGGCTAATGCTATACTAGCTGTGTCCATTGCTGCATGTAAGGCTGGAGCTGCTGAGAAAGAGGTATCAACTTCAAGTCTTTGCAACATTTTTCTCTTACTCTATGTATTTCATGCTTACTATAGTTAGGAGATCCTGATAGAAGCTATATATATCAGGTTGCTCTGTACAAGCACCTTTCTGATCTTAGTGGCAGAGCAAACATGACGTTACCTGTACCTGCCTTCACCGTTTTGAGTGGTGGGAATCATGCTTCGAATAATTTCGCCATTCAGGTATTTCAAAAGTGAAACCGTTATTAGTCTTTATGCTCTACCTCTTTCCTCATGTCGTGATTGTTGTGTCTATGTATTGTCAGGAAATTATGATTCTCCCAGTCGGAGCAGCTAGATTTGAGGAGGCCCTGCAATGGGGATCTGAGACATATCATCACTTAAAAGTCAGTTTTTATAGATATGGCTCATTGGGAATTTACTTTTCTATTTGCATTTTTGTAGTTATGTGTATAAAGGTGAGATCTGATCTATTGATGTATATGGCAGGCTGTCATTACAGAAAAGATTGGTAATTTGGGGTGTAATGTTGGTGAAGATGGTGGCTTTGCTCCAGATATCTCGAGGTACATATATATTTTTACTCCTGTGATGTCTACTCTTCTTGCATTCTGTAGATTTCCGGGCCTGCATTAGTCAAAATTGAGAAAAAATTCGTGATATAGTTTCCTGTATTAGTGCCTTCTGTACATAATTCCAAATGTATGCAGCCTCAAGGAAGGTTTGGAGCTTGTAAAAGAAGCTATCAACCGAACAGGATACAATGATAAGATAAAGATAGCAATTGATGTTGCTGCCACTAATTTTTGTATAGGTAACTATTCTGCTTCTTGGCAAACTGGTTTTGTTTAGCCACTTTTAATCATGGTTAGCCTTGCTTTGGTTCTAGGCAATGTCATTCACATCTGGCTGGTAGATAAATAGAATGTTGTTAAATCATTAAAGTTCGACTTATCATGCTTTTTGCAAAATTTCATTGATTTTTCTTATCTTGTTGGACGGTTCATTCCTGAACAGGTACCAAGTATGACCTAGATATAAAATCTTCAGAGAAATCTGGGCAAAATTTCAAGTCAGCGGACGATATGATAGACATGTACAAACAACTTTGTGCTGGTATGTATGTGCTCGTTTTGCAAGATTTTCTTTTGCCGTCTATTTTAAAATCCTGACGAACTTATTTTTCTGCTTTGTCTCCCTATGAGATTAGAATATCCAATTGTGTTCATAGAAGACCCGTTTGACAAGGAAGATTGGGAACACACCAAGAATTTCTCCAGTCTTGGAATATGCCAGGTCCAACTCGGTTTCCCCTGTTAGAAATGGTTAACTTAGATTGCGTGTTGTATCAGATCAAACTGTCTTACGAATCTTTTAATGGAATCAGATGTTTAAATCAAACAAACTAAGCTAACCATGCCAAGAAAAAGAAGTGAAAATATGTTTATAGAATCATTTTCCTCGTCTAAATCCTCAGTATCATACCTTTGCAGGTGGTAGGTGATGATTTGTTGATGTCAAATTCAAAACGTGTTGAGCGGGCAATACTTGAATCTTCATGTAACGCCCTTCTTCTCAAGGTAGCTAATTTGTGTTGCATCTGGCTAGTATGGTAATGTGATAGATACGCTACTGCCTAAGAATGACAAAGACATAAACGTGCAAACAGGTGAATCAGATTGGTACAGTAACAGAAGCGATTGAAGTAGTGAAACAGGCAAGGGATGCTCAGTGGGGTCTGGTGACATCTCATAGATGCGGAGAAACAGAGGACTCTTTCATCTCCGACTTATCTGTGGGTCTCGCAACTGGTGTGATCAAAGCCGGTGCTCCTTGCAGAGGAGAACGTACTATGAAGTATAACCAGGTCTGTGGATCTTTTTTAGTTTCCTCAGAACGACAATCTCACATAATTCACTATATGCGATTAGACTCTAGTCCATGATACGTTACGTGGAGCTTATTTAAGGTTTCAAGTAGCTGAGTTAGGTCACCGTTCATGTTTAGCGCTTTCATCGAGTTTATAATTACGGTTGATACCTCTTCCTGCAGCTGCTTCGGATCGAGGAAGAGCTCGGAGATCAAGCTGTGTATGCGGGAGAAGACTGGAGGCAATCTCTCTAAAATCTAATCAAATGGCATGTGTGATATAAATGTTACATTTCTCGTCTTGCTCCAACACTCCTGAAACCTTTTTTGTTACGCATATAGATTTGTGTCTGGAAAGTTACAAATTCTGTTTTTGTTTTTGACATTCAAAGAACAAAAATGAAAAGAGTGTTAAAAACAGGTTCTTGCCAAGTTGCAAAATGAGCCAAACATTGTTACACGATAAAACTAATCTTGCATTACCCATAACAAAATCCAGAAAACAGCTAAATTTCAACAGATCGCATAGTTAATCCAAACATGTAAGTCTAGATAGACATCTTAGTAAAAGATTCCAGAAAATAAAACGTGTAGCCAAGAAACAAACGTGTTAAGGATTAGTGTCTTCTTCTTCTTCGATCTTAGGGGCCAAATAGTATCGAATGTAACCCATCTCAGCCACCTTGTACTCCACCACAACAGGTAACTCTGATGACAAACTGATCGTCACGGTCTCAGACAAAGGAGTCGCCTTCGTGAATGAATTCATGTACCTCAATGCGAACGAAAGCGACACAGGCTCATTCATCTCTATCACAATCGCATCTTCAGGCTGCACCAACACACACAAAACCCAAAAAAAGATCACTTCAAAGTTGTATTAGACAAGAGTATACAAAAAGCTTCAAGATGACTTATGACTGCTTCATACTTTATCCACAGTTGTATTCTGCCTGAGTACAATGTTCGCTGTCCCGATATCACCTGCTGTTGAAAACTTCACCCCTTCTTTCGTCACAGAGATCACAACTGCAAATCATAGCATCGAAAGCCAAAACTCAAAAGACCAACTTATGAATCCTCTTTGTGGTTACCAACAGAAACAAGAGTGCAATATTTTACCAGTGTCACCAATGGTACTGAGATCTTTGCATATCCTGGAAAATTCACCAGAGGGCATTCTCACAATCGACTGGTACTCAGCGTCAGGTATTCCTAAATGCTCGCTGTCAATATCCATCAGCTTCATCTCAAAATCTGCAATCTTGTCTTGTGCTGCGTCATCAAACACATTCCAATCATGAGATTATGCACACTTTTAACATAGTCCACATCGAATAAACTTCTTTCTCTAAACCAAGAATCCCCAATATACATCTCAAGCCAGAGTCTACATGTTGAATAAATCAGTTCTCTTAAATCGATCTGGGTGAAAGAAGGAACAACTTACTGGGGCTCTCGAACATGAAAGTGACGGTGTCGCTTCCATCATCGGCTTTGATGGTGATGATGTCATCATTTCCGGCACACTTGAGCATCTTAGACATGTTACCGAGATTCATCCCCATGGAGAGATTCCTATCGCACCGGTAATGCTCAAACCCTTCGGATCTCAGCAAAAGAGACACCAGCGCCACGTGGCTGGAGTCCATGGCCTGGAGCGAGAAGCCAGTGCTCGAGCAGTCGAAGTTCGCATCGTTCACCAGATCCTTGATCGATTCTAGAACCTTCTTCAACAGAGAGCCTTGTACTAAACGAAGCTCCAACATCTTTTCGCTCCTCCTCTCTGTGGATTATCGAAGGTCGGGGTTTTAGGGCTCTTGAGTTTGCAAATGTTTGTGTTGGAGAAGCTTTCCGCGGGAATCAATCTAAAACAAGCCTTGATTTTGTGGCGGCAATTTAGCAATTTTAGGGTATTTTGTTCCCGCCTCTGGTTTAGTGGCTGCCGAAGAATTGTTACCTGTGTGAATGGGCCAAAACAAGTACGGCCCAAACCCAGCCTATGAAATATTTCAAAAGGAACAACCAATTAAATAAAGATCTGGTCTAAGGGTCGGTTTATGCCGGTTTAGTGTGGTTTTAATTTGTTCGAATCAATTGAATTTAATTGCTAATTTGCGAGCGCGAGGTCAATTTGCACAAATCAAGGAAAATTTAATCTGGTGTACAACATGATCTAATGCCATTTTTCTTTTTAATTTAAATTAAAATCTATGTGAAATTCCAATTCACTCCTTAATGAAATCTGATTAAAAAAATAATTTAATAAAATAAAAGAAAATCAGTTTAATAAAATAAAAGAAAACCAAATCATTTTAATTAAAATAAAAAATTCGGATAAATAAAAAAAAAAAAAAAAAAAAACTGGATTCACTTTCTTCTCCCGTCGACATTTGTTTCCGGTGAAGCTCATCGCCGGCGGCCCGACATAGATCTGCCATTACCTGATCACCTCCATCTCTACCTTCGTTCTCTTCCTTCTGCAATTGATTTTTTCTCTCTTTCACCATTGTTGAAAGCTTCAAGAGGTAAGCTTTTTTCTTCCTTAATCTATAAATTTATTTGGGATTCACAATTTAGAGTTAAGATATTAAAATTGGTTGTTTAAGAAGGTTGATAACCATATTTTCTAGATATATTAAGGTTTTGATGCAATAATTTGTCGATTTTAGTTGTTAAATCATAGTGATTCTAGGTAGATTGAACCAGAAATTGCCATAGCTGCATGTACAACTGGTACAAATGGGTACAACTGACAAATAATGTACAACTGGTACAAATGGGTACAACTTAATGTACAACTGAAACAAATAATAGACAACTAATGCAAATGGTATAATTGTGTAATATGAATTAATTGTTAACTGAATATTTTTATTCTATTTTTCAGGAGGTAATGAACAACAACCATTCCACAAACATATATTTTGGTTATGGAGGATACTAATCAAAAACTATATGAGTATCAATGGATTGAAGAGAATATCACATTTACCAAACATAAACTATGGAAAAGATAACTTACTTGATGCTATTGGCGAATTACTCTCAAAAAAAAAATACATTTTAATTTATTTGTTGTAAGTGATGTAAATTTAGTATTCATAACACATTTATGTTATTTGTCGTGATACAAGAATTTATGATTCTTGTCATGTATATGTATTTTTTGGATTTGCATTTACTGATTTTTCACTACTAGCTTAAATTTGGTTTAACTATGAATAATTATGGATTTGTATTTGTTGGTTTTGTACTACTAGGTTAAATTAAATATAACTAAGAATTATTGTCAGTTTGTATTTATCATATTTCTATTTGTATTTTTACTTTTGTTATGTATTGAATATAATTAGGTTGTTTAAATTATGTTTGACTTTTAGAGATTGGTTCTGTTCAAGTACAAACACAAACGTTCAGGTTCTACGAGGTTCAAGTACGTACAAATGTTGAAGGTCATGTGTTTGTGTTTCCAGATATATATTTCATGTATGAACGTGGACATCTGAATGTGGACGTATTTTGGTTTCTCATTCACTTTGTACAACTGGTTCACATTGGTTCGACTACTCGGAACTAAATATTTATAACCAATAAATACTAAATAAATATCTTTATGATATGCAATTTAGACAATTAAGTAAGATAAATACATGTTCATGTCTTAGTAATTAATAAAAAGATCAATAAATTGGAATTATAAAATTATGGTAGCAGATAATGGTTTAGTCATAAGTACCCTTTACAATATATGGAACATATAGGTAATATGTCTATAATATGAAGCAAATTAACAACAATATTAGATTCCTTTTAAATGATGATATAAACATGTTTAGAATGATAAAAGAATATCAAATATCAGTTGTTCAACTGTATCATTACAAGCTAGATATGGTTCAACTACAAATACACAAAAATCGCAGATGTTCAACTATTACCAATTTTGGTTCTACCGTTGGCAAGGGTACAACTATGTGGTTTTTGGCAGGGCCACGTTTTTTTTGGCGGCGCCACGTCAAATAATTTTTTTTTGGTGGCGGCGCCATCCTTTTTTATAACACGTGTATTTTCTTTTTTTTTTTTTGCATTCAATTTAATTTATTTTAAAGCAAAATTGTATGAAATGTTCTTAGTTGTACGTAAACAAACTCAGTTGTACCATATCATATCATTACAATCAATTACTCCTACTTCTATATGTGATGACAAACAATTCTTTCTTTTGCTTTGACCTACACATAACCATTATTAGAATTATATGTTCTGTTTTAATAACTGAAAAAGAAGAGCAAAAAACAATTTCTCTTGTTGTATTGGTTGTGTATCAACATCTTTATCCTGCAAATTCAAACAATTTTAGTTAATAGTTGAACCTAGTAATACGTAGTTGAACCTAGTTATGAACCTAGTAATACGTAGTTGAACCTAGTAATACATAGTTGAACCTAAAGTGAAACTGAAAAGAATATGCAGACAGAACACGTAAAAAAGCAAAAGTGATCCATAAGTTCTTTTGTTCACATGGGATTTATGATGCTAAAATCGACAATCCTTTATACATTCTCCAATTGTTCAATGATCCAAAAGCACTCAAGAGGAATCAAAAACAAATGAAAAGGGAGAAAAAGATTTGAGACAACTACTGATGAACGAGGAAGAAGAAAGAGTGGACTTGTTTGAGTTTGAGAGATGAGTGGTGAAGAAGAAGCGGTGGAAAAAGACAGTGACATATTCTGCTTACTAAACCTCTTTGGCAAAGAAATTGAATTTCATAAACCAAAGATTGAGCAAGTTCTCATAGCTGAAAGAATCATGGTGTTCGGATTCAATACCCTACGGATACCAAAGCCACATTTCAATGAGTGAATCTCTGACATTCGGAGCCGAGGAGGCGAGGAAGCGGAATAGAGAAGAAATGGATTTAGTAGACGATGCTTGAAGTATCTTCAACACCAACATATCAGTTTGTACAAGAGGAGAACAAATACAATAAACCGTCTATAGGGCACGCGAACGGCGGAGGTTCCTTTAATGGTGAGAGCAGTCGCGATTGGCGGCCTGGCGTAAGTGCTTAGCCAGATTTTGGAGACCAATTTGCCAAATCCTTCGATGTTACGTGTATATCTGAGCCCCCCAATGACAAAGCAATGAAGTAATGGAAGAATGAACATCAAAATTCTCACATTGGGAACTATTGACTCAGATCCGAAAATAGAGTAATGGAAGCGATGGAGAAAATAGAGTAATGGAAGCGATGGGCTTTGAGCTGAGAAAGAACACAATTTCTCAATGGAGAAAAACGATTCTTCTTTTACTAATTCCCTTGAACACATGGATTTCTGGTTTGTTAGACAAATCTGGAAGAAGAAGAACATTCTTCGTCGAGAAGAAGAAGAAAGAAGAAAAATAATGATTTTTTTTTTAATTGTAATTTTGTTTTTAAAATTAATTTTGACCCAAATTCAATGGATAGATAACGGATCGGGTGGATATAGCTGGTTGGGTCTGTAAATAGTTTAAGTTGTTAAGGACTTTGTTGTATTTGCTGAGCTTTTCAATTTAAAATAAAATGAAAAAGAAATTAATATTAGGATGTGGCAAAATGGCCTCCGGTTCGACAATTTGTGGCAAATTAGCATTTCTTTCCTAATTTGCCATAAACTAGCGAACCGGTTGCTCATATGCCACACTTTGAAAAATAATTTCTTTTTCATTTTGTTTTAAATGGAAAAGTTCAGCAAATACAATAAAGCCCTTGACAACTTGAAACATTTACAGACCCAACCAACTATATCCATCCAACTTGTAAGATATCCAATTGAGTTTGGGTCAAAACTAATTTTAAATAAGAAATTTCAATTAGAAAAAAAATAAAAATCACTCTTTTACTTTTTAACACGACGATGGCGACTCCCTTCTTCTTCATCACAATTTCTGTAATTCATGAAGGTGGTGGTGATGAATCTGCGGCGGCTATGGTAAATTTAGATCGGAAAAAAACATGGTGAGTCAGATCTTATGCCTCCTCATGATTCTTGTTTACGCCAACTCCATCACCAAAAGCAAATTCTCCTTCACCACCACCACCACCTTCTCCTCCTCAGCTAGAATCTCCCTTAGCTCCATCATCTTATTCTCTATCTTATGAACCAGCACATGCTTCTGCTCCGTCTAACAGTAATTTTGATGATAATGATTCCAAGCAGAAAAGAGAGTATTTTCCTCTCTAGCGCTGGAATTGGAACCATACGACATCAAAACAAGCGCCGAAATAATGGTGAGAGCAAGGCTTAAGATTGGGAAGAAATTTGGATCCTCTAATGGGTACTTCCTCTCTCACGTAAGCTTATATTTTTATAATTCACTTTTGCTCTTTGTATATCCTACCTTCACACAAGAATTGATTTTGATAAATCAATCCAAATATTCTGTGAGAGTAGAGAGACAATATTGGGATTTGGGTTTGCTTGAGTGGTGTTTATGTAGAGGAAAGATTCTTCAGAATCAGTTGCTTCTAACTTTTGTTTTTAGTATTGTTCCTAAAATTGCATATCTATCTCTGTTCTTATCAAACTTTTCACGGGTTTACAGAGTGTATGGAATAGGTTTTAGAGTTGTTATTCACGTATATTCAACTTGTACAACAGTCAGGTGTTTTCCAGTAAGTTTTTGATGAGGTATGTATAAATATTGTTAACTTGTTGTTTGCTAGTATTTATATTGATTTAACGTCTTTATAGAATTTGATGCATCTTTTGTTATTATTGAAGATCTCATCTATCTGTGAGACAAAGTTTCGTTGCAAATATGCAGTGAAAAGCGGAAAGACTTGAGCTTTCTATAATTACGCTTATTCCACATTATAGTACTTGTATCTTATTCTTTATAATGTGCAGAAGAAACTTTAAGGCCAAAAAAAGTTTTTGCGAGTTGCGTCTTCAAGCTTGGAAATGTTTTGATAGATGTGACACACAAGAAAAGCATTGGAGCTCAAGACATGAAGAACAAGTTATTTTATTGTTAACAAATTGCCATGTACAAAAGAATCCCCTTTTCCATTGATGAAGATTGAGTTTGGAGAAATCTTTTAGATCCATCTTTGTTCCTTTGTTTTTGGCGAATTTGGAAAAAATAATATTGTCTATGTTTTGTTTGATCAAGAGTCTAGAACCAATTTGATACTAATAGTATTATCCGGTACAACTGAGTTTGTTTATGTACAACTAAGACAATTTCTAGGTACAACTCTGCTTTGGAATAAATTAAATAAACTAAAAGAAAAAAAAACACGAATAAATTAAATAACCTAAAAGAAAAATATGTGTGCTAAAAAGAGATGGCGCCGTCACAAAAAAAAAGACTTCTGACGTGGCGCCCCCAAAAAACATGTGACGTCACCAAAAACCACATAGTTGTACTCTTGCTAACGGTATAACCAAAATTAGCAATAGTTGTACATCTACGAGTTTTGTGTTTTTCTAGTTGAACCATATCATAACTTGTAATTGTACAGTTGAACAATTAATATTTGATCTTCTTTTATCATTCTAAACATGTTTATGTCATTATTTGAAAAGAATCTAATATTGTTCTTAATTTACTTCATATCATAGACATATTACCTATATGTTCCATATATTGTAAAGGATGCTAGATGACTAAACCATTATCTACTATCATAATTTTGTAATTTCAATTTATTAATCTTTTTATTAATTACTAAGATATGAACATGTATTTATCTTACTTAATTGTCTAAATTGCATATGAGAAACTTATTTATTTATTATTACTTGTTTTTATAGTTTTAGAAGCGACTAATCGAACCAATGTGAACCAGTTGTACGAAATGAATGAGAAACAAAATACGTCCACATTCAGACGTCCACATTTGTACACAAAAAAATATTTGGAAATACAAACACATGACCGTCAACATTTGTACGTACTTGAACCTCGTAGAACCTGAACATTTGTATAACCATCAACATTTTGAACAGAACCAATCTATAAAAGTCAAACATAGTCTAAACAACATAACTAATTATATATTCAATACATAACAAAAGTAAAAATACAAATAGATATGATAAATACAAACTGACAATAATTTTTAGTTATATTTAATTTAACCTAGTAGTACAAAACCAACAAATACAAATCCATAATTAAACCAAATTTAACCTAGTAGTGAAAAATCAATAAATGCAAATCCAAAAAATACATATACACGACAAGAATCCGAAATTTTTGTATCACGACAAATAACATAAATGTGTTATGAATACTAAATTTACATCACTTACAAAAATAAACTAAAATGTATTTTTGTTTGAGAGTAATTTACCAAAAGCTATTTTTTTCATAGATTATGTTTGGTAAATGTGATATTCTCTTCAATCCATTGATACTCATATAGTTTTTGATTAGTATCCTCCATAACCAAAATATATGTTTGTGGAACGGTTGTTGTTCATTACCTCCTGAAAAATAGAATAAAAATATTCAGTTAACAATCAATTCATATTGCATGATTATACCATTTGCATTAGTTGTCTATTATTTCTCAGTTGTACTAGTTGTACACTATTTGTCAGTTGTACCCATTTGTACCAGTTGTACATGCAGCTATGGCAATTTCTGGTTCCAATCTACCTGAGAATCACTATGATTTAACAACTAAAATCGACAAATTATTGCATCAAAACCTTAATCTATCCATAAAATATGATTATCAACCCACTAAAACAACCAATTTTAATACCCAAACTCTAAATTGTGAATCCCAAAATAATTTTATAGATTAAGGAAGAAGAAAAGCTCTTGAAGCTTCAACAATGGTGAAAGAGAGAGAAGAAATCAATTGCAGAAGGAAGAGAACGAGGTAGAGATGGAGGTGATCAGGATCATGGCGGATCTATGCCGGGCCGCCGGCGATGAGCTTTACCAGAAAAAAATGTCGACGGGAGAAGAAACGTGAATTCAGATTTTTAAAAATTAAATTGATTTCTTTTATTTTATTAAACTGATTTTCTTTTATTTTATTAAATAAATTATTTTCTTTTAATCAGATTTCATTAAGGAGAAAATTGGAATTTCACATAGACTTTAAATTAAATTAAAATGAAAAATGGCATTAGATTATGTTGTGGCACAAGAAATTAAATTTTCCTGATTCGTGGCAAATTGGCCTCGCGCTCAATCAATTGCCAATTTGTCACAAAATGTTGAACCATAGGCCATTTTGCCATCTTTTGAATAAATAATTATTATTGATTTACTTTTAAATAGAAAAACGTGGGAAATACAATGAGGTCCTCAACAAGTTGAAATAATTACCAGCCCAACCAGGATAATATCCGATATCCGCTTATCCGACCCGACCGAAATATTAAAATACTAAATTGCAAAAAGAAAGAAATAAGAAATAAGAAAAAAAAATATGTTTCCTTTTTGGCCGACGACGATTCAGACTTGCATCTTCTTCTCCAAAATTCTGATTTCAGTTTTTTCACGAAAGTGATAGGGGTCGTGGTGGATCGGCGGCTATGGTGGATCTTGGGTCTCTTCCTTATAATTTTCGTGGTCACCAACTCTTTATCAATTGAATTCTTCATCGGAATCCTTCTATCACCAGAAGTAAATTCTCCTTCACCACCACCAGACACTACAAGAAAACAGGCCTTTTGCAAGGGAGCAAAACATTGTTAATTCGTTGGTAATCGACCACAGCATCGTATTTACGTCGAATTCCAAATCGTTGGTAATCGGTCGACGTTAATGAAATTTCGTCGCAAATTCGTCGTTCAGTAGCGAGAAAACAAAATTCGTCGTTATTTCGTCGTTAATCAGCAAGGAACATATTCGTTGTTACTTCGTCGTTAATGAGGGAGGAATATATTCGTCGTAAAGCCGTCGTTATAGTTGCGACGGACTTACAAGGAAAAGAGAAGACGTCGGTAACATGTCGTCGTTAAATCGACTGAAATTTACCGACAATATCCCATCGAATATAAGACGGCTATGGGCATACAGTAAAATCAGAATTCGTTGTTAATTTGTCGCAAAGGTTACAACAGATTTACAACGAAAGTTGAATTCGTGGGTGACAATTCGTCGTAAAAGCCTCGCAAAATTAACGTCGAGACAACGTCGGATTAAGCCCGGAATTGCATGGACCAGAAAACCCACGAATTCGTTGTAAATCCGACGGTTAACTTCGTCGTTGTTTTGTCGCCAAGTTAACGTCGATTTAACGAGGGATGTCACAATTTTGACATTTTTTTTCTCCGTCGAATTTACGTCGCTTATATAATTTGTTTAAAAAAAAAGAAATAATACAATAATTAAAATTATCCGAAAACATCATACAAAATATTAAAATTAGCCGAAAATATCATACAAAATATTAAAATTATCCGAAAATATCATACAAAATATTAAAATTAACCGAAAATATCATACAAAATATTAAAATATTATACATTTATTCAAAAGGCGGGAGGTCTCCTGCTTCACGAGCTGCCTGAGCTGCAATGTCCGCCGTTCGTTGTTGCTCTGCTGTAAGCTCCTCTTCCTCTGCTGCTCCGGCTGCTGAACTCGTAACTCCGGCTGTAGCAGCTTCCCGACGTCGTCTCTTGTTTGACATGACTGCTGCAATGTCGGGGTGGTGCGTAGCAATGATGCTAAAAATAACATCATTCTCTGAGTTCTCAATTTCCATAGTCTCCTCAAGTCTTGAGATCTTGGCTCGCAGTTGGACCGGATCATCCTCGGGACCTCGATACCGCGGAGCAAATGACGAAGCAATCGGGACTTGGCGGATTGAACCCAACCCAATCACTTTCCCCTTGTTCTTCGGGGCAACCTACATTTTATAATTATTAAATATTATGTTAATATAAATAAATATATATATAGAATAGATATGTAATGATATATATATTATTACGTGCTCATAGATGTGGTCGATCGTGGGAGTTCCCAATTCCACCGGATGTTGAGTACCGCCAGGGGATAACTGTTGAGATTGTTGTGTTTGCTCCTCCAAAACTCTAGCAGTGAGGTCGTTGTGGATTTCCTCGGCTCTCGGGGTTACGAAGGTCCCGTCTTTCCTAGTATGGGTGTCCTGAAAAAGAGCCGTCAATGGAGGGAGCACACCTCCGTTCTTTGCAGCCTATATATAAATTGAAAATATATATTGTATAGTTAGATATTTTAGTAGTTAATCAATTAAAAGTAGGTATTAATAGGATGTAATATTAATAATAAGAGCAAAGAAACTACCATATCTAAACGTCTTCCCGCGAAAGGTGTCTGGCCAGCTGTGTGAGGAATGGAGATAGGTTTGCCATCTGGACCAACAGTCAACCGCGCAGCAGAGCACTTACCAGATTTATCGATGGAAGTAGGTTGAAGCCAAAATCAAACCAAACCATCCCAAACTGTTTGTCCGACGGACATCGGTTTGGCATCATTGCCAAGTCTCTTCCACTTTTTCTTCCAATCAGCCACGGTGTTGATTAAACGCGACTTAGCCTTCTTCTGAAAATTGAACTTGACCAACTCATTATGGGCATTATCCCAATAGTATAGTTGCTGAAATTTAAAAATAATTTTCAAATAATTAGAAAACCATTAAAATTAAAAAAAGAAATTATTTAAAAAGAATAAATTAATTCTGAAATATAACCGCAAACATTTTCCACCAAGTGTCTCTGATATCTTCGGTCGTTTGAGTCCAATTCGCATGCGGCTCACTGAAGTAGTTTTTGATTACACTGCTAATAGTTCGGGAAACCGCGCATTCAACACCAAACCTATACAATCACATAAACCAATTAATTATATTATTAGTTAATATGTATCAAAAAATTATCTTGATATATATAAAAATATCTAAATAAATATTATTAGATTGTATTTTACCACAAAGCTCCATCTTCTTTTTGCGGATGAAGTTTCGTAAGTGTAACTCGACCGGGAAGAGCAAGAATTTGATCAGCCGTCAAATGTGCATAAGGCCGAGGTTGATGTGGTGGAGCTTGCTCTTGCTGCGGTGGAGCTTGCTGTTGCTGCGGTGGTGGATATTGTGACAACGGAAAATATCCTTGCTGTGAGTGCGATTGTGACTGAGTCTGCGGAATGAAGGTTTCCGAACTCGGCTGACCGCTGCTTTGTGCACCGTCCGACAAAAAATGATGATATTGGTTTTGAGTAAACGGCCTCATTGTCATCTACATACACAAAATTGTATAAACACTATATTAATTAACAAATATTATTTCACTATTTCATAACTAACAAATATTAGTAACAAAGTTTTAAATTTACTAAATAACCAATAAATTTTCCCTATGTAAAATATACATTTTTCCTATAACAATTGTTAACCAAATATTATTTCATTATTTTATAACTAACAAATATTAGTAACAAAGTTTTAAATTTACTAAATAACCAATAAAATTTTCCCTATCTAAAATATACATTTTTCCTATAACAATTGTAATTCTACACTAATATTTTCACAAATACTAATTATATGGTTATAAATTTTCTATCTAACAAATAAAATTTTCCCTATTTACCATATAACTACATTTTTAATTCCCTATAACAATTGTAATTATAGTCCATAATTTTACCAAATAACAATTAGTATTAACTACATTCCATATTTATATTATTCTCTATCTACCATATACATGTTTAATCTATAACTAACTTAATTAATTAGTAAATTAGCAAAAATTGATTTTAATTATTACCTTAGGGTTTAGACGAGAGATGTTCGGCGGAGGGAGAAGGACAGGCGGGGAGAAACGGACGGCGTGAGAGAGAGGACCGCCGGAGAAGGAGGAGCAGCGGAGAAAGAAGACCGGTGGAGAAAGAGTAGCGGCGGAGGGACAGAACGGTCACCGACGAAGAGATCGACGGCGGGAGAGAAACGGCCGCCGACAGAGAGATCGACGGCGGGAGATAAACGGCCGGCGATAGAAAGGACCGGAGGAGGAAGAGGAGCGGCGGATAGAGAGGACCGGAGGAGGAAGATGAGCGGCGGAGTGAAAGGATTTCCGGCTGCCAAAATCGAAATATGAGAGAGAGAGAGAGAACGGCCGCCGAAATCGAAAGACCACCGCCTGAGAAGGCCAGCCGGCGAACAGAGAGTTAGAAAGTCAAAACTCGTCGGATTTCATGTCTGATTTCGAGAGAGTTCGGGAAAAATGGAGAAGGGAGATGAGAGTGAAGAGAAGTTATTATCAGTATTTAATTGTAATAATCGTTGCAAATTCGATGCAACTTTTGCGACGATTTAGCCACGACACATGTCAAACGTCGCAAAGTCGACGTAAATAAATTTCGCGAATTTTGGCTTTTCCCGCACCCGGGAAATGAAATTTTCATTTATGTGAGTCCTTGCTATTTCCTGGCTAATTAGCGACGAATTAGCAAGAAAATATAATATATTCGTGGTAAATTCGTTGCAAACATGGGACCTTCCAAAAATTTAATTTCGATTTCTTCCGAGGAAAACCGTAATATTAAAAACAATTTTGAGACTATTTTACGACGTTAATTTGTACCCTAAACCCTAAATTTGCCCTAAAATCTTAAACGTTGATTTAGTCATCCGATGAGTGTATATGGAAGCAAAAACAGAAATCGTAACGATTAAGTATGATGACATTTTGTAAAAAATCATAACTTTGAAGAAATCATTTAAGATAACAAGTAGTACAACTCTTATTATAGCTAACACTATCATATGCATTTTAATGAAGTGTGAAACTCACGTTTACTTGGATTGAACCTCAAAAATGTTTTTATTTCTTGATTGTTTAAGTAAGTAACTGAATAATTGTGTGTAAAACATCGTTTTCAGGGTTTAGGGTTTAGCTTACTACGAATTTGCAACGTTAAGGCGACTGTTTATTGCAGTGTTGGAAAATCGTCGTAACTCCGCTCCTATATTTCCAATTTCCTCGTCAATTTGTTGCTAATCCGGGTCCACAGAGTGATAAAGTTCGATTTTGGACAAGGAATACTTTTAAAGTGTTAGTATCACAAGTTTGCGTCACTTTAACGATATTTCCTCGGAAATTTGTCGGTAATATGAACCCCAAATTGATAGAGTAGCCCTAAATTGCCCTAAATTGATAGATGTTCATTATTTATATAAGAAAAGTATAAAAAAGGCTAAATAACAATTTATAAGAAAATTAAATACAAACAACATATTTGCGAAAATCTTATATCACAAAAATAATATAAAATATCATATCGCAAATCTTATACTATGAGATATACTTGTTCCTCTTTGTTATAAACTCGAAAACTGCAAGTAAATTGGATTAAACAATAAGAGTATTATCATTTATTGTTTGGTTAGGTTGGTAGTTGAATAATTGAGTGTACTTAAATGTTTTAAGAGTTTAGGGTTTCAACTTACGTCGAATTAAGGACGTAATCCGGACTAAACCCACGTATGTTGGTAAACCCTCGCCATTGCAACGTTTTAGCGACGAATATACCAAATTCATCGTTTACACGTCGCTATTGGCAAGGGATTACCAACATACTCCTTGCTATTTCATCACAAATTGTCATGATTTAGCGAGAGATTCCCAACAAACTCAAAACCCAAATTTTGTCTATAAAAGGACCAACACACCTCCATTCATCACCACATTTCTAACAATCATCCACTCTCCCTCTTTCTAATAGTTGTCTCATTTCTCCTTCAAAAGAAATTTCCCGGGGTAAATGTTTTGTATTAAATTTGAAAAACATTTTTCCCGAGGAATTTTTTTGAAGGAATAATAGAAAAACTAGAACAAATTTTTTAGATGTTCAGAAGTTTTCCGGAAGTGTGATTTCTGGCGCTTTTTTTTTTTTAGAAATTATGTTTACCACGATTTTGCAACGCATTCATGGTAAATTCATTGCAATTTGCGAGGAATTAGCCACATTTTCCCAAATTTTCTAGATGTTCGAAAATTTTCCGAAAGAGTGATCGTTGGCCCTTTTTTTTTTAAATTAGGTTTACCAGGATTTTGCAACGCATTTATGGTAAATTCGTTGCAATATGCGAGGTATTAATTAGCCACATTTTTCCAACTAAGTCGAGACACAAAATTTGTCTATAAAAGGACCATCTCACCTACATTCATCCTTACACTTCTAATAATCACCCACTCTTCCAATCTATAAAAGTTGTCTCATTTCTCTTCAACGGGACTATCTCTCGGCAAATGTTTGGCATTAGTTTTGAAAACATTTCTCGAGAGGAGTTTCTTTGAAAGAGAAATTGACAAACTAAACAAAATTTCTTACAATTTTAAACACATTTCAAACATTTCCATCAATCTAGGTCCAGAGATCGCTCTTCGGAAAATTTTTTCCATTGCGCTTAACACTTTCCGGAAGAGCGATCTCTGACCCAGATTAAAGGATTTTTTTTTTTTCGAAATTAATTTTACCACGAATTTGCAACGGATTCGCAAGTAAGTCGCTGCAAATTCGTTGCAAATTGCAAAATTAGCAAGGGATTAACAACGAAATCTGTAATATCTTTTTCTTTGTTGGTAATTCGACGGTAAGAAGCTACGAAGTGCTGAAGTCGGTAATTCGTCGCAAAATTAGCAAGGGATTAACAACGAAATCTGTAATATCTGTTTTCTGGTTGGTAATTCGACGGGAACTAGCTACGAAGTGTTTACATCGGTAATTCGTCGGTAGTTTGCGACGAATTACCGATGAACTTTGTCTTCGTTGCTTATTCGTCGTAAAAGCAACGCTAGTTAACGACGAATTTACGACGTTCTGTTTTTGTCCCTATTTGCGACGAATTTACAACGATATCACTTTTCGTCATAATAACGTCGTAACGGTGACGTTATTTTGCGAGGAAAATATTTCGTTGGTAATTTTCTTTGCAAATGGTCTGTTTTCTTGTAGTGAGATCCACCACATCCTCCTCAACTAGAATCTCCCTTGGGTCCATCACTATCTCCACCATCTTATTATCCAGCTCATGAACCAGCACTTGTTCCTGCTCCATCCGACAATGACTCCGACGATAATGTATCCAAACCAAAAATAAAGTATTTTCATTCTCCAACGCCCTCTACAGGAGCGTGCCAAAATTGGAAAAAAAACGGAAGAAAACAAAAGTAAGAAGACGAATTACAAGCATTAAGGCATAATTGTCCCTTAGTTGAGTCATGAATCACATTACAATCTCCTCTCTTGTTAGGATTTAGTTCCAACTCTCTTTCTTTCTTTTCATTTGTTTTTAATTCCATGTCAAATGCTTTTCCATCACTGAATAATTTTTTAGCATTTGAAATCCTATGTGAACAAAAGAATTTACATAGGTTCAACTACGTATTACTAGGTTCATTACTAGGTTCAACTACGTATTTACTAGGTTCAACTATTAACAAAAATTGTTTGAATTTGCAGGATAAAGATGTTGATACCCAACCAATACAACACGAGAAAATCTTTTGCTCTTCTTTATCAGTTATTTAAACAAAACGTATAATTTTTATAATGGTTATGTGTAGGTCAAAGAAAAAGAAGGAATTTTTTGTCATCACATATGGAGTAGGAGCAATTGTAACAAGAGATCTTGTTGGTGTTATTGATTTTAACACATCACGTATGGAGCCACAAGTTTCAAGTGATGTTAAGGGAAAGATGAGTATTTGTGTGGGATTAGAGCATATCTTTCAAAATCATTTTTCAATTGCTTATTCCATGATATTTAGTCTTGTAAATTATTTTGTTTATTTTGTTTTTTTTGGTTGATGTATATGGAAAAATTGTTGCATATGTTTCGTTTGATATATTAAGAGTGTAAGCCGAGTTAAAAACTAATGATATGATATGGTACAACTAAGTTTGTTTACGTGCAACTAAAGACAATTTGGTACAGTTTAACTTTAAAATAAATTAAATACACTACAAACAAAAAAATGAAAAAAAAACATGTGTTAAAAAAAAGACGGTGCCGTCACAAAAAATAAATAAAAATAATAATAATAATGATGTGGCGCCGTCAGAAAAAAACGTGGCGCCGCAAAAAAATGTTTGGCGCCGCCAAGAACCACATAGTTGTACTCAAGCCAAAAGTCGAACCTATATTGGTAATAGTTGTACATCTGCGTTTTTTGTATTTTTCTAGTTGAACCATATCATAACTTGTAATAGTACAGTTGAACAATTAACATTTGATCTTTTTTTTATCATTCTGAACATGTTTATGTCATCATTTGAAAAGAATCTAATATTATTCTTAATTTGCTTCATATCATAAAACATATTACCTATATGTTACATATATTGTAAAGGATGCTTGATGACTAAACTATTATCTACTACCATAATTTTGTATTTTCAATTTATTGATCTTTTTATTAATTACTAAGACATGAACATATATTTATCTTACTTAATTGTCTAAACTGCATATCATAAAATTATTTATTTAGTATTTGTTGGTTATATATATTTAGAATCGAGTAGTTGAACCAGTGTGAACCAGTTGTACAAAATGAATGAGAAACCAAAATACGTCCACATTCAGACGTCCACATTCGTACACAAAATAAATATTTGGAAATACAAGCACATGACCGTCAACATTTGTACGTACTTGAACTTGGTAGAACCTTAACATTTGGAAATACAAATCCATAACCGTCAACATTTGTACGTACTTGAACATGGTAGAACTAATCTATAAAAGTCAAACATAGTTTAAACAACATAATTCAAACATAGTTTATATATTCAATACATAATACAATAAAAAATACAAATAAAAATATGACAAATACAAACTGACAATTGGTTCTTAGTTATGCTTAATTTAACCTAGTACGTAGTACAAAATCGGAGAAATATAAATCCGTAATTATTAAAACCAAGTTTAATCTAGTATTGTAAAATCGATAAATACAAATAAAAAAATACATATATACAGAATCAGAATCAGAAAAATACATATATACATCACTTATAAAAATTAAACTAAAATGTATTCTTTTTGTTTAAGAGTAGTTTGCCAATAACATCAAGTAAGCTATCTTTTTCACAGATGATGTTTCGTAAATGTGATATTATCTTTAGATCCATTAATACTCATATGGTCTTTGATTAGTATCCTCCAAAACCAAAATATATGTTTGTGGAACAGTCGTTGTTCATTACTTCCTGAAAAATAGAATAAAAATATTTCAGTTAACAATTAATATTGCACAATTATACCATTTATATTAGTTGTCTATTATCTCTCAGTTGTACCACTTGTACCAGTTGTACACTATTTTTCAGTTGTACCCATTTGTACCTGTTGTACTATTCGTGGAGCTATGACGATTTCTGGTTCTAATCTACCTAAGAATCACTATGATTTAACAGCTAAAATCGACAAATTATCTCATCAAAAGCTTAATTTATCCAGAAAATATGGTTACCAATCCAATATGCATACTGAAATAACCAATTTTCATATCCAATCCCTAAATAATAATCCCAAAATAATTCCAAGCCTGGGAAAAAGAAGAGCTCATCTCCTAAGAGTAAAACTTCAACCATGGTGAAAGAGAAAGGAAAAATTGATTGCAGAAGGAAGAAAATGAAGCAAAAGTGATGGCAGAGACAAAAAAGCAAGCGAAGACGGAGGCGGAGGATTGCCGGCGGCTAGATCACGACGAAGAATAAAATAAACAATTTTTTTTGTTTGATTTACGTTTTTTTAAAGAAAATATTTTCATTTATTTTATTTTATTATTATTATTTTCAGTTTATTTCATTAAGGGTATAACTGTAACTGTACATATCTTGTAGATAAGGTGATGGTATTAGATTTAAGTGATGGCATTAGATTAATTTTTCACAAAAGATGGCAAATTTTGATATGCCACAAATCAGTGAACCGCTTGCCAAAATGCATAGCTTAAAAATTAATTTCTTTTCCATTTTCTTTTAAATAAAAAAACAAGTAAAAGTCATTAAAACCTAATAAAGTTCACCTAATTACGAATTGAACCAGGGTTATACCCGAAAACCGCAAACCCGACCCGATTTTAATGGATATGAAAGAGTAAAAATCCCTAAATTCACTATGTTGGTTTTATTTTGTGTGTAAGAAATTTAAATCAGAAAAGACGAAGAAAGAAATCGAAGAATCTCAACGGAAACTGAAATTCTAAGTGGAGAATTGTAGAGTGAAGCTTCGAATCCAGTCCAGCAATGGTGGTTTTGAGAAACAGCAAAGTAACGACGGAACCGCCAAAGACGACGGAAATGGCGGAACCGTCGAATCCACAAAAATGGCGGAACCGTCGAAGTCGACAGAAGCGGCGGAATCACCGAACCCGACTGAGGAGTCGACAGAAGCGGTGGAGTCGCCAAAGCCGACTGAGGCGACAGAACCGTCGAAGGCGACCGAAGCGGTGGAACCATCGGCCGAGAGAAACGGAGGCGGAACTGTCGAAGTCGACAGAAGCGGCCGAATCGCCGAAGCGACTGCGACAGAACCGTCAACGACGAAGCGGTGAACTCGACCGAGAGAAACGGAGGCGATAGAAGCCAACAGAAGCGGACCACCGATGAATCTGCCGATAGAAGACGGAGGTGACAGGAGAAGCGGAAACCAAGGAAGCAAATCCCAAAGCAAAAGAAGCCCAAACTGAGGAGAAGATGAACTCAGAAGAAGATGAATCGGAAAAAGAAGATGAATTGGAAGAAGAAGAAGAGCACGAAGAAGAAAAAGAAAGAGGACAAGCAAAGGACAAGGATTTGTCTGGTGACCAACTAGAGAACAAGGTATAATATTTGAATCTTGTTTATTATGTTTACTTGGATTCTGAGTTTGATAATGGAGAAGAGAATGATGATTCTGAGTTTGGTAATCTATTCGACTAAGTTCAACTAAGTTCGAATATACAATAGTTGAACTGTTATCAATGCAAATTACATTTCGGTTGCTGTAATTTTTTTGAACATGCAGGATGAGGAGTATAATGATGATAATGATGGCGAGGAAAATCGACAATCTCCACTCAGGATCACAAACTCCACAACAGCAAGAAGAAACCTCAACCGGAACAAACCACCAAGGAAGCAACTCAACCGGAACAAACAGAACCTTCAGATGCACATGTCTCTTCTTTTGCACCGGTCATGGTAATGTAGATTTTTAGAAATTCAATTCCGCAAATGTTTGAATGCAAGTTCGAGTAGGTTCGGGTAAAAGTATAATTAGTAACACTACATTGTTTGACTTGGCGGCAGGTTGATGATGAATATATACCACTGCCACCAGAGAAGTTTTACTTTCGTCCAGATCAGTATAGAAAGAGTTGTAGGATATCATCGAGGTGTTATGTGAATGATACGGTCAAGGACATCAAGAAATTCCTCAGGCGTTGGAATGGTTTTCTAGTCATCCTCAGTTTAAGCATATCTTTCATATGCCTCTGGTGGAAAACCGTAAATCAAAAGGATTTTGGATGCTTCTTCTGCACCTAGCTTGTACTGATAGTGACAGAGAATTATGGTTTGTGGTTAATGGAGTAGGTACTCCATTAAGGAGCATGCGCTGCTGAGTGGATTGGATTGTCATGACTACCCTAGCAACTATGGGGAGCTGAAGGACAAGGATGCTGGCGATTTCAAGTTTGTTGAAAAGTGGTTCAAGAGAAGGACCAATATTACCATAGCAGATGTGAAGAAGAAGCTACCGAAAGTGAAGAGCGCTGTTAACAAGAAGAAGATGGCTGCGCTATATTTCTTAACCAATGTCTTGAAAGCGAAGTCCAAATATAAAGGAAACATAGAGCCATTCTTTCTCAAAGTCGTGGATGATTTGGACTTGTGCGAAAAATTCCCTTGGGGCCGTTTGACCTTTGATGATTTGGTAGATGAAGTTAAGAAAGTAGCGAAGAAGTTCAAGGGAGGCGTCGTCAACGAGAAGGATTCATGGACCTTTTCTGGATACATTCTTCCTATTGAGGTAATTCTTTTAATTATTTTCCTTAAATTTACGTGGATAGGGTCGTGATATTGTAGTACTCTCTATGTACAGGCTTTTGCGTATGAGTGCATTCCTGCGCTTGCTCGAACCTTTCGAGAACCTGTTCATGCAGAGAGCGACTGTCCAAGGTTGTGCAAGCACAATTTCAAAGCGACTTACATGAAAGGTTATCCACTGTCCGAGATAAACGAAGCAATTGGGAGCAATAGGGTGAGTATTTGTCATCATATAGTGTACTTTATTTTATCTTAATTGAGCAAGCTTATCATGAGTGTATTTAATGTGTTCATAATCGCAGGATATCATAAGCATCTTGGAACCAACCTCAGAGGAGGAAACCCTTATGGAGCGCATCATAGACCCTGGTTGTGATGATGGGATTGGCTACGTGGATCATTTAGTCGACCTTTGGAGAAACCATCTAATCGTCCAAAAGAAGAAGATATGGTGGGAGTCTCTGTACAAGATTGACTTGGCCGGCAGAGGTATCACCGAGTTTGCAAATGAAGTACCAATGCAGGCACCTGACAACGGTGGATCAGTTCAGGGAATGATGGAAACGATGAAAGCTTTGATCGAGGAAGCAACAAAGAAGTTGGAGGATAAGATGGATGATGTTACCTCAGAGATTAAGGCAATGGTTGGGGACTTAGATGAGAGACTTGATATGGTTGAATGTTATGTCAATGAGCAACGAACCAAGAAGGCTCATGATAGAAGCGGAGCAAGTAGTTTTCCTCTAGGTTCTGCTTTTCGGACTCCGGCCGAGAAGGTGGTAGCAGGGGATATAAGTGAAGAAGAGGAGGAGGCGGAGGAGGAGGCGGAGGAGGAGGAGGAGGAGGAGCAAGTAGTAGAACCGCCAAAGAAGAGAAGAAAAGAAACTCCAGCAGAGAAAGAGAAGAGGACAATCAGACCTTCAGCTATTCTCTCATCTCCATATGTGGCTGGTCAGGCAAATAGAAAAAGAAAAGGCAAGACAAGTGGAAAAGGGAAAGGAGGTGCAAAGAGGCCGTACAACACACGTAGGAAACAAGGCTGACGTACCATCTCTATGTTTTATGACTTTGGATTGTGTACTATTTCTGTTTTTGAGTTTGGTACAACTGTGTTTGCATAGGTTCGACTGTGTTTTTGGATGGTTCAAGTGTGGAACAATTTGGTTTGGTACAACTGTGTTTGCATAGGTTCGACTGTGTTTTTGGATGGTTCAAGTGTGTTTGCATAGGTACAACTACGTGTGATGGTAAAGATGATTTAACTTGTTTTACTTGTAATGATTTGTTTTTTGTTGACATGAGTTGCAAAGACATAATGAAAGGACATAATTAGAAAACACATAGTTAAAACATAACTAAAAGACATAATTAAAACATAATTAAAAGACATAGTTTGCAAACAAAGTTTACACAAATCTTAAACACAACTTAAGAAGACCTCTTAAGTAGTTTGAAAAACAGAGGTCTTCATCCGCAGCAACTAAATTGAAAAGAAGGTTGTTGTTACTTGAACCAAACTAAGAACCAAGCAAGGAGAAGTAAAACTGCAGCAATCGCAAACGTGCTCTCCACAGCTTTGTACTTCTTGTTGAAATCACCAATCACCAACTCCAACCTTGTAATCTCCGCTTTGCTCTGTTCATGTTCTTCCTTCAGGTCGGAAATACGTTTCTCCGCAATACGCATGTCCATGATGATGAATGTTAGCTCGCCGTCCTTCAGCTCCGAGATTAACTCCTCCATTCCGGCACGGTGGTGAGTTTGAAGACTCTCAATTTCCCCAGAAACCCGCTTGATTCAGAGTGAAGTATTTCTAACTCCTCTTCAATCACACGATCCCACCACTTCCGAATATGATAACCGGGTTTCTACAATCAAAAATAACAAAGTTCACCATGAATCTAACATTAAGAACTACATTAAAAGAACAAAACAAAAAGAATTTGGAGACATGATTATCAACTAACCGCTCGGAATTCGCAGGAGAAGTATAGTTTTCCAGGGTCTTGTTCGGTGCGAGACGTTTCCCTAATGACCCTTCCACCGCAGTAACAGTAGCTCGGCATACCGTACTCACCATCTCTGATGGTATTTTCGTCGAGTGAGTATGAAGATGAAGACGAGGTTGCAACCCAACTGTGAGGTCCCATCTCAGAAAATGAGAGAGAGAGAGAGGAATCGAAGAGAGGAATTGAAGAGACAAAGGGAAAACCTAAGCGAGAGAGAGAGAGGAGGAGAGAGAGTGAGATCGAGAATAAGAACCCTAGAAATCAATTTGGGGAAACTCCTTTGTTTTTTTTCTCGTTCTTTTAAAGTATTACCAAATAATGAAAATTGCGGCGGAAATATAAAATAAAAAATTTAAAAAAATAATAAGATTCCCGCTTACTTTTCCCGCCGGCGGAAAAGTTAAAAATTTGCAAAATTCGGGGAAAAATGGTCATAGTTGTACTCATGCCATTCGTCGAACCAAAATTAGACATAGTTGAACATCTGCGAGTTTTGGGTTTTTGTAGTAGAACCACATTTCAATGTGTAATGGTCAAGTTGAACCAATGATAGTTCATCTTATTTTATCATTACAAACATTATCATGTCAAAATTTTAGACAAAACTCGTTTTCTTCTTAATTTGAATCACATCATTGACACATTACCTACATATTCCATATATTGTATAGGGTGCTTGATGACTAACATGCTTATCCAGTAGGATAATTTTTTTTTTTATCAATTTTTGTTCTTTCTATCAAATAAGTAGACATAAATATGTTTTTTTCTTAATTAACTCCTCTATATTGCATATCATAAATATATTCACTAAACATTTGCCGTTCGTATATAATTCGAGCCGCATAGTCGAACCTATGGGAGCTAGTTGTACCAAATGTACTTGAAACCAAAACACGTCCACATTCACAGACGCAATGAACATTCTCTATACACGCGGGAACCTGGCAGAACCATATCAGAACCTAGTTCTGAACAAGTCGTTTATCAGCTAATTCCATAACCTTTACATAATTCAGTAATTCCATAACCTTTACCATATTAGAATACAAACCCACATTATTTACATACTTGAACCTACTTGAACCTTGTAGAACCTTGTTCCGAAATTTTGATAATAAAAACACTGAATATTAGTACATACTTGAACCTGTTAGAACCCATCAGTACAACTTCAAGTAACACACTGCAGACAACATGACTGCAACATTGTTCACACAAACTTCATACAACATAATTAAAAACAAATTCAAGCGGTTAAAGCAAGCCAATTCAAATCCAAACAACATAAATACCAAATCCAAACAACAGAATTGCAATTGTTACTCGTTTGGAGGTTTAAAAAAAAACACCCAAATCCTGATGAGGCTTACACTTGTTACTCGTTTTCTTCTTCTTCTTTTTACGACTTTCTCCTTCTGATGGATGTCGTTCTTCTTGGTTTCTTCCTCTTTTTGCTGTGTAATCAGGAGGATAAGCGAACAATTTCAGAACATCCTCCGGGATTGCCCAAGTTGAGATATGGGGCACTGTATAGATCGTTTTCACATATGCTCGTGCCCATGTCTCAACCAAATAGTATCTGGAGCACAAATCATATACAGAAAGAGTCGACATTCTTCCATCCTTCTTTATCTTTGCCATGAGTGCGGCAATTGCATGGACACACGGGTACTTGTCAATGTCAAACATTCTACACACGCAAGTTTTGCTCGCCAAATCCACAAGATATACCACACCATCTGAACCAAATACGTCGAACAGAAATTCCTGACCATTTACCTCCCTGACCGTTAAACGCTTAGCTATTGGACATCTTTCGTGAAGAACATTCTCCACAAAAGGCACAACGACCTTTGTACTTGGCATTGAAGCGCATTCGTTCCTATACTTGTTGGACCAAAAAGCGAATTTCTCTATTATCTTATCAAGCATTGGTAAGAGAGACAACTTTCTGTCTTTCCTAAACACACTATTCATAGATTCGCAAGAATTGCTGGTGTCTAAGTTATACTTTTCTCCTTCAAAAATGCACCTTGCCCACCTTTCCACATCTATCTTGTCAACCAAAAACTTAGCACACGCAGGATACAGCTTCCTGAACTCATCAAACTCCTTTTTAAACTCAGACCCAGTATAAGCATGAGCGCATTTGATGAACTTATCAACAACATCGTCTTTCTTAACACCTTGCTGAGCATGCCCTTTTACGTTCTGAGCCAGATGCCAAATACAGTGTACATGGCGAGCCAATGGATAGACCTTCGAGACTCCATATATGATGCTTTTATGTCTGTCACTAACAAAAACGAGTTCAGGATCATCTGGTACAACAGCTTTCAGGTTTTCCAGGAACCATGGCCAACTACTATGATTTTCGCTATCAATTATCCCAAAGGCAATAGGGTAATGGTGATGATTAGGATCTTGAGCAGTGGCAAACACAAGCTGTCCACCATATACAGTCTTCAGAAACGTTGCATCCACAACTATCACTTTTCTCATCCATTGAAACCCTTCAATGCTCGCTCCCAAAGCAACAAACAGATACTCAAACCTGTGCAAAGCATCTAGTTGCACATTCGTTTTGCTTCCAGGATTTTCCTGCTCCAGCATGTACAGATAAGAAAATAACATCTTGTAGCCTTCTTCAGGAGTGCCTCGAACATCACTAACGTGTAGTTTTTTTCCTCTCAAGCCGTTGAGTATGACACATTCACACCAAGTCTACGGTGAACAACATCGACAATTGTTTTTGGAACTGGTGTGTCAAACTGACCTGGATAGTCTTCATGCAAAACCGATGCCACTAATCGTGGGTTGCCTCTCCTTCGAGAGCTGTTACTACTTTCAACAGCCCGTGAGCAGTTGTGCTTGTTCCAGTATTTTCGGACACTGAAAAAATCTGATCCACCTTTCCTCGCAGCATATATATACCAATTACAGCCTCCGCTCTTCTGAGTGCACCTTAGGATAAGTCGGCCAGTGTCAGACTTGTAAGTGCGGACACCAAAACAATGCTTGTGTGAAGCTCTGTCAACCAAATCTTGCAATGCCTCCTTTGATGGAAATTCTTGTTTTATTTCAAGACCAATACCATCTTCCCATTCTTCAGCCAACTTAATTTCTTCTACAGGACGTGAAAGCTCAAAATCCTCATCAAAGAAGTTTAACCCATCTTCCTTACTATCTGGTTCTGGACGCTTCTCGTTGCCATCCTCTTCTTTACCATCAGACTCAACCTCTTCGATATGTGGCTCTTCAATATGTGGCTCTGGCTCCTCAACATGTGGCTCTCTGAATATGGTAACGACACCATCACCTCTGTCATTTGGAACCGACTCCTCCTCGTAATTCAAACCAAATGAACTTTCTGCATCCGTTCTAGACAGGTGGTCGCTCCTATGATTTGCTCTGTTCGTGTTCTTGGTTACCTCCACATGCAAAATCCTCCTAAATCCCAGATTATCAATTGTCGTTAGATAAGCAAATAGGTCTTCATCATCAAAAATGTACATCTCTCTCGCAGGATTATTTGACATTGGAATGTAACTCAATTTCAGCAGCGGCTTAGCTCCATCTCTTGCAATCTTCCTGCATATCTTATCCACAACCGCCGAGTACGTAATCTCCTCCAAAGATGAGATCTTGAATGTTATAGCGCAAGTGGGATTCTTTGAAACCCATTTCAGTTCCTCTTCTGCATAATGACCTCCGTGGTCGAAAAATATGTTTGTGATGATCATGCTCATTGTTACCCTGCAAATATAATGAAAATAATCAATTCCCAATTACAAAACATCTCACAGTTGTACTACGTGTACCAGTTGAACTTTTACTACCATTACTTTTTAAAATGCAGTTGTACCTATATGAACCAGTTGAACCACTTAATCAACTAAGTCCCATTTGTACCACTCGTACCAGTTGTACCATCTCTGCAGGTTCCGATCTAGTTCAAATACAGTTCACTCGCTGCGATTCACAAGCTACATTACTCAAAAAGCTTAATCTACCGCCTATTCTATCAATGCATGTATACCATTGAATGCCTATATCCAATGAACCACCCAATGAACCAATTTACGGATCCATGCACCAAACAAATTAGAAACTCACTTTCAATGGACTTGAAGCTTCAGCAATGGTCAAACAAACGAAAGGGAACATCCACTGTCTACGGAGGTGAAAGAGGAGGCGGAATAGGTATAGATGAGCTCAGGTCGAAGAAGATTTCGAGTTCAGTGAAGATTTTGAGTGAGAGAAGCGAGCTGAGCTCGAGAATTCCGACCACGATTTCCGATTTCCGAAATCCAATCAATTCGATTGTTTTTTTTATTTTCTTTTTCTTTTTCAATTCTTTTCGATTTCTTTTTTTTATTTTAAGTTATTGTTTTCATTAAATTTAGAAAGGTGAAAAGTAAAAGGTGAAAAGGAAGAAGGAGGGAGAAAAGAGTAATTGCACATCATCTTGTGGCATTAGATCATTCTTTGGCACACGAGATTAACTTTCGCAAATTGTGGCAAATCAGCCGCGCTCGGTTGGATTTCGAATTTTTCATATGTCAAACTTCGAATTTCTTTTTTTAGGTCGGTTTGTTTTGGAACTGGAGCATTTCGGCTTATGTTAACCGCATCGACCACTGACCAGACAATAGAAATACGATATTTTATTAAAGGGATATTTTCGACGATATTTTTATATCTCCGTTAAATCGAAAATCGAGAGCAAATCTGAACTTTACCCTCCGAAATTCCGGTCACCGTCGTGTTAATCAACGGGAAGGAAGAGGAGTAAGCAATGGCGCATAGAATACTGAGAGATCACGAAGCTGATGGATGGGAACGCTCTGATTTCCCAATCATCTGCGAGTCCTGTCTCGGTGACAATCCTTACGTTCGAATGGTATTTCTTCGATTCCTAACTCCTCGAACAAATTCGATTTTTCAACCTTTTTAGTTTGTTTTGCTTTCAGAAATTCACGAATCTTCTTCCTTAGGATCTCCTTTCCGTATCCATTTCCGTGCTCGTTTGCTTATAACTATATGTTTCAGAGTGTTGGAGCTGTTAATTTTTAGCGATTTGGAACTTTAGGGTTTAGTCGATTTCCAGTACAAGTCCTAGCCTTTGCTTGAAATCCAAATTCATGGAGTTATAATTCGAATTTGTCGATTGCGTCTGTAAAATATGTTGTTAAGATCCCGAATTTGCTTAGAGGGAATGTTTTTCATTGCTTATGGATCGATTGAGTACTGTTTAGCTTGTGTAATGTCAGCTCTTGATATGGTTCCTGTTTGATTGATGCATTGTGGTGCTTTTTGAATATGTAGACGAAGGCAGAATATGATAAAGAGTGCAAGATCTGTACCCGACCATTCACGGTGTTCAGGTGGCGACCTGGCCGTGATGCTAGATACAAGAAAACCGAAATCTGTCAGACATGCTGCAAGCTGAAGAACGTGTGCCAAGTCTGTCTCTTGGATCTTGAGTATGGTCTTCCTGTTCAGGTCAGAGACACGGCGCTCAACATTAGCACTCATGACTCTATCCCAAAGAGCGATGTCAACAGAGAGTTCTTCGCTGAAGAGCATGATCGAAAGGTACTGTGACTCTCTATCCAAGCTTCAATCTAAGTTAAAAGGCTCAGTTTTTTAGTGGCTTGTTGATTGAAATGAGTTTTTTTTTTCTTATGCAGACGAGAGCTGGACTAGATTATGAATCTTCTTTTGGGAAAGTTAAGCCTAACGATACCATTCGTATGCTTCAAAGAACAACACCATACTACAAAAGGAATCGAGCACATATCTGTAGTTTCTTCATTAGGGGAGAGTGTACGAGAGGTGCCGAGTGTCCGTACCGGCATGAGATGCCTGAAACCGGAGAGTTATCACAGCAGAACATTAAAGATCGTTACTATGGGTAAGCATCCTACTGACTTTCATTTTCTTCTTGTTGGGAAATTTGCAACTTTCTTCTTATCTTATTCTTCTCATTTTGCAGTGTGAACGATCCAGTTGCATTGAAGCTACTTGGAAAAGCTGGTGAGATGGGGACTTTGGAAACTCCGGAGGATCAAAGCATCAAAACGCTTTACGTTGGCGGGCTAAACTCTCGAGTCCTTGAGCAAGACCTGCGAGATCAGTTCTACGCCTATGGAGAGATCGAGTCCGTCAGAATCTTGGCCGAGAAAGCATGCGCGTTTGTCACCTACACATCCCGAGAAGGAGCAGAGAAAGCCGCAGAAGAGCTCAGCAACAAGCTAGTTGTCAACGGTCAGAGGCTCAAGCTCACTTGGGGAAGGCCTCAAGTTCCCAGAACCGATCCAGATGGCGGCGGCGGTGTTGTGGCTCACAGTGGATTGCTCCCGCGAGCCTTGATATCTCAGCAGCATAATCAACCTCCACCGGTGCAGCAGTACTATATGCATCCACCACCACCACAACACCCTCATCAAGACAGACCTTTTTACCCGTCAATGGACCCTCAGAGAATGGGTGCAGTCATATCGTCCCAAGACGGAGGTTCAAGCAGCAGTGACAACAGAGGAGCTGCTTCTTCTTCTTACCCGATGCAGCCACATGGCCACTATCCGCACCAGCCATACCCGCCAGCGCCATATGGAGGATATATGCAACCACCTCACCAGCAGTATCCTCCTTACAATCAAGGACCACCACAAGCTGCTCACCCTTATCCGCAACAACCGGGTCCCGGTTCAAGGCCTAATCCTCCTCCTCCGAGCTCAGTCTCTGCTCCACCACCTGACTCTGTGCCTGGTACAGCTTCAGGATCTTCTCAGCAATCATCTGCTGATGTTACTGGTTCGTCTTAAAAGAAACCGTTTCAGTTAAAATGTACTGCAAATTTCTGGCTATATCTGCATTCTGATTTTTTTGCTTCTGCTATTAAATTAGTTTCGAATTATCAAGAATTCTTGCTTCAGTAATTTGTTTTTGTTAGCTAGACTCTTTGATGGAAGTAAGGGAGAGAAGAATTGTTACAATGACAATGACGACGACCTAACAAATCAACAAAAGGTTTTAACTTTATAAACTAATCTACAAAGGTTAAGAGTTTGCACAGCCAGAAAGGAGAAAACATAATAGTAAAACGCTTTGAGATCATCATTACAAATTACAATACCATAGAGGAGAAAGATTGTACGCTCAGAGCTTACTAGGTTTTCTGCCAAACAAAGAATGTCGACCTTCTGCTATAATCTCTCCGGTCATCTTGTTCCTCACTACAACGATTGTTCCTTTGTAATTCCCTTTCACTCCCATCACTCTCGACGTTATCTCCAACTCCTCCTGAAAGAAATATATATTTCCATTTCCAAAATCATCTTGTCTGTTTCTCGAGTTTCGCAAGTAAAGATCGAAAGAGTAAAGATGAGTTAAACTTACACCGAGCTTAGCTTTTGAAAGGATCGCAATAGACATGTCAACTGAAACATTCATTGAACCTTCTTCATGTACAACTGCTCCACCAACTTCATCAACGAGATTTGCAATCGCTCCATTTGCTAGTTTCCCTTCTCTGTCCTGCCATTATCAAACCTTTAAAGAGATCAATACCGTCAAGTCCAAAATATCTTCTTGATTTCTGCTCAAGTTTCCAAGAACCATTTCAGAACATAAACCAAACTAATTTGGGACTATACTATAACCATTCTTATTTTCAAACAGCACACAAAGATATAAAGATCTTTGAAGACCATACTAGTGCCTTTGATCAATCCAATTAAAGCTAATTTGAGCAGTAATAGGGGTTGAGGAAGACAAACCGTCAGACGAAGAGGAACTTTGAAAGTGCAGGAGATGAAACCCGGGTCGACTCGGTTTACTCGGATTCCTCTGAGGCTGAAATCCTCGTAGAAGCTTCTTCCTCTCACTAATCCCTCTACTCGCGGCGCTTCATCGTCGTCAACGTCTAATTGTAAATACTCTCGAATTTTCTCCATCATCATTGTTTCTTTCCATTCCCTTCCCAATCTGCACCTATCTCTACTTCTGTATTATTTTTTACAAAATAAATAAAACAATTATTTTAAGTTTTTCTAGTTTGGGCCTTTATTATCAAACAGTTTATTTTTCGGCCTAAAGCAGATAGCTTGTCCGTTGTCGTGACGACTTGTTGTAATACTTTGTGAACCTTTGAATGAAGTGACGATTATGTGTGCTATATGATATGTAACTATTTATGAATATACAATTATAAATTTTCTTGTGCAAATGAAACTGCGTATATTATTTATGATATACAATTCTGTTTTTTTTTTTTTTAACAACAGAATCCAACTTGTAATCAATTAAAAATGGATATATAGTATATAAATTTCATCTATGTTTAGTGAGGAGATTGTAAACATTCAAGGATAAAAATGTCAAGAAAAAGTGTCATTTGGACATTTATTTGGAAAAGAATGTCTTTAGAACCGATTTTCTATTGATCTTCTCAGAGAACTGATTCTTCAGTTTTTACTTGCTATATCATTTTTTTCCAGTTAAAATCCCTTTCTTGTCTCTCCATTGTGGATACTCTTAGATTATATTAATGTTGGGATGGAGAGAGATACAAATACTGTAAAATCAGAAACCAAACTTTACCATATTACCTTCAGAATATTTAAAAGAAATTACCATTGTTCAACACACATATAGTCTAAATAATAAACCATGAGTCCTTGTTGTCGACGAAAAAAAAAAAAAAAACACTATGAGCATGTGTCACTAACGCCTACTCCAACCACCTACTAGATAAGAGAGTTTTGCCAAATGCTTGGTTGAAAAGAAGTCGTCTGAATCTCATATACAAAGGAGAGCATGGCCATCACTGCAATTGGACAAAACAACACCACTCTCACTAAGGCATCATATCACTATGCGAGTTTCCCCACCAGAAACCACATCTCCAGTTTTTGAATTTGCCTGAAAATCATTATTGAAAAAACTAAGAGAGTCACAATGTTGAAAGTATCATTGGTCATGCCAATACTGAAACAGGGAAAACCGTGATGCTAAGGCAAGCTCAAGCATCAAACCAACAGTCCAGTACCATGAACCCACCATGAACCACATGAAGAATGTGATAAAGAAGTTGGAAGATCCAAACATATGGTACATGATGACATTAAGAAGCGCCATTGAGGAAGGATATATATTACATTAGTAAACTAAATCAATTATCATAAGATAAGAATGAGATGACTTAGAAGTATCATTCACAATTCACTTAACATGAATGCCAATGTGCAAGTGAAGATGTCGTTGAATGTTAAATTATGATGACAATGACATTTATCAGAAATGCGAGGAAGACACCAACCTTGGTTGCACAAAGGGCGCACAAAGAGTTTGCCTTGGACTTGCATTATCCAAAGACTATGATAAACATTGGTAAACAAATCATAGTTTCTCATTCACTCTTGGTAAAATATGCAAGAAGTAAGCATAATAATCATGACAATCAACCATTAAGCCACATAAAGCTGAAAAATAGGTAAAAGTTCATTTAGCAAAATCAAGAAACTCAGCAATGTGATGAAAGTCTAAATAAGAAAAAACATATATTGTGATTCTCAAAAACTCAAAATCATGTTCATTTATTCACGTCATCTAGTCTTTCCAGTCATCAAATTTTTTGCATCACTCGAAACTATAAAGTTTGAACAAGAAAATAGGTTAAAGGCATAATCCCACTATAGAACATATTAAAAATGTAATCAGAAAATATGTAGATCCAAACATGTGGTTCACGAATAAGAGAGTCGTGTTGAGGAATCTTTTTTCAAGGTCAGTCACCATTATCAAAATATTTCAATTCTACGTCTTGCTTATTATATGTCTACTTTTTGTCTATCTATATATAGTTTTCTTTATCAAAAAAAAAAAAAAAATCTATATATAGTTTTAGTTTTTCTTATGTTTTGCTCATTATTTTGTATTTTTTATATATATATAATACCCCTAGAAAATTAAGTACGTTGGTATTTTAGAATTTTTGACATATTCATCATTGGAAACTGAGCATAATGTACTTATCTGTCAATTTTCTTTTCATTTTGCAATTAGATTGTGTGTATTTTTTTTTTTTTTTTTGTAGAAAATATTACAAGGATATAAAAAATAGAAATATGTGTTTAACATAAAACTTCAATGACCCAAAAGACTAAATAGTACAATAGATTCTGCTATTCAAAAATGTGAGCATAAAAAAAGTAACAAAGGGAAAAGGAAATTCAATGACCCAAAAGACAAGATTATATGTTCACAAAAAATAAAGTAACCATTAGGGTAAGTGTTTCTTAGAGCATGTTTATTGGTGTTATGCTATTATAATCTCTTATCTCTAATTTTTATTAATAGTTAATGTTTGAAGTGTGAACACACACAAAAATATTATTATTGGATTGAGAGTCTCTTATAAATTAGAAAAATATTCTCAAAGTCTGTTATATAAGAGATGTTGGAATAACTTTTCTTAGTTAAAGAAATACCTCTAATTAAATACTAATATTTCTTTTGTGTTCACACTAGAAAACATTAATTATTAATATAACTTAAAATAAGAGACTTTGATAGCATAACACCAATAATGCTCTTATGTTCATTGGATGAGTGTCTCTTAGCGACTTAGAGCATGTCCAACGCAGAGGCGCTTATGAAATGCTTATCATATATTTTATGATTAAAATTGTTTTAAGCACCTCTCCTAAGAACACTCTTTTTTCTATACTCTAATGGGAGAATCTTGTTGGGTGCTTAAGACAGAAAAAAAATTAACATCACCAAGGTGGCTAGCCGAAGAGCTTTAGCGATTAGAGCTATGTTCTTGACAGTTTTATAATTTGTTGGTAACCATCATCCAACGACCGATCCAAAGAGTGAATCTTTAACATGAATTTGATTATGACAAGATGCAACAGAGTACAAAATGCACAAGAATAATGAATTTGTTTCCACAAATGATAGTACCACGGCTCCCTATAAGGATAGTACTCAGGGGTTCTCTTCTTCTCCTCAATCTCTTTAAGCAATGGAGTGAAGAGTGACCAAGCTGCTCATCACTTCTTATGAACAACCTTCTTTCTCCTTCTATTGCATCCAGCAGCAGCAGCCACTCATATGCATCTGGTATCTCCTTTGAATACCTGACAACAGCAATACCTCATAGCTAATGGAGATCTTCCTATCAAACCAACCGATTCTTCTAAATGTTGAGTAAACAAGTCCCACAGCACCAATGCTTAAACCAAACAAGCCATCACATCCAACACAACCATGGCAAAGAAGACTAAATCCCAAAACCTTACTTCATTGCCTATCGAGACTATTTCTATCAAACAAAACTGATTCTTCAAGCACTAGAGCACTATACAAAACATCAAAATCAAAACTTTTTTACCTGTGTGGGAAAGTAAGATACTTAGTCATGGGGACTTGAAAAATGTTTCCCCTAACATCAATGGCAAATTTCTGAACAGCACCGACGACTTCCTTAGCCTTAGCACAACCAATAGCGACATTCCCTTGTTTGTCTTCAACAACAACAATGGCTTTGAATTTCAATTGCTTGCCTCATTTAACAACTTTAGTCACTCTCCTAACTTGACATAGGATGTGGATTTTTACAACAGAAATGCAAGGAACCGTCGATACAAACTGACTCTGAAGTCTCTTTTGCTCTGCTTCTGCTGATGATAACTTCAGCTCCAATTTCGCTTTCTCATTATCGGTTGTCTTCATATTCTTCCCAACTAGCTAAAGCTTCCGTCTCAACTCTGATATCTCCATCTCATAACCTTCTGTTATCTCCAAAGCTCGAGATTCGACAACTTTCAGTTTAGCGTATGCAAAGAGAAGAAGGATCCTTGATTCGAATTGGTTTATCTTCGTGTAGCTTCTTCACCGATTCTCTTGAAAAAACAGAAATTCGAATTGGCTAAACAGCAGAAACGTGAGTCGTCCTCTCCGACTTTGTTCTTGTTCAAAATCGATCCAAGAGATGTATCGGCAACAAATAGCCATGGAAGACGGGAGAGAAAGAGAGAGAGAGAAGAGAGAAAAGGAAAGTAAAAGAATGGGCTTTTTTTTCCTTCTCATTACCATCCTCCAATAGTTATGTGACATGTGGCATCAGCGTCGACGCTTAAAAAGGTTAAATAAACGTCGGATTCTCGATTTATCTCTATTTTTTATTTAATTTAAATGCTTATTTTCTCTAAGACACCTACTAAGCGTCATGCGTTAGTCATGCTCTTAGCGTAACACTTATATCTGTTAGCGTCACAAGATAAGTGTAACAAGATTATACTCCTTTCTCAAAAGGTGTTTTATGCACGACATTCACAAAAAAAATATAGCCGAAGAAAACAAACATGTATAAGAGGATGAATCTCCTCGGTTGGTTGCCGTGCCGTGCGGTACAAGGATATCAACATTTAATGATATCAGCACAAACATAAAACTTCCTATCGACACAAAGATCTTATCATTTCATGTCGCCATTTTTGTTGGTAGTCATATTAGCACCTGTACGAGTGATCTCTGCAGCTATATATTGGTGTGTTTGATACTATAAACCAAGATGAATTGGTTCTCTTTATTGACTTTTCCATAAGAATGCGATGAAGCGATGAAGTCTCTGCATCAGAACAAAGGAAGATAATCAAATTGTGTTCCTTGTAAAATTCAGAACCAAAATCTTGACTCCACTTGACTTTCAAAAGAAAACTATTTGAATCCATATCTCAACCTTAGTCTAAGCTTACCATTTTTTTCATCAACTTCTTCCAGCATCGGTTTGATTGCCTTTTAGTTCTTCTGGAGATGGATCAATGAACAGTGGTTTGTGGTCTTCTGCAGATTTAGACTCAGCATTGAATGTTTCTTCAGATCCCTGATAGTTTCATTTCAATGTTAAGCCAAAGAAGAATTGGAAAAGTAAATACATAGCATTGCAACTTTGGAAAAAGATAATTTCACACCTCTTGACTCTCCAGAATTGGTCCCGTGGCATCCAAGCAAACGGTTTCTACTGTAGTTTCTTCAGTTGGCTCAGAATGTTCCTGCGATATGGAGAAGACAAATCGTCTGTTAAACAAAGTACTTGTATGTGAATGAATACAGAAAACTCTGTTTTGCTTTACATCTAATTGATTATGAGATGACTCTGCAGGTGGATCCACATTTCGAAGCTGACCATCTGATGTAAGATCCGGATCCTCAGAATGAGTCTGGTCTAAAGGTGACATGTCTGGTAACACCGATCTTGGAGAAGTAGCAGATTCTTCAGAGTCTCCATGATGATTCACATCAGAAACCTCGAGTTGTTGCATCTCTTCTCCAACGTTTCTCTCACAAGGTTCTTCAGATTCTTGATCAGTCCTCTCGGATGGTTCATGTTCGTCAGAGTCATAACTTATCTTTATCTCATCAGCTGAGTTTTCAGCAAGTTTCTTCAACTCCTGAGAAAGAAAAAAAAGCTGCAAAGTTATGTTCAAAGTCGTAACACTTATCTGAATAAAACTTAACATTTCCATGATACTGACCTTTGCTTTTTTTACTTCATCAAGTTGAGGAACCAAAGGATCAAACTTTCTTGCTTCTTCAATATCTGGAGAAGCTAAAGACTCTGTTTCATCAAGATCTTGATCATCATCTTTCTCCACAGGTAACATTTCTTTTCCAATTTCCGATTCATAAATAAACAACGACCTCTCTTCATCAGAGGAATCATTCCCATCAACTGAAGTAGGAGGTGATCCGAGCTCAGAAACCTCAACCTGAAGATCAGAGTCCACAGAATGCGACACCATATGGCATTTCCTTGTGCTGTAACCGAAATGCTCCACGTATCTTTGCCTCGCGGTCGCTACTGAACTCCTCGAACCCTTGCTTCTAGGCACTAAACCCGCAAGAGATCTCCCAACATTACCATTCCGTTTGCAGAACGTCTCAGAAGCATCTGACTGGTCAGATACACTGAAATCTTTCTCTCTTTCTCGAGGAGATAGCGTCATGTTCGAGTCACTATCATCTTCGTTTCTGATGGCATCAGTCTCTATCCGTACCTCCCCTGCCTCCATATCATCTCTTTCCTTCATTAGAGGAAGTTGAACGTTGCTTCCTACATCAGCAAGAAGACCTATTAAAGCAATAAAAGCAGACCTAATTGTTCTGTTTCAGTTAAAACCTAACCACTAATAGCTTAACGTATGATACAAGAAAGAAAGAGCACATACCTTGCAGTGGCTTAGGCCTACCATCAACAGTGTTTCTCCACAAAGAAGCCAATTTAGGATCATTTTGAGGTCTCTGATGGAAGCTCTCATGGCGGCAGAAGAAGATTTTAGGGTTAGCTTCCGCAAACTCTTGCTGAAAGCTATCTCCGGTGAGATTCGGCTTCTCTTCCAGAGGATCATAAGGAAGGTCAAATGGGTTTCTTCTCGGTAACATAACGGAAGGTGCAGAGCCTGGCATGATAAGCCCATCGGTCTCGTAGCTTTCTTTATCGAAACCGTAGTAGTTTCGACCAATACAAATCCGAGGAACTTCCATGTCCATCAGGCTTCTCTCTGCTGCTAACAGAAAAAATCTCCTTGACCGTCTTCTGGATATCAAACTCTCTAGCCTCTTGTTACGTTCGATCTCAGATGTCCCAAGATCCATCAGATTCTTCTGATCATCCTCTGTCCACGCTACTATCACCGCGTTTGTTTCCTTTTCTTCTTCTTCTTCTTCTTCCTCTGCTTCTTCTTCTCCTTCTTCTGATGATGACGATGATGATGAACATTCTCCTTCAGTTTCATCATCACCAACAACAACATATCCTTCGTTGTCAAGGTTAGACTCCACGAAGCTTTCTTCCGCGACAAGCAACGTCCTTTCTCTCTTGAACGTCTCCAGATCTGGTAATTCACCGTAGAGAGTCGTCAGAATGACTTTCCCTCTCTCGTCCTCGCTAGCTTGAGACGAGTCCCAATCTTTCCCAACCTCTTCAACTTTCCTTCTCGCATTTCGTCGAACACTTCGTTGGTGCTTTAACTCAGCCTTCTCCGCTAATCTCTTTCCTTCATCGGAAACCGACGGTAACCCACGATTCGTTCTGTTTTCTTCTTCCGATGAGGAATCACCGGTTTTCGAATTTCGGAGATAAAACAGAGCACAAGCGATAAACGGAGAAGAACAGAGCATGGAATAGAAAATCCATGGAAGGAAAGTGTACAGGAGGATTATAAACGCGGAAACACCAGAAGCAACTGGATATCTCTTAACGTATCTGCAAGTCGTGTTCGTTGAGAATCTGATGATTCTCCAGACGATCACGCAGACATCTTTAGCTTCAATTCCCATCGTTTCTTCTTCTTGTTTGACTGCTCAAACGGCCTGAAAACTCAGAATCATTAACTCCGAAAGTTTGAAAAAATCAAAAATTTGATGAGGAGGAAGAAAGAGAGGTCAAGCTTACCTTTGAAACGATGACCAGTCAAAAAAACTAGTTTGATCTTTTAGAGGTTTTTTAGAAATTTCCTCTGTTTATTTTTGTTCTGTTTTAGTAACTTCGGTGTGGTAGAGAGGGAATGATTTATGTACGGATCGGAATCGGATCGTGCGGGGAAGACAACATAGAAAACGAGGGAAGTTAGTTGTCTACATGTTTTTTATTTTCAAAGATTTTTTTTTCTTCTTACGATTTCGAATTTCGATCACTATATAAATATATAATTTTAATTTGCAGGTTAGGTCCTTGTTTTTTCTCCGTTTTTGCATTTATTGCTCAGCTTTCTTAATTTTGTGCTTTTGGTCGTTTGGAGAAGTAAGCGGTAAGAGGCGCCCATGACCATTTCTACTTGAGAAAAGTTGATATAAAAAACGTTTCTTTCATTTCGTTAGAGAATCTAAATTATTTCTTTGTGGACACAGTTGGATGGATATAGATAACGATAAATTATTTTATTTAAAAGTATACAATTGTTACTTGTAAGATTATCTTTCTGCTAAAGAATAATTCTGCTCGTCGTAGATGAGTGTTTTTTTTAAAATACATTCGGATTTTTCTAGATATGAATATGATCCATTGAACAATTGATTCGTAATTCTTTCAAAAGATATTAATGACTGTGTTTGTCTATGCTGACTAAGTCATTTACGTCCAAAAACATGTGAAATAGTATCAAATATCAAATCTCTCATTATATGAACTTTCATAAGCCTATATGTATATTTCAATATGTGGACAAAGCAAAATATCAATGTCGCTTTCAGAAAGCGTGAACAACAGATAATAAAGTTCCAAAAAATATACCAGAAAACCAAGGCAATTTGAAGCTAAAATTAGATTGGAAATTGCAACAATTATTTAATTGTATTATTTTAACAAAACCAACGGACATTGTTCAAATGAACAAAAATAAAAATAAAACCAAGAGGAAGAGGCTGTCTTTTATTTGGCCAAACTCAAAAAAGGGTTTGTCGTCACTCAGCAACGGTACAGTTTATTTCATTTATTGGTTTCATGGAAAAAGGTAACTGACTCTCCACCTCACGTATCTTATCAAATAAAAAAGCCTGACAAAAAATATCTGGACACGTAAGCAAAGCATTCCACAATATCAGACTCAGGAGCTTCGTTTTAAATTTTAAGAGAGTGTGGTACTAAGTGTGCGATTCAATCATCGTCTTCATCTGTCATCACTCAGATCTCGAGCTTCTTCCTCTTCTTCTTCCAGGTTCGAATCCTTCTATCTCCACTGCTGGTTTCAGAATTGCGCATGGAAGTCCAACGGTTGTTGATCGAGTTTAATTGATTTTCTACCAGCCATTTCTTCAAATTATTTGCACGAAACTTTTTTTTTTTTTTTTCCTTCGATTGTGCGATTTCTGTTGTTCCCATGCTTTTTCCTTAGATTTTGCAATTTCTGTTGTTCCCTTGCTCGTCGATTTCAATATCTCTGTGAATTCAATTGAAGAGTTGCAATTGATTTTCATATCTCCCAATTATGGCAATGCATATTCGTTAATAGCTGTCATTTATTGTCCATGAAGGAAAGTTTAGATTTATTCTTATCATCACGATATCTGAGAGTTTGTGTCTGATGTTGCATGTTTGTTGAAGAATAATTTACAGAAACCTCTTAAATCTTTCAATTGCAGCTATGGCTTCCGTACACAGCACGCTCATGTCTGTGGTATGCAACAACAAAACCCACTCTTCCTGGCCAAAACTCCCCAACTCCTCCTTATTGCCCGGATTCGATGCTGTTCTTGTTCCATCTCTTCGATTCAAGAAGGACACAACAACAACAACAACAACCACAAAAGCCACCTTGACCTTTGATCCACCACAAACAACCACCAACTCAGAGAGAGCCAAGCAGAGGAAACACACCATCGATCCTTCCTCTCCTGATTTCCAGCCAATCCCGTCTTTTGAAGAATGCTTCCCCAAGAGCACCAAAGAAAACATGTACATATTCCTTCACTCTATCCATACTATATCATCACTTTGTTTGAAGAGTCAAATCATAGGTTTGGTTTTGTTTTTATTGCTTCAGGGAGGTTGTTCATGAAGAATCTGGCCATGTCCTTAAAGTTCCCTTTAGACGTGTCCATCTGTCTGGTGGTGAGCCAGCTTTTGACAACTACGACACTAGTGGTCCTCAAAATGTTGACCCACGCATTGGTATGTGACTCTTTATTACATCTTTCACTCTCTATGTGACTATCAAATAACAAAAAAAAATGAAACTACAGGGCTTGCTAAGCTAAGGAAGGAGTGGATCGACCGTCGTGAGAAGCTAGGAACACCAAGATACACTCAAATGTACTACGCTAAGCAAGGAATCATAACCGAGGAAATGCTCTACTGTGCCACAAGGGAGAAGCTTGACCCTGAGTTCGTGAGATCAGAGGTCGCACGTGGGAGAGCGATCATCCCTTCCAACAAGAAGCATCTGGAGCTTGAACCGATGATTGTTGGCAGGAAGTTCTTGGTTAAGGTCAATGCCAACATCGGCAACTCAGCTGTTGCTAGCTCCATTGAAGAAGAAGTCTACAAGGTCCAATGGGCAACAATGTGGGGAGCTGATACAATCATGGACCTCTCAACAGGCCGTCACATCCACGAGACACGTGAGTGGATCCTAAGGAACTCGGCTGTTCCTGTTGGCACTGTCCCCATTTACCAAGCGCTTGAGAAAGTTGATGGTATCGCTGAGAATCTTACCTGGGAAGTGTTCAGAGAGACTCTGATAGAACAAGCTGAGCAAGGTGTGGACTACTTCACAATCCACGCTGGTGTTTTGCTGCGTTACATTCCTTTGACAGCTAAGCGAATGACCGGTATCGTTTCTCGTGGAGGATCCATTCATGCTAAATGGTGCTTAGCTTACCATAAAGAGAACTTTGCTTACGAGCATTGGGATGACATTCTTGACATTTGCAACCAGTATGACGTGGCTCTCTCCATTGGAGATGGTCTGAGACCTGGCTCCATCTATGACGCTAACGACACTGCACAGTTCGCAGAGCTTCTTACTCAAGGTGAGCTAACTCGCCGAGCTTGGGAGAAAGATGTGCAGGTGATGAACGAAGGGCCAGGGCATGTCCCAATGCACAAGATTCCAGAGAACATGCAGAAGCAGTTGGAATGGTGTAACGAGGCACCGTTCTACACGCTTGGTCCTTTGACTACTGATATCGCTCCTGGATATGATCACATCACCTCTGCCATTGGTGCTGCTAACATTGGAGCCTTGGGGACAGCTCTTCTCTGCTACGTGACACCGAAAGAGCACCTTGGGTTACCCAACAGGGACGATGTGAAGGCTGGGGTTATAGCTTACAAGATCGCTTCTCATGCGGCTGATTTGGCTAAGCAGCATCCGCATGCACAGGCGTGGGATGATGCGTTGAGCAAGGCGAGGTTTGAGTTTAGGTGGATGGATCAGTTTGCTCTGTCGTTGGACCCTATGACTGCTATGTCTTTCCATGACGAGACTCTTCCTGCTGATGGAGCTAAGGTTGCGCATTTCTGCTCCATGTGTGGACCGAAGTTCTGTTCCATGAAGATAACGGAAGATATCAGGAAGTATGCGGAGGAGAATGGTTATGGCAGTGCTGAAGAAGCTGTTAGGAAGGGTATGGAGGCTATGAGTGAAGAGTTCAATGTCGCAAAGAAAACCATTAGCGGAGAGCAGCATGGTGAAGTTGGTGGAGAGATTTACTTGCCAGAGAGCTATGTCAAGTCTGCTCTCAAGTAAAAGGTCAGTATGGTTTAGACCTTACAATCATCAGGTGTATAATGCTTATATCATATATGGTCAACAAATGTGTCCTTACTGTGATCTTTGTTTTTTTTTGTTTGTCTTTCTTCTTCAGGAAGGGATGAAACAAGATGTCGCTTACTCTCAAGTCCTGGTGCCTGTTTGGACTGTACCTGAATAAGGCACGAAATGTTGGTAAGCTTTAGTACTAGTAGTCTCTCTATGTCTTGTCATCTTTAGAACTATCTTTCGTTTGTGTTTCTGTTTTTTCCGTTGTGTCAGAGTCAGTAATAATAAAGACAAGCTAAGTTGATGTTTTCAATACTTTTATGTGTTATTTGGCTGGTGAATTGACATACAAAAGCACCAGGGGTGCTTGAAGTCCAGGCTAGTCCGCGCAGGGCTATCCTGGACCAGGCTGAGATAGTCCCTTTGAACCTGAACAGGGTAATGCCTGCGCAGGGAGTGTGCAGTTTTTTTTTTGCTTTTCTGTAGCATTCTTCAGGAGAAGAAGCTTCTGCAGTAGCCGCTCTCCTTAGCCTCCGATCCACATTTTCTCACAGTTTGATTCTCATGAGCTAAGAGATTCCACTTCATTGACTTAATATCCGTTAAGTAACCTGATGCACTAAGTAAAATAACAGTAAAAAATGACTCAGAATTTGCATTCAGACTGATGAAAGCTTGAAAGGAAAAGCCAAAAATCAGTCTGCATTGTTAATTTTGTTTTCCAGCTCCACAACACAAATCCGATTTTCTTAAACTATAGCAATCTTAACCTTGATCACACATATGGTTCTAAACTTATGATATTGTTTACTCTTTTTCTTGAGGCATGTCCGCATGAATCGGCATGGCAAATGAATTTGTGATGATCAGATGCAGGAAAATAAAATGAATGCACCTTTGTCTTTGTATTTTATTTTATTACGTACCACAGAGAAGAAGAATGGCATCGACTAGAACAAGCAAGTAGATGTAGAAAGTGGAGCTACATTGATTCAAGAATGGCATCATCTTCTCTTTCGTAAACCCAAACGTGAACGTTTAAAACCAAAAAAATGTGAAAACATTCCCATATCAATACATCCCTAATATATTAAAAGAGAAAACACTATAAAATAAACCTTTGTCTCATGTGTTATTAACAGAAATGTCATGCTGATGTGTCAACACCAGGTTCACTTTCAAGGTTAGTTTTAATTAAGACAAACATTACTAGACTAATTACATGTTATGCCATTCATATTTGGTTAGAGAATGAAATATATATGATTAATTTAGTCAGAAAAATAATTATTAATGAAAATTATTTTCTTTCAGTTTCCTTATTTGGTAATGACGAAAATTTATTTATTAGTCAATCAATCAGTAAAATATGGAAAGTTTTATTCAATTGTATTATATTAATTGTTTAAAAATTAATTTATTCATCTATCATTTTTGTTTAGCTTTACTTTCAAGAATAAATTATATCATCACATCAAAATATTTAAAAAAGAAAATTAGTTTTTTTTACATATGCTATGGTTTGAATTTTTAAAAATGAAGCAAATCTCTAAAAATGTTAAATGTCCCACATGATTATATTTTGGGATAATAGTTCAAAAACCTATTATAAAATAGGATCCAAATAATGATCAACCATAATCACAAATAGGAAAGAAAAATTTACCATGTTTGGAAATCTTTAAAATTTCTTTTATTCGATTTAATTTGATTCTTTAATTGAATTAAATAATTAAATCGTATTTTTAATATTTTGGTTTGATCAAAATTTTAAACGTAATAAATTCTAATAACTTATCATATAAGTTAAATTATTTTAGTTATTTAAAATTGATAAAAACATAAAATATATATGCCATTTTATATTTATCAAAATATAAAATTATTTTAAATGTATTAAAATTTAATATATATGTGGGTTCGGAAAGGGAGAAACTGTTGTTAAAGCAAATGTTAGATTACCACACTGTAAACGATGACAAAAATCAAACCAGGCATGGCTAAAAAAATATGCATCACTCAAAATTTCGTCTAATGTAAATTGACATTTTTTTAATTGTCTAACACTCTATGTTCCTAAAATTGTATGTAAATAGACATCTTTTAATAAAATCAAATTGAGAAAATATCACCCCGTGCAAGGTGCGGATCAAATTCTAGTGGTTAGTAAATGTGAAAACGTTGCAGTAGTAGACTATTAGTAAAACCAACGTACCAAATGCGAAAAATAAGCTTCTTGCATCATTATATATTGATCGGATCATAGAATGTGAAGCCTCTTCTTGCTCATACCACTGTAACGGCAGATAAAGACGTAAATGCAAATAATTGACAACAAGGCCATGTAAAGAGCGAGACGGCACACTGTTGTTTTTAGGAAATCTGGAACGCTGTGATGTTCATTAGTCGTAAAAACAGCATGTATGTTGTGTTTAAAATTTAGAAACGGCTCGCAGTTTATTACTGATCGAAGTCTATCGTTTTCTTCATCTGGAGAAATGAGAGTTGAATGTTGCTCGAATAATCAAATCCTTTGCTTTCTTTCTTAACATTAAACCCTAAATTCCTTCACCGGAAAGTCCACCGAAGATGGCGGGATCCGAATCTCAGATTTATCACGAGCGCCAACGATTGCAATTTTGCCTCTTGCACTGCCTTAACAATCTGTTTCAGGTGATCCATTTTCTTCTTCATAAATCTCATCCAATCGACTCGATGCTCAGAGAGAATCACTGATAATCGTAAATTTAGTTAATTAATCGATTAAGAGTTTTGCTGTTGCTCAGGAGAAGGACGCATTCACGCGGGAAAGCTTGAACTCAATCGCGGAGAAGCTCGTCGCCGATGACCCGAACAAAGAAACGTGGACGCCTCTCTTTTTCCTCCTCAAGCCTCACCACAACACGCTCACCGGAAACTACGACGTGAACGTGATGATCGCAGCTCTTGAAGGCAAAGGCAAGAGTGTTGGTTGGCATGATAAGCGTAACGGAGCTTCTTCGATTGATCTCGATTCAGATACTCTAATGGGTATCGTGTTGAATATTCCGGTCAAGCGGTATGGTGGACTCTGGAGAGGTAGGCATTGGGTTGTGATGAGAAAAATCGATGGAGTTTGGTATAACTTGGATAGTGATCTCCTTGTGCCACATCCGTTTAAAGACGAAGATGAAGTGAAGGGTTTCTTGGATCAAAATCTGACTTCAGGTGCAGAGATTTTGCTAGTGAACAGTTCTTAACGGATCAACAAAGTGAGTTTCGTTTTTTTATTTCTCTCTCTCTGTATGTTATCGTATACACATCAAGTGGAGAAATGTCTCCAAGTTCTTGAAAGTTCAGTGAATTGTTTCCACTCGTGAGTTATTGGAACTAATGAGCAAAGATCTTTCATGTTTCATATAATATTGTTCTGCTCTCACATGTAAAAAGTTACTATCCAGAGTATGGTGTTTTAGTGCAAGCCATAACACGGCCGTGGTTACTATTTGCTTTCTGATATTCGTGTGCCCACCATTGACTGCGTTTTTCTTCTCTCTTCTCTTTTTTTTTTGGTTAGCCTCAGACTCAAGGAAGGTATCAACGATCTATAAAAGTAAGTTTATCTTGGCCTCTCCACAAGTCAAAAGAAGTTGTTCATATTTCTTTCATATGCATACCTGATCTAATTTGAACCATACCGAAAGGTAGCTTCGTAGAAAGAAACTTTGTATTCGATTAAACAAATGGGTTTTATTCTCTCTGTGGAGTGTGGACCATCTTCTACTTACTTTCCACAATGGAAATGTAGAAAAACTAGACAGAGTCTTGCTTTCTTTTCCAAATTTCGGCGTTCGCGTTTTGATATCTTTATATCTGTTGTTATAATTACAGTTCTTTTCACAGAAAAGTGTCTAAAATAAGTTTGAAACTGAACCTACCTTCTTTATTTGTTTATATGTGTATGCTTTTTAATTCCCACAGTAATCATAGCTTAACTGTAATCATGGCATTACTGATTGATACATTATTATTAATAATCATGGCTCTACCTGAACTCTATGAGACAACTATTTCAGCATCAAAGTCCTATATATATAATCCCATAATCTCCTCAAGTTTGTTCTCATACACCCGCTCTGACTCTCTCTTGATAATGTCAGCTACAGGAACAAAACGGTTCACTGCAAACACTAAACCACCATGTGGTAAGAATCCGGGATGCACAACAAGCTGTGGCTTGAGGCTACCGAGGAATACAGAAGTCACAGCAGCAAGACTGATCAAGGATCTCATCGGCTGTAAATTCGTTAAGGGGTTACGTCTGGTGCTGATGAGGAATAAGAAGAAGACGAAGAAGAGGAGATCTCCACCATCAAAGGCTTCTTCCACCGGTAGATCTCAGCCTTCTATCATCTCTGTCTCTAATGATACATGTAGATCAGAGGCTATAGAAGACTGCATACAGTTCATAAACTCATCCACCTCCTTCACAAGATCAAGTTCTGCAAGTGGCCGTACGTCTTAAGCTCATAAATTTCGGAATATTCTCTTTCTTGGTTACGCAATAGCATGTTAGAGAAATGCATGTAATATGTATAAGTGTGACCTTTGAGAATCTTGCTTCGTGTATGTACAAAATTTATCTGTATACTTTTTCATCTACATAGAATCAATCATATCCATTTTTCCCTAAATCAACGAGCAGAAAATTTCCTCAGAGAATGACATGTGTAATCAGAGACTGGTTGCAACTGATGAGTTCTTGGAGCTGAACTATTGACTGACATTAAAATCGAATCAGTTCTCGGAACGGATCAATCGATAATCTTCTCTCCCGTTGAAAACAAGTTCCACACGACGGTCCCAACAAGGTAAAGACCAACCGAGATCGTGAAGACGTCATCCCAAGAACCTGATGCATTTCAAATCATTGTTAATTTCATTGGAATTAAGGGAAGCATCGTCACAATCAAGAAGTGTTGAGAGTCCTGACCGTGTTGTAGGATGTGACCAGTCGCTGCTGTGCCAAGAACTCCGGCTAGTACCCCAGCAGTATTAGACAGACCAAGTAACACTCCCTGACAACATGAACGTGTTAATACATTTTGGTTTTTGAGTAGAGCATAGACTGGTTTAAGACTTGGGAGTAATTGAGTAGACTTACAGAGTATCTTGGAGCAATGTCTTGATGGTTAGAGTAAAGACCAGACTGCGAGAACGCATCAAGCCCTTGGCTACAAGCCATGCACAAAACAGCCATTGCAGGAGAATCTATGTGTTTCAGCTGTGTTAGGAAGAACGCTGGTCCAAGAAACCCAATCGTTTGCATTATCTGTATTTTCATCATCAGGAATAGATAAAAAAAAAAAAAAAAAAAAAAGATTATTGATGAATTACTTCTACTAAATAGCATTGAAGAGATGATATGCAGTCACCTTGCGAACATTCGTGACAGAGAAACCTCGACTGACGAGTGTATCAGCGATCCATCCTCCAGCATTTGCAGAAATCGCCATTGTCAACCATGGAAACACCGAGAGAAGCCCTGATTCCATTAGGTTGAACTTCAACACCTGCCTCACAATGTCCATGAGATTAACAATAATCAGAAAAGAGAAAAAAAAAATGAAAAGCCACTTGAATAATGAGAGTATACAGAAACTGACTTGATGGTAATAAGTTGGCATCCAGGTCAAGAGAATGAATGTTCCCCAGTTGTGACAAAAGTGACAACCAATGAGAGCCCAAACCGGCGGTTTCGATAATATCAGCCTCCAAGGGATCGACTTCACCGGCTCTTTGCTGGCACAGTTGTCTGCAATTAGCTTTCTTTCTCCCGGAAGCAACGTCTTATCTTCCAACGGTGAACTCTCTGCCTATAGTTAGCAACATCAAAACGCCTTTTAAATCCATTCAGAGTCCAAACAAATAAAAACAGTAGAGAAGGTCTGGTTTGGTCTGACCTTAGTTAGCCACAGAGTCAACCATACAGTTCCAAGAGATCCAAAAGAGAAAAACACAGAAGGCCACCCAAATTGATGAATCAAGAAAGGCGAAAACGCTAAACCGGTCACCGAACCGAGGTACATCCCGCTGTAAACAAGCGCGAGGGATCTGCTTCTTTCTTGCACAGGCACCCATTTCGACAGTATATTGTTCATAGCAGGCATTGCAACACCCTGGAGAATATCATACCAAGGAGATATAGATTTTTTACTTCTCCTTATCGTCTCATTACACAATCCAAGACTGATTTGATATCACAAACCTCGCCAACTCCCATGAAAGCACGGACAACGAGCAAGTACGGTAGACCGAGTTTAGCTGCTATTGGAGTCAGAACTGTAGCAACTGACCACCACGCTACGCCAAATCCAAGAACCATTTTTCCACCTACCGTGTCTGCCCATATCCCACCAGCTATCTGTCATATCATATGATATAAGGCCACATACTTACTGATTCAAATCAGAAACTAGAAAAGGCAAATGGATGATTATACCCCAAGAGCAGAAATTGAACGAAATCAACATAAGATAAAGGAAAATTGCCTCAAATTTGCTCATAATCTATGAAAATATTCTAAGGAATCTACGCAATGAAGACGAAGCTGACCTGAGTGAGAAGGTAACCCCAGAAGAAGGAAGACTGAATTAGACCAACCGTCGCCGGATTCCAGCCATACTCCGCCGACATCGGAAGTATGGCTATGCTCATGTTCACCTGTAAAACATCATCTGTTCAAAATTGGTAACTCCGATTCCTAATTGAGCAATTCCGATTCCGTAATTCTTTCAAATCCATAACGAATTCAATTTTAAACTTACCCTGTCCATATTGCAGAGAAGAAAAGCTGAAAAACAGAGAAGTACTATCACCCACCGCTTCGGGAACTCTTCCCACCATGGGACCACCGGCGCCGAGCTGGGCGAATCAGAAACGACGCCGTTTATATTCGCTTTCTTTTGATCTCCGTCGTAAACCTCTGCGTACGGATTACCGCTCTCTGTCTTGTCGGAGCTCCGAACCAACACCCGGAAGACGCCGGACCTGTTCCGCGGGTTTATCCATACCCGTAACGACTTGTGATCCGATTTGAGAGTCCGGCGACTGCGAGAAGTGGTTTCAGGTGGACGATTTGAAGTGTAGAGAGAGTGGAGATTCGGAGAGTAGAGAAGAGCTCTCGCGTTCATCGCGAGATAGATATATTTTTTTTTTCTTCGGTTCTTCTTCTTCTCACTCTTCTTCCTCTTCTCTCTTTTTCCGCTTAGAGAGTTAAACCGATTTTTTTAAAATTACGTGGCTGAGATAATAACACGTGGCTATTTCGTATTGGTTGCACGAAGATGTCATAATCTAACGGGAATTAACGGTTTAACAGAATATTTGGAGGTCCATTACTAAATTAATCTAAGAATTTGAGCTTAACATAAAGCCCATAGCGGCCCAAATATATAAGCTTTGTAGTTTGTAGTTTGTTCACTGTTCAAATTGTTAATCTTATGAATTTTGAAGTAGGCCTATCAAAACAATAGTGCATAATATAATACGATAATACCAATAATAAATTATCAGTGCTTCAGTGGTATAATATTTAAGGATATGTACAATGATCGACTTTAAGTGGATTGTGGAATAAAGGTAGGGATCCAAAGGTGGAACCAATCTCCCACTAATTGCGTTGATAAAGATGATAATCTCCTGTTCGCTTTATGAATTACTAAGCAAGGTGAGTAGTTCATTCACCAAATCCAATTTTTTTAATAAACTTAAAACGTGACACCATTTTCATTCGTTACAAAAGAAAGTTATAAATAAGAATTGAACTCAAGAGGGAAGCGAGTTAACACAATGCCTCCAAGTTCTACATACCACAGGGCATACATAAAAAAAAATTACATGCGTGACTTATGGTATATATAGTCCATACAAAATTTTAATTATTAAGAGATTATATATGAGTATAGCATCAATTATGTATGTATTGTAAATGGTTTAATCCAATGTACAAAAACAATAACTGAATAACATGTAGACCTTGTAACAAAATCACAATCAAAAGTATACTATTTTTAGCTTTTTAAAATTAATGGCGGTCCAAGAGAAGGGGATGAGAATGATGCAAGATTGTGGTGCGGCAGAATTACTCATCGAAGGTGTCCCTTGATGTCTACCACAAGTGCTCCCTAGCTTTGGCTTTATGATGACTACCACTTTTACTTATATTATTTGTCTTTTTTAAGTCCTCATTATTATTGTGTATACACATCAAATAATTTCGTTCTTTGCATGCGTTATCCATTTAGATGAAGCTAATAATACCGACTACCTTTGATATACACACTAGATCTTACCGTAGCTGCGTAACGGTCAAGAGTTACCAACCACACCACATGGAATATAATAATGACAGTCGCATGTTACTTACTATCAGACTATCAGGGCCGTACCACTGAACGAGAAGGCGAGATTGAAGAAACGAAAAGAAGAAACGCAATCTTAGGCCATAAGAAACAAAGCCTCCATGTGGATGGAGAGAGGAAGAGCTTCGTAATGGCCCGCTTCAAAAGTACATACTTCCACACGTGGCCCACTTCTTCAATTATCATTCACCATTTCAATCATTCATCACTAACTCTCCTTTCCCTATTGTTTTTTATATCTATATTTATCAGCAAAACGTCAGATAACCAAATTACACTTTCTTGATTTGTTGTGTAGAAAACAAAATACGTTCTTCGTTTGTACAAATGTGGTATACACTACCAGCAATAGAACGGTAACACATGATCAAAATATAGCTGATCCAACCACTCGATCATATAACCAACACATCATTTATTTTTTCTGGAATCGAAACCTAATCCTATTTTTATCAAAATGTACATGATGTTTCATCAAAATTTGACACATGGTCAAATTTCACTACTTTCATCAAAATGTGATTTTTAAGAAAACGTAAGTACAGTATACTTGTTTAGTGGAAATGTACATGATATTTTTCTCCCTTTTTTTCCCCCTTGGAAGCGAAAACTAAACCTATTTTTATCCGAATGTACATGACCATGTGGTCAAATTTGACGACTTTCATCAAAATATGGTTTTAGAGAAAACGTAAGTACAGTATATATGTTTCATCAAAATGTACATGATATTTCGTTTTCTTTTTCTTTCTGAAAGCGAAACCTTAACCTATATTCTTGTCTTGTTGTGTATAATCACAAAAGCCTGATTTACCTGAATCATAAATTAAAAGAATAATAATAATATAAGGCACTACTGTATTTATTTTTTCTTTATAGTTATGATCATCATATGCATGGATATGTGCATGGATCTAAGAAAACATATGCATTGATGAGCTTAGGTTAAACGAGACATGTGCACGTGTTTCTCTGTCTACGTCCATATCCTAAGCAACAAATTTGTGAAACCAGATATTTCTGTTCATAAAATAATTCAGTAGCCTTGGATTCCTCAGCAAAACTTCGAGTTTGGCTTCTCTGAACACCTTAATTGTATACAATAGTGTCAATAATTGAGAGAAAATGGAGAATAGATTCTGAATCGAGAAAGAAGACGAAAATGAGTATAGTTAATACTTAATACTTAAAACTCAAATCATTGAGATAAAATACCAATTAACTATTCTATGTGCAATATATGTAATGTGAAGGGAAATGAGACCACCATCTTGTCGAGTTATAAGATACGATCATACGAAATATATAAACAGAATTTCAAATTCGTTAAACCTTGGAGAACTAATTAAACATTCATTCAAAATGCGAGAGAAATTCATGTACACATCACACAGCCACGTTACTTCAAAATCAAGACGATCATGATAAATCGTGGCATATCTTTGTATATTCAGTGATGGAAAAAAACAATGTACACTCACTCATATGCACACACTAACCAATGCATCGTAAGATTCGCATAACACATACACAAAAATTAAAATTAAAACTAAAGTATGGAGACAAATATTCTGGCAAATATTATAAAAAGAAAAACAAAGATATGAAATAGCGTCACACCTACTCTTCTTCTACCTTTAGTAATATCTCTCCTGTCTTCATACACCTTTACACTCCTTTCTCCTCTTCTCTTCATCATTTCTTCTTCTTTACACCTAAAATGACCTCTCCAATGGTGGAAACTGCAAAACACTAACTTTCGCTGCTTCCCTCTCTCTAGACCAATCCACCAAGTCTAAAGCTCAACAACCACTCTCGTCAATGGCGGCGCGAAAACTTGGGTCCTTCTTACGTCAGCATTTTCTTGCTCTCTTCTTCCTCTTGCTCGGCTGTTTTTTCTTCCCACGAGGCAGCGACTGTAGACAGAAGAGAAGGAAGAAGAAGCTCCGAACAGTTTCTTCATCATCTCCTTCCGGTTCCGGTTTATCCTCTTCTTGGACGTATTTAAAACGAGTTTTCTTATCCACGACGAGGATATCCAAATCCCGCAGCCAAACGCACCCTAACGGTCCGTTAACGACTCTCACCTCCGCTAGATCGTCTCAGAACTCTCTCGTCACTCTCGTACAACCGGAGACGACGATGACGAATCAACCCGACCCGGAAACTTGTGATGAAAACGGGTTATCGGAGATATCGGACTCTCTGTTTCTCCCTCTCCGCAGCGAGATTTACTCTTGCAACGCGTGCGGCGAGATTTTCTCCAGAATCAACCTCCTCGAGCAGCACATCGCGATCAAACACGCCGTATCGGAGCTAATCGACGGCGAATCGAGCACCAACATCGTGAAAATCATATTCAAATCGGGCTGGCCGGAGCACGGTAGCAAAATCCCGGAGATCCAACGGATCCTGAAAATCCACAACAGCCCGAAGATTCTCACGAGGTTCGAGGAGTATCGAGAGTTCGTGAAGGCGAAAGCATCTCGAAGCAACGGCGGAGGAAGACGGTGGGACGACGAACGGTGCGTCGCCGACGGGAACGAGCTCCTGAGATTCTACTGCTCGACGTTCATGTGTAACCTAGGGCAAAACGGTAGCTCCTCGCTCTGCGGGCATCAGTACTGCAGCATCTGCGGGATCATCGGATCCGGATTCTCGCCGAAGCTCGACGGGATCGCGACGCTGGCGACGGGGTGGAGAGGACACGTGGCGGTTCCCGAGGAGGTGGAAGAGGAGTTTGCGTTTATGAACGTGAAACGGGCGATGCTGGTTTGCCGGGTCGTAGCGGGTCGGGTCGGGTGTGATATGATGGGGGATGATGATGACGTGGGCAAGAATGATGGAGGGTATGATTCTCTGGTGGGGCAGGGGACAGGGAGCAAGAGTGGGGCCCTTCTGAGGATCGACGATGATGAGCTGCTTGTGTTTAATCCAAGGGCTGTGCTTCCTTGTTTTGTGATCGTGTATACTGTGTAAGCCCGGATTTCGATTGTTGTGATCCTGTGTGTTTATATATATTTTGGGCTTTTCAATTAAGTGGTTTAGTCAAGTAATTGTGAAGTGTGAACGTTTAGATGATAAGACCTTTGTGGTTGCTTTCAATATGAACAAAGCATATTTTGAGAATTGAGAAGTTATGTGACAAAAGATCCATAGATATTTATATTTGCTTAACACGAAAATGGAATAACTCAGATACAAAGATTTAGCTGGTAAATAACATTGTAAAATCTGATTCTTGGTTTACTTATTGCTTCCACCTTCTTGAGAGGGGAAGCATATTGGGCCGAGTAGAAATGAGCAGTTGCTCACAGGCCCATCTTGGGTTTCTGTTGGAAACCGTTATTTTCTCAAGTGTTCGTTTGTTATCAAGATGAAACACAATCCTAAAATTACAAAGAAAGACTTTAGTTATCTTAAACAAAACTGAAACTAGAAATGTACTATTTACCTCCATTAGTTAGTTTCGAGTCTTCTTCAACCTCTACCCAAGTTAAACCACACGTCTTCTTTTAAAGTTATCATTTAATGATTTATAACGAATCAAATGCATGTCAACTGAATCAATTCTTCAACACAATCAAACTAAAAAAACGTCGCAATATTTTGTATCCACCGTAAAAAATTGTGAAAGTACTGACCTATGTACATGTAGATTCGTTATTTCTATCCAAAATCATATGTGTCTTTTAGGGATTAGTTAACGTCTTTTTTTCATATATCGTTTTTGAAGAAAAGAAAAATGTTGACTAAATTAGTTTTGGATTTGCCCACATTATACGGAGACGCGTAAGGTAAGAAATGTGGTCCTGAAATGGCCAACATTGTGTTTGATGAAATATGGCATTACCGTTGATTTTTATGTTCATAATGGAAACGGCAAAGATTTCAAGTATTTTTAATGGTCAACCTTTGAAAGTCTTCTCAAACGACCGTCTAAACGTAAGACTGCCAAAAAGAATTTATATTTATATGTAAAAAACCTAAAAAATTACGAATAAATCATCAAAAGTGATGATGAATGGAGAAAAAAAGTTACTAGGGTCTATATTTCAAATATTGAACATGGATCATAATTTTTTTACTATTTTAAAGCCGACCTTGCATTTACCTTATGCTTTTGTATGCTGATTCCACCAATCAAAATACAAGTTTTCACTCTTATAATTATGACAGTTGAAATGCTAAAAAACGAATTGACGCTTTTTATTTTAGAACTCGGTTTCTCACCGGAGGTATAGTCATTTTCCTTATAGATTTCTTAGTACGTTAAGGTATTTTTTTGGCTTTTTTCTCTGCAAATAACTTTCCATCTCTTTTGACTCTTTCAAACCAATTTTCTGATTATTTAATTTCTAGTCAACACTAATTTTTGTTACTATCTGCAAGACTCTTTCTTTGAGAACCAATATTTTGGTTTATATAGAATTTCTCAGTCTTTCATAAGTATTAAGACTGTTTCAAAGAGACCGCTTTCTTTGTGTATATATAAAACAGGAAAAAGGAAGTTAAGGAGACTCACCTAAAGTGTGTGCATGTCATCAATAATTGGACCATGATGATGATGAACCCCACAAAAACTAATAACTCCTTTCTGAGTTACTTTTTCATGTCCGTTTGGGTTTTTTCGTTGATGGAGGTTGTTTTAGGACAAAACCAAACAACTGAAATCAAAGTCGGAGTAGTTCTTGATCTCCAAACAAGTTTTTCCAAGAACTGCCTCACTTCTATTAACATGTCGCTGTCCGATTTCTACGAGGATCATCCTAATTACCGCACAAGACTTGTGCTTCACGTCAGAGATTCCATGCAAGATACTGTTCAGGCTTCAGCTGCAGGTTCGTTACTTCTTGATTTGTCTCTTGATACATGTAATGTAATTATAATTATTAGTTGCAGTTGATGAATGAAACATAATAAGTAGGAAAGTAGGGGTTGTGACCAAACATGATGTAGCTGGTTAGTATTTTCATTGAATCTGAGAGATCTGTTAAATCACTGTTAAGGATCCATGTGCCTCTTTATGTGGTCTTTGCCTAGAGCCTTGGTGACGACTACTCTTTTAGATTACTATTAAAATCCAAGTGTCTTCTTATGCGGTCTATAATAGTATGAGCAAATATCTCAAGTCTTCATTTTCTTTTATATTCTAGAAAGTCTACGATTGTATGGTCTAAAAACTATATCCTCTATGACTAGCCTCTTGAAAATATGTAATGGTCTAGCTTTTAATATATGTTAATTAGATGAAAATTTGAAAAGTCAAAGACTATTGTTGGCATGGCATATGATACATTCACAGTAGTCTTAAAATAAATAATAATGTTGTTATATTTAGTGGAAAATTATTAACTCTTCTTTTTGATTTATGTGTTTGCTTGTGGTGCAAGCAGCCTTGGACCTAATCAAGAACGAGCAAGTGAGCGCCATCATTGGACCAAGAACCTCTACGCAAGCAGAATTTATGATCAAACTGGCAGACAAATCTCAAGTACCGACCATCACATTCTCAGCAACAAGCCCTCTTTTGACATCCATCAACAGCCCTTACTTCGTCCAAGCCACTCTCGACGACTCACTTCAGGTCGATGCCATTGCAGCCACTGTGAAGTCCTTCGGGTGGAGAAGCGTAGTGGCCATGTATGTGAACGACGAGCTAGGTAAAGGAATCATGCTTCACCTGTCTGACGCTTTACAAGACGTGGAAGTTCATCGAAGTGTGATCTCTCCGGAGGCTAACGATGACCAGATATATAAGGAACTTTACAAGCTCATGACCGAGCAGACGAGGGTTTTTGTTGTCCACATGGCATCAAGTCTCGGATTCCGAGTTTTGCAGAAAGCTAGAGAGATCGGAATGATGGAGGAAGGGTATGTATGGATACTATCAAATGGAATGACGCATATGATGCGATATACCGACCATGGCCGTGGCTTGGAGACTATGCGGGGCGTGTTAGGTGTGAGGAGCCAGGTCCCCAAATCACAAGAGCTTAAAGGTTTCCGTTCGAGATGGAAGAGGAAGTTCGTGAAAGACGAGGATAATAATGGAGAGCCAAGCGTTTACGCGCTATGGGCTTATGATTCGATCACTGCATTGGCCATAGCTGTGGAGAAAACCGACCTAAAGAGCTTGCGTTATGGTAATAGGAGCACCTTGTCAAATAACAAGACGGATTTGGGGACGTTAGGAGTCTCTAGGTATGGTCCAAGTCTTATAAAGGCCCTCTCGGATGTAAGATTCAAAGGCTTAGCAGGAGAGTTTCATCTCATTAACGGGCAGCTTGAGTCATCAACGTTTGAGATTATCAACTTTATTGGAAAGGAAGAGAGGGTTATCGGATCTTGGAGACCAAGCAATGGACTCGTGAATGCAAAGTCAAACAACACTACAGAAGAGAAGTTAGGGCAGGTGTTATGGCCTGGAAATTCTACACATATACCAAAAGGTTGGCAGATTCCGACGAAGGGGAAGAAGCTTAGAGTGGGAGTTCCAATGAAGAAAGGCTTCTTGAATTTTGTGGAGGCCGAAGAAATAGATCCGATCAATAACACAACGAAACCAAAGGGTTACACCATAGACATCTTTGAAGCTGCTCTTAAGAAGTTGCCATATTCAGTCATCCCTCAATACTTCTGTGTCGAGTCTGAAGATGATGACTACAATAATTTGGTCTATCAACTCCATAACGGGGTTAGTTCTTCTTTTCTATCCATATATATTTCTACTTAGAACAAAAACCTAGAAAGGTAAAGGAATTAACGAGTAGAGTTATTATTATTATGTGTATATTTCTAACATATTACTATTTATGAATGCAAAGCAGAAGTTGGATGCAGTTGTTGGAGATGTAACAATCACAGCGAACAGGTCTTTGCATGCTGACTTCACGTTACCGTTCACAGAGTCTGGAGTGTCTATGCTCGTGCCACTGAGAGACAATGAGAACAAGAACACGTGGGTGTTCCTCCAGCCTTGGAGCTTAGACCTATGGATCACCACAGGTTGCTTCTTCGTCCTCATTGGCTTTGTTGTGTGGCTGCTCGAACACAGAATCAACGACGACTTTCGTGGACCGCCTCACCACCAGATCGGCACTAGTTTCTGGTTCTCCTTCTCCACTATGGTCTTTGCCCACCGTAAGTTACTAACACCATGTGAGACTCTCTCTCTATATATATATATATATATATATATATATAGGTTTACAATGATTAAGTGAGAGTTGTTTATATATGACTAAATCTTGCTATTTTTTAACAAAGAATCAAGATGCTAAATCCTAAAGTGAAACACTTGTGTGTGTGTATGCATGTATATAGGTGAGAAGGTGGTAAGCAATTTAGCAAGGTTTGTGGTGGTTGTGTGGTGCTTTGTGGTGCTAGTGCTGACTCAGAGCTACACAGCGAATCTCACCTCTTTCCTGACAGTACAACGTTTACAACCAACGACCACAACTGTGGAAGATCTCATCAAAACTGGGAAGCCCGTAGGGTACCAACACGGCACGTTCGTTAAAGATATTCTAAAAGATCTGAAATTTAGTGAAACTCAGCTCAAGCCCTTTGGTTCCGCTGAAGAATGTAACGAGCTTTTTACCAGCGGGACAATTGTAGCAGCTTTCGACGAAGTGGCCTACCTTAAGGCTATCATCTCTAAGTACTGCTCCAAATACGCCATGGTTGAGCCTTCCTTTAAAACTGCTGGTTTTGGCTTTGTAAGTTTCTTATATATTTATCTTTTAATTTTTTTACAAATTAAATATTTTATCTTTGTAAGTTTCTTATTTTGTTTTTGCATGATCGGTGTGTAGGCATTTCCCAAGAATTCACCTTTGACGGATGATGTCTCAAGGGCTATCTTGAATGTGACTCAAGGCGATGAAATGGAAAACATCGAGAACACATGGTTCAAGAAAGAAAGTGGTTGTCCTGATCCAAAGTCAGAACTTTCGTCCAACCGTCTTAGCCTAAGTAGCTTCTGGGGTTTATTTCTAATAGCCGGCGTTGCTTCCTTCTTGGCATTTCTCGTCTTCGTAACCCTCTTCTTGTACGAACACAGGCACACGCTGTGTGATGATTCTGTAGGTTCCTTGTGGAGGAAGCTAAAGTTTTTGTTCAGAATATTGGATGCGAAAGACATAAGTTCGCATACGTTCAAGAACAGCGCCGTTCATAATGTGAGCTCGCCTATAACTCCGTGCACTCCTAGCCCTTCCACTGTGCAGATGATCAGACCATGGCCGCGAAGCATGTCATTAAACAGGGATTTTGAGACAAGAAGAGCCTCTTTCTTCATGAGGGAAGAACGTTTCACAACGCAACCGAAACATGATGAAGATAGAGAATCTGATATTGAGTCTGGAGCTAAACTATAGAGAGAAGGTTAACCGGAAACTTGATAACAAGTTAAATGATTTTAACCCTTTAGCAAACAAAAAGAAAGTTAGATAATCTAGGTTTCGTGCATAGTATGTAATTAAGTTATGCATTTTTTATTTGATCTGTATTAAATCTCAGTCGCATCCGAACAATCAGCTTAACGTCCATGACTAGTATACTTTAAGCTACATAATCCAAACTTTGATCCAAGAGAGCAAGACCAACCATTGTTTATATTTTTTTCTTGTTGCGCCAGTCACATGAATTTGTGGAGTTTGTTTGTTTCCTTGATTTGTATGAACCAAGCTTATACAAGTTGCACATAAACCTCGAAAAAGTTAAAACTATAAACAATAAAAATGTACGATTAGTTAACAGAAAATATCACCATATGAATAATATGCCAAATATATAAAGTAGGACCGAAACGTGCTGAAACGCGTTACTATTTTAGTAATTTGACAGTAGTCACAGGGCGAACAGAAGACCCATCAAGGCAAGGCGGCGGGGTTTGTTCTTTCTTTTCTCTAGACGAATCGCAACCATAAGGATTTAACATTTTTTATAGTAGGATCTAGAAGATCATCAATATTATTGTCAAATATTGTATATTTATTATATAGAGATATTTACATATTTGTGTCCATCTAGTTTAGGAAATCTCTTTAGTATATAGTCATGTAACGTGATCCTTCTTCTCTTTATGAGAGTCAATAATGCTTCTTCCCATCATACACTCTCATCATCTCTAATATGGTATCAAAGCAGGTTATGCTCAAGAGTTTTGATCTAACAATCAAACTCTCTTTTCTTTACTTTTTTCTAAGCCAACTACTTCCTTTATTCAAGTCTATTATGAACCTCTGAATCAAAATTTTTTCTTTCTTCTTCATTCTTTTTATTTTGTGATTTAAGCTATATGCTTCTAAATTCAAGTTCATCATGAACTTCTCAATCATTTTCTGTATGTGTCACACACAAATTTCTATGAGAATGACTTGCTCTTCTCTAAACTCAAGCTATATGCTTCTTAAAACCTTAAGGTTTCTTTATTAAGAAAAAAACACAAAAACAAAAATTTGTTCCTTTTACAGTATCTCTTTCTACTTCTCCATACATATTTTCTTTCATCTTCTTATCTTAAAAAAAAAAAAAAAATCATTTGCTGAATTTCCAAGCGGATCTACGCTTCTTCTCATTTCCTTTTTTTTTTCTCATTGATTTCAGATCTCATTTAAAAAAAAAAACAAAAAAAAGAAAACAAACAAACATGCATCAAGCAGGTTCAGTGTTCTATTCTCACGTCCATCAATATCACCATCCACCATCCCTCACAAGTATTCAAGAGCGTCAATACTACAATTCAAGTCAATCTCAAGCTACCATTTTGCTACACTCCATTAACACCTTGAGATTGAGGGGGCATATAGTAGGATCTAGAAGATCATCAATATTATTGTCAAATATTGTATATTTATTATATAGAGATATTTACATATTTGTGTCCATCTAGTTTAGGAAATCTCTTTAGTATATAGTCATGTAACGTGATCCTTCTTCTCTTCATGAGAGTCAATAATACTTCTTCCCATCATACACTCTCATCATCTCTAATATTTTTACCCCACCGTTACTTGTGAAATAGCCCTAAACTAGTGTTCCCCCCCCCCCCCCCAACAAACAGATTAACTTAATATAAATTTAGAAATGTAGTAGTATAATTATTTTGCAATGTTATGGATAATCAATTTTTTTTAAATAAAGTTGGATACGTAATGTAAGGAAATAAGGAATCAGATTTCAAGCTTGGATCACTGCATCCTTGTGCGAGAATATTGGTTTGTGATCCAACTTGAAACTGAAGAAAGCGTTAAAGAAGAAAGAAAAGTGGGATTTGACTGTCTATCAAAGACTCTCAAGAAGGTTGTGTTAGTGTGGGACTCTGACGTGAGAGATATAGAAGAGCTAATTAATCCACTTCTTTGTGCGAAAGAACACACAGAGAGAGAGAGAGAGAGAGAGAGAGAGAGAGAGAGAGAGAGAGAGAGAGAGAGAGAGAGAGAGAGAGAGGGAGCTAACAACAAAGAGAGGCGCTTCTTTGTATATCTTAGGCTAGTCTCTTGTTCCCTTTCTCTTGTAATTAAATTTCTTAGGTAAAACAGTGACTAATTATTTGTGCTTCCAAAGATTGGAGATAATTTTTTACATATAGTTAATAGCGATGGTGTGTCAAATTAATCGTTGAACAGATTGATTGTCTTATTTCAAACACAACATGCGTATATCCTCTAATCTAACATTGTTGTATGCCAATGAGTAAGCTATGTAGTTCCGCTTCCAATACTGATTTACAAAAAGGACCAGTGCTCTGTCCAGCTCCAAGATAAAAAACCTTATGGAGTTATGTTACGTGAAGACAATATGATTAACAAAACTTCACTTTTCGCTTCAGACAACAACTCTCGACAACTCCGTCCAACACCGTAATCCTCTTTTGCTTAAATTCTGATAGTGAAGCTTGATGCGACTTTTCCGATCAACGCATCTTCTGCTTCGTCTTCAGATAACTCATGAGATCTTTGACCATCTTTCTCCGCGGCGATTAAGATCTCTAACTACAGATTTCTCTTTTCCGAAACTCAGAAAAACAGAAATTTGAGTCTCTGCAGTTCCCCGACGAATAAAACTCTGTTAAAATTTGATTTCCCAAAGTTTTGCGTGAGGTAAATCTTGTATCTTATATTTTTGTCATAAACGGTGAACTAATGACAATTTCAAACTCTTTGCTTCTTCATATAAGTAAATAGGAAGGAGAAAATTAAAAATATGGAAAAGAAAAGACGATGAATATGAAATCAGAAAACGGATACATGGAGAAGACAATAGAGAAAGAGAGCACCAGTAGAGAAAAAAGAGAGTAGACTGAGAGTTATATAGGAGATGAAAAACAGTTTGAAATCGTGAAGAAGTTATATGATATCGTGGTGGTTTTGAGTCTTGAGGGAGTAAAATTAGGAATTAATTCAAATTTGTGATTTTAATTATTTTTAATTTAGTTTTCAGTTTTTAATGCGTGGCTTTATTTACTTAATGCAGTTAATTTTTAAAAAAAATTGAAAGACTTTCCATATGTCACATTTGTATTGGTCAAGTGACTTGTGCTTTAGTATATTAGGGATGAGTCCATGACAAACACCCATATACATTAATACATACATGCATGGTGTGCACATAGGTTATATGTTTATTTGTTGTATAAAATGTTTATCTAAATAGACTTGATGTGGAACACATGTCTTATCTAGACAGTGTCTTCGTGAGACTCATCAAGAGGGAAACACGTCTCATCACCTCCGGTGTTCCACAAGAAATTAGCGTAATTAGCGGCGTAGTAAGAGTTGGTCGGATCGGCATCGATTGCTTCCAAGAAAGTCTCCTCTGCCGCCCATAGATCGTCCCTTGCTCTCCACAAGAACGTCGCGTATTTGTTTAGCGCCTCCGCGTCTTTCGGTTCCACTCCTACCGCTCTCTTGAAGTATTCTTCCGCTCTGTTACACAAAATATCATATGGAATCACGTGAGTAAGAACTAATTCATTAGAAATAAGTAAGACAAATGCAATGTATTAAAGATGAAATGAATAAAAGCCTTAAGTGTTACGTGTAAAACTTTAAACTTTCATATAATGAAGTGAATTTTGTCATATTAACAAAAAGGATTGGTTAGAAAATCAAACGATTCATCGTATAATAATTTAAGTACTATGATGGGTTAGAGACTCTATCAATATCTTGAACCCACCAAAAAAAAAGACACTATCAATAAAAATGATTATAACATATAATGTTTAATCCAATTGCAAGAGAATGCTACTTTTTGGCAATACCAACTACCCACCTTAATCACAATACTAATTTAGCTAGTACAACTTCAAGCCAATGACAAAAACATGTTTTAATTCGATTAGGTGGGGAGTAAATCTAGAAGACAAATTGCAAGGTAAATGACTTTTGACAAACTTGTTGGATTTTGGTGGGGACTCTTCAAAACTCCACCGTAAACTCCATATCATAAAAAAAAAAACTAAAGACTTAAAGCTCATTGGCTAAAACTAATCCGTAGTTGAAAGATACCTTTTTTATTTCTTTATTTAACCCATGTTAGATATTTTGTGTTATGTCTTCTTACTCGAATTGGTTCAAATCTATTGGTTGGTTAGATTCTTGCTGATGCGATATGATGAGATTATGACAATTAAAAAGAAAAATTATCACTTCCACAAACATGCCCCACACTACTACTAGTGAATAGAAAAATCATCGAGTACGGCGCCTACTTTTGACTGTTAGCATCAACTTGCAATCTCATATCAGGAATCTAAAAGGAAGATTCGACCCTAAACTAAATGACCAAGTTACTTAAACTAAGCCTAAGATTAATATTGTATTATAACCAAAAACATGATTAATGTGTGAGATTTTAAAATGTTTAGTTACCTGGCATAGTCATTAGAGACGATGTAGAGGAACTGAGCGTAGTTAGCTAGAAGCAGAGGATTACTAGGCTCCTGAGACAGTCCCGTTTGGTACAAAAGCTCTGTTTTGAAGTAATCCGTGTGTTGCTCCGTCTCTAATCGAGCATCCAATGGAGACACGAACCGTTTCCTCGTCTCGTGATCCAACGCATCGTCTACATTTGAATACTGCATTTCCTCTGCTTCATCCACTATCGAATTCCACAGCCTAAGCTCATCTTGCCCCGACACTGACGTCTCCGACTCTCTAGTCGTAGACCCAAATGTTGTTGATGATGACATTTGTGAAGTTGTTCTGAACTGTTCTGATCCATCGAATCCATCACCGTCTGTTCCGCTCAGCACCGGACGAATATTTCCACCGCCGCCGTTGTTGTTACCGCCGACTGAAGTTGTATTCCCGTTGGGAGAAGAAGACACAAAGAACGTTTTGACTACAGAGGAATCGAAATTCTCGTTTGCTTCATCTGTTTCAGTTAGCTCTGTTACCGTGGCCGTCGTCGGAGGATGAGGCGATGCTAAAGCGGAGTTGCTACCGATGGAGTAAACAGTGAAATTGGCGAGGAGGATCATGACGTAAACCATCAACGTAGGCGTAGCAGAGAAGACTTGTTGAAACAGCCAGACGAAAGACGCGTGCATCTCTTCTCTCACTCGTTGCAAGATCCCTTGCAAGTCTTCGTAGAAGAGAAACTCTCTCATACGCAGCGTGAAGCTCTGCAGCTCCCGGATCATGAACACCATCGACGAGAAGGCCTTGTTCATCGATCCGCACGCGGATTCGCCGGCGTGTTTGACGACTACTTCCTCCCACTGTTGTTGTCGCTTCTTCTTTATGATCCGGAGCGAGAGAGGGAGATCGACGCTGTTCGCTTTCATCTCGATGCTCGACGAATGCACCATCGAGTCCTGCCACGGCGGCTCGATTGAATTTCGTTGCGGTAATCTACGATCGGTGACGGGGACTTCTGGGCTCGAGGGGTGGTTGAATCTGAGAGTTAGCTCCTGGATTTTTTTCGAAAACTCTTCCTCGGAGAAGGGATCTAAGCTCGCGCTGCAAACTCTTCGAATCGACTGGGTTTTTGCCGATCTAGCTGATTCAAGCAGCTCGCAGGATTTCGAGCGTTGAAGCTTCTTCGTCGACGGAGTTCCGAAGAGAGACGAACGGTTCAGTCTCTGCGGCACGAAACGACAGCTGCTCCGTCGTTTTGATATCGCCCCGGAAGCTAGGGTTTGAGAAGGGGAAGAGGAAGAAGAAGAAGGATGAGCCGTCCACTGAAGGAAGGGAGAAGTAGATGCTACTTTCACCCCCATTGGAGATTGAACAGAGGAAAGTTTTCCAAATCACAGATGCTACTGCTTTCTTCAACAATGGCGTTTCTTTATTGATTGATTCACGATTCTCTGTAAGATTACAAGAGAAATTGAATAAGTAAAAAATTGAATCGGATACACAAAAAATGAGAGTGTAATTGGTTTTTTTCGGAAAATGCAGAAGGAAAATCGCGAGAAAGCTTTAAAATCCAGTCGTCATCACACGAGTGAATCATAACAGGTGGAAAATCGGATCGCGGAAAGCTAATCGTCACGAGATTCAATGGAAACTAATTGAAAAGTCTAGAAATCTTTTCGATTCAACGAATTAGAGAACCGAGTAAGGAAAAAAGAGGCAAACAGATGGAGAGGAAGAAAAATTCACCTTCTATAAGAGCGCAAGTTACGTCCGGAATTTTCTCGCTAGGAGAAACTTTCTCGGGAAAGTTCTGAAGCCTGAGCACGAGGCAGACGAAGACGCTTCACTTTATTAGTGAAACGCGGAAAGAGAGAGAGAGTGAGACGATTATATATATAGACGCACGAGTTTATCAAAAATATCGAAAATAATAAATTAATTTGGAAAGAAATAAAAATATTACCGGGTTAAAGCCGGTTAAACAGCGACGCTCAGAACCTGACAAACAAGTTGCCGGTTTCAATAACCGACTCACATGACAAACCGGGGGAATTAATTGAGATTTTTACATCTGACGGTTTAAGCAGAGCCAGGTGTCAAAATCGGTTTTCCTCTCCCAGTCTATTGGGCTTTGTTTTTCGTCGCTTTCTGTTCATCGACGGTCTTGGAAAAGCCACGTAGGTATTTAGTTGCTAAAAAATAATAATATTTGGAGCGTGAAAGTAACAGCCCGGCGATGTCAGGGCCTGAGTGGGGCCCTTCCTGTCCATGTAATCTGGTAACTATTGCGATTTTACGTCTATGTTCATTTTCTGTTTTTTTTTTTTTGGTTAAATCTATGTTCGTTCTGTTTGGTAATTTTGATTTTACCACTCATTTTCCTTCTTGTTATAATTTGTTTCCTTTATTTCTTGACTCATGTAATCATTCATGTAGCAGGTTATTTTATTCTTTATTTGGTTTGATATAAAATACGACTATGATGGATTTTCAAAAATCGCAACTCGTATCAAATAAGTAAATAACAATTAACAGTAGTAGGCAGTAGGTACATGAAATGTGGGATTGATATGTACTAAAAAAACATTTTGGGTAATAATGTGAAGTATACTAATTTTACCACAGTACATATGTATGAAATGTGGGATTACTATTTTATGACGCTCATGCATGCTCATGCACGCAATGTGGTAATTTTTTGCATGCATGTATCGTTTGAGTTCTATTTTAGATTTGTTAGATTGGCACTCCAAAATACATATTTTAGTTAGGTACAACCGGATTAACTGCAATTTTGTTTGTTAAAAACAAAATACCAAAATATTTCAGAATTTGGAACACCAAAACCGGAACAGACTGAAATAAATAAAAATCAACCGAATTAATTTAGCTTCTAGTTCGGACATCATTTACAAAACCAGCAAGATATTAACAAAACCTAACCGAAAAAACGAATGTAAAGAAAAAACACAAGATCTTGTTGTTGGAACGTGCCAAAAGGAGAGGGGTGAAAGTTCGACGGTGGAGAAGGAGAGAAAGATATGCACCAACTTGCCGTAAATTAACGTCGCTGAGACAGCGATGTTAGAAGAAGATGAAAGATTGACGACTCTCGTTTGGTATTTGCTCATATCTTCTTAACGGTTGATATTTGTTGTTCCTTTCGTTGGACATATTGATGAATTATTTATTTATTCCCTACGTTTATTCAGTTTCATTTATAGCACGTACGGTGGAATCTAGTTCCGTCCTGATGTTATACTTTTCTTTATTTATTATGGTCTATATTTGGACCATCGAGAAAAAATCGCGAGGAAAATGGGGACACATTGATTTTATATGATAGTTTAGCTTGTCTCGTGAGTCGTGAGTCTCGTGACTGGTTTTAGGAATATGAATATCGGATGTGAAATTTGTTGTTGAAACGTGAATTGCAGAGGAACACATATATTCATTCAGAGAAGATATTAAGCATAGTCAAATATATACGCAGGAACCGGATTTAATTGGTTACTTAAAGGCCACCGGTGTTAACTTATAGATATTTACCAATGGTGTCTTAATGTATGATTGGAATCTCTTGAAGAAGAATGTAGATGTAAGATGAGAACATAATATAGACTTTTTTTTTTCATTCTTTTTTTTTTGATACACATAACAAATCATGTACTCCTTATCTTATGAACTTCTGTTGTCGTGATGCAACTCTTCTACCTTTGCTAGCTCTTAGTAGATATCGGGATTTCAGACGAAGAATTAATGCTGGACAATTGGCTTCCTTTCGATGGAATCAAGGTTGTGAGCGAAACCATTGAAAAATAGTATGAAACGTCTGAGACAAAATTTACCAGTTTTAAGAAAAGTTGTTGTGTTCATTTAATCATATTTTAAAACACATTGTTGAAAATAAATAAATTATAAATTTCGACAGTACCACTGCCATTCCAGCAAATTGAATTTGTGTTATGTTTTAAAATGTTTGGTTTGGTTAGAGATATGCTATAAGCCTATAACCATAGTGGAATTGTTAAAGCAATAGATAAGCGTTGTCATCATCAAAAGATACTACAACTAATCAATCAACAATTAACTCAACGCATAACCGAGCAAAACTACTCAACCCAATATCTTTTTTTTTGCTAATCAGGAGATGAAGATGAACTCAAACCAATATCAGCCAACTGAAAGTTTTCAAGCGTATAAATCCATCCTTGGTCATGTCTTCTTCAAATGAAATCTTAGAAATTTGATAAGATGTGTGTTTGTAAATAGTTTTGGCTAACTGGCTTATAATGAGATAAAAAGTAAATGTTATTTGAAGAGTTCATAAAAGTAAATTTGTGTACCGTTTTATGATTTATCAATGATAAAGCATTTTCATCAATTTGGCTGTGTGGACCATCGTCGGAAGGTAGGCTAAACATGCGGGATCCACAAAATTCTATAATAATATGGGAATCTACACTCGTATTTTCAACATTGCTCGTCAATTTGAGTAATTTGTACCATATCTTCTTTTTGCTAGTGAGAGATAATATGCAGGTTATTTGTTTTGTCTTTTGGGAAATATACAATTCTTTTTTTTTTGGGCGCAAAAAGGTGAAACTAAGTTGGTTATAAGTTAGATAGTGATGAAAATAATTGCTAATGGGCAGCGACAAAGAAGACGAAAGTACTAAGACAAATCAGAAAATCAAACGCTAAATGTCCGAAAATGTATGGAAGGTAAATAACAACAACGAGAAAATGATAGAATACACCATGTGATATTAAGGGTTTTGGTTTATGAAGCTTGAATTGATGGGCGATAAAAAATTTCTTTTGTAAAGCTAAAAAAACTATATAAAAAATATAAACTAAATCGAAATTAAATTAATTTGATATTCTTATTAACTTGAACACAATAATATAGAGCCAAACATATAAGAAAACATGCTTACATGGTGGCTCTTGATAGGATGCTATAGCCAATTTGAGAATCACAAGGAGAGAGACATTACAAAGGCCACCACTCTTATTATCTCTTATCTCCTTTCTACCTAGTATTTATCAACATCTCCTTCATTTTCCTTTCTTATATTATCTAATACATAGATTTTTTTGGTTACGTATCATATGATATATGATCGATTTATGTGGATATCGTTTTTCTACAAGTTTTTAATGAACTAGATAGATGCAAAAAATATCTCCATGTCGTTTTTATGATGTTATCACATACTTGATAACTTGAATGGTTATATATGATGAAATAAATAGATATAAGTGCATTGACATTTGACACAATGACACATAGAACAGCTAGATTTCTATCACACATATAGGTTTGTTTCTTTTTGTTAACAATATGTAACATATCAAGCAATTAATGTTTATTATATAAAGTTCATTCAACTTTTGTGTATGTAAATGAGAAAAACCACACGGCTAAGTAAAGTTTTGTAATATACATGAACCACAACTGTATGTGAGGATCAATAGATTTCATTTTCTTGGAGGAGAATGGTTTGATTATAGATGGGCCCTTGAAGGGCTAAATTTAGGTCTTAAAATTATTTCAAACTGATTCGGCCCAATAAAATTGCCGCGAAGCCGATTGTTCGAAACGGCAACGGAATAAAAAGCGGGGCGGCGAAAAAAACGTCGCGTATTACGTTTTCCCGCTACTTCCATTTTCCCTCTCTTGTTTATTTTCTTTTTTTCATTATTATTTTTCTACCATTTCCTCTTTCGATATCTCTTAAAAACCAGTCAGTATCGACCATGGGATTGATTCTTCACTTGGATTCCATTGGATCTCGATCTCCCGCTTTTTTGTCGTCTCTCTCTGATAACTTACAATGCCTACCATCGCTGGACCCAGTTCGTCCCCACGCAAGCACATCGTCGCCGCCAGATCGGAGATTACCGGAGGCCTTAGATCCGCCGAAGTCAACACTACTCGGAAACGGAAGTTGAGATCGGATTCCGCCGCGGAGGTTGCATCGATGGCTGTCCTGACTGATAATTCGCCGATGAAATGGAAATCTCCTCGCCGATGTGTTGTTTCAAGCCCCAGGACGCCTAAGGAGGTAATTCACGAGCTTCCTTATCTCTGTGTCTTGCGATTAGAATATGTTTAATTGTGAGAGAGAATAATTCCGATTGCTGTTTAAATTGGATTTTGGTATCTATTATCATCTCCTCAATTGGATTTATAATGATTTCTTATTGATTATCATCCGATTGCAGGAGATTGAGGAAGATTGTAACGGAAATCTGGAAAGTCCAGTGATATCAGCCGTGAAAAAACAATTTAATTGTTTAGATGTTAAATCAAAGTGGAATCCGAGAGGTATAAATAATCCTTCTGATTCTTCAA